TTATACCACCTAACGTGAGAAAGAGATCGTAGACATCTATGATCAAAAACAGTCAACCTTTTCATATCTTCGACTCGTATTGGCGATGCTTCAGAGCCATAGAGAAGGACGGAGTGAACTGCTGCGCAGTACACGCGTCCCTTTATTGGTAGCCGCATGTCACGCCTACGCCAGAGATGGCGTAAGTTAGCGAAAGCAGCCCGAGCTTTTTGGATCCGTGCTGAGATTTCGTCGCCAAACCCTATCGCTAGTGAAACCTCAAAGCTTGAAGGTCCTATTATCCATTCAGAACACAAAGTAAAGCGAAAAAAAGTCCCTTGAATCATTTGTGCATAGTAATAATCTTATTGCTAACGGTAATCGAAAATGTACAAATGTTCTTAGTCTCATGCTTTGTTAAAAAACTTGCATTTGCAATTCTGAAAAATAATGAGCATACACACACACGTGGTCCCTTCACAGCTCAAAAGAGATCTGTCTTAGATCATAAGACTTTACAATAATAACAATCACAGAAACAAAAGTAATCTAATATATTTCTGACTAAAACACTGAGAAACACTATGATCTATCTTGACAGAAATCCATACAGAATAATAATGACTTCTAAATTGGTACAGAGTACACACACCTCCTGCAAACACATGGTCAATACGAGTTGAAGACATGAAAAGGTTGACTGTTTTTGATCATAGATGTCTACGATCTCTCGCTCACGTTAGGTGGCATAATAAAGTAAGTAATGTCGACGTTAGGTGTTGGGCAAAGAGGGAAAATCAATCGACGAGGCTATAAAGTTACAAAGATTGAGATGGCTAGGTCACGTGCTGTGCATGCCTAACCATTGCCTCCCCCGACGGGCATTACTAGCTGATATAGGTGCAGGTTGCAAAAGAGTAAGTGGTGGCCAAACAAAAACATGGAATCAATCCATGAAATCCTTGACAGTTAAACTGAGTGAGGTAGGGAGATGCAGACTTCCGGGTTGGGGCCCGCCCTCGGGACTCGAAGAATCACTGGCTGGAGAAAATAGGTGACATGGCTCAAAATCGTTGTCAATGGCTTACGCAGATGTACTCAGTCTCTGTAATCTTTCATATTCCTTTCTACCATTACTCATTCTGTTTCACTCTTATACTTGTCAAAACTCTATTGATTCTCTTCACTCATTTTCTTGTCTACCTTGGTGTGCTATTTGGGACGTGGCAACTCGAACTGGTGCACTTCAGTGCCAAGTTCTTCGTTGAATCCAGCCAGCCAGCCAGTCAGCCAGCAAACACATAGCCGGATACCATACCATACCTACACTAAAGATGATGCAAGTAGACTAATGCTAAACGAACCTTTTATATAGGCACTTAGATTTCGTTAGCAGTTAATTTACTAGGATTAATATAATTTCATAAATAATAAGTGGAGTGATCAACATACTGAACTGTTTGGCTCCCTATTCTTAGTGAAGACGGGGACAAATCGTATACCAAACTAATTCAAATTTTTATTTCGGATGTTCAGGAAAGTCTGCGCATTTTCAAAGTTTCGAAACTAAAGAATAACAATACACCTGAACTCTCTCTAGGTCAACTTGACTTGTGTCTGGAAGTAAGTCAATTCCTTGATATAAGAATAAAACTTGTGCACTGTGGTGAAGTGTAAATCCATTATGGGTAAATTTTATTTTGATAAAGAGGGAACATCTGAGACCCTACGTAGTAGGATTCTTCATAAAGCAGGAATTAGGGTGGTGGCATTCAAACCTACAAGCTCTGTAGGCTAAAAGACCCGGTGAACCCAATTAAACAAAATAATATAATTTACAAAATACCTTGCAATGACTGTAGGTCAACTATATAGGTCAAACTAGTAGATCGGGGGGTAATCAGATTGTCGGATCATAAGAATTTAGCTAAGGGAAGAATGGTTAACCCCGAGAAGATAAGTAATTTTAAAAAAAGCTCAGCAATTACACTGCATGCAATAACACACAACCACACAATAAGGTGGGAGAGGGTTAAAATTCTAAAAAGTAATCTAGGTAGGTGGAGAGAGGTTGATTACTGAATCTTTGTTCATCGAATCTACACCCAACAAATGCAATAGGAATGATTCATCACTCATACCCGAAATATGGAAGATACTACTACCAATCAAATCAAGTGAAAATCAAGTGAAAAACAACAGAACTATATAAATGAATTTAGGAAGTCGTGTGTTTACCTTGATATGATTATGTGTGGCAATAAATTGTGCTCGAAACGTCATCAGTAAACATTACTGTATAACACTGTGAGACTTTATCAAACAAAATAAAATTTAAGTCAATTCCTCCTTTGATATCCAAACTGACAACTAGGGTCATATTCATGAACACATTTATAATGAAACTGAATAAGAATAGTAACAGTAGTAGGAGCCTAGACGAATGGACATCAATTCATTGAAGTAAACATCAGTCAGTCAGGTGTTCAAACAGCAATCCCCTTTCAAAGATTTAGACAGTCGACTAGTACTGCAACTGTTATACAAACTGGAATATAAACCTATACATGATTTTTAAATGTTGGTTTTGTAGACATTTGACTAATTGATCTCATAATACACGAATATATAAAATTCATTCAGACGTCTATAAAACAAAAAATAATCGAGCAAAGAATATCCTTTTCAATAAATTCCTCTTCTGGCTTTACAATTTCATATATGTTCATGTACATAGAATATTCTAGATTAGTAGTCAATAACAATATTAGTGTTTTTTTTAATAATATAGATTTGTAAAGTATGATCAATGCAATTTAATTGCTCCTGTGGAGCCAGTTACATAGACCGGACAATTAGGCGTGTTTCTCGTCGAATTTCCGAACATCATCCTGCATAGTCGTTAAGTAAAGGACAAACAAAATCCATTCGTAGCGCTATTCTGTCTCATCTTGTGGATACAGAACACAAGATTGACGTTAACTATGCTTTCAGGGTCATTTACCGCATACCTACGAATCTCAATTTTGCCTTAAGAGTTCGACTACTAAATATTGCTGAGGCTGGCTGTTGGGATCCATATTAACAAGCCTAATTTATGCATCCAAAAGAAGTTAGTTCAGACATTATCATTACCTTGGCCATCTAGGTTTGAATGATCCTGAATTTTTGAGGGATTTTTCCTAATTTTAGTTGATATCCTATTCGCTACTATATCTTTATTATTATTATAATTTAAGCATCTTTAATGAACTATAATTCCACTGTGGTCTTACTTTACAAATCGATATTATTTAAAAAAACGCTAATATTGTTATTGACAAAGGTTATGAAAATAACCAACCAACAACAACAGCAACAGCAACATCCAGCGCCAATCACCATCAACGGGAGGGATTTGAAAGAGGTTACTTCTTTCACTTATCTAGGGAGCATTGTCTCAACTACAGAAGGAACGGACGAGGATGTCAAATCGAGAATCGGGAAGGCGAGAAACACATTCATCAACCTGAAACCAATCTGGAAATCTTCGTCACTCAGCATCAACAACAAAATTCGGATTTTCAATACAAACGACGTCAAGTCAGTCAGTTCTTCTATACGGATGGATCAGAAACTTGGCCAGTGTGTCACAAAGAATATTTCCAACAGCCTGTTGCTGACCATTATCAACAACTGTCTTCGTTCTATACTGAAGATCAGATGGCCGGAGAGAATCACCAACAAGAAACTATGCGAACAAACAAACAAAACAAGAACCAATCGCCCAACAAATATGCAGGAGAAAGTGGAGATGGATCGGACACCCGCTGAGGAGGCCGCGGGGTGACATAGCGCGTCAGGCCATAGTTCGAGTGGAACCCGAAAGGGAAGCGGCGAGTGGTTTGTCCAAGAGTGACATGGAGGAGATCGTGCGAAGAGGAATTGAAACAGTATGGACTAACATGGATGCAGGTAAAAAGTACAGCAGAAGACAGAAGGAAGTGGAGACGTGCAGTTGAAGTCCTATGGTCCACTAGGAACCCAAGGGAACAATAATAATAATAATAATAATCTAGGATATTCTATGTATATAAACATCTATATATAATAGTAGAGCCAGAAGAGGAATTTATCGAAAAGGATATTCTTTGCTCGATTCGAAAAAAGAAGCTAGGATCTAATGAATAACTTTTTGAGCAACTGACAGATGTGGCGTAGCTTATTGGTTTCAACACTCATGTTTTAGACTAAAGAGGTTCCAGGTCCAGATCTTGCCTCGCCTACTTCAGCTGGATAGCGTTATAACTCCCTATAGAATGAGTGTGGCTCATACATAATCTGGTACATGAGGAATATGAGTTCTGAAGCATTAACTAACCAACTCTCTCTCTATAACTGTTAAAATTTCTGTCTTAAGAACAGAGTAAAGTTAAAAGCGGAGTTAAATCAACTATTTCTTCATTGTCTGTCTGTCTGTTTTCAACATAGAACTTTGCACCGATGTGCAGCAGTTCAAGTCGCCACACTCCCTCCTTGTAGCACACAAAGCAAGAGAAGAAAGTAGAAGAAATGCATAACATAGACAGTAAACAGAGGTGTGAGACAAAGGAATAGTAATAACGAAGAACAGAACAGTTTAATTGGAAATCATGAGTCACAAGGAGTGGATGCATCTGCGCCACTGAGAACGATTTTGAGCCATGTCACCAATTGTTTCCAACCATTGGATTTTCCGTCCCGAGGACCCCAACCAGGGAGTCTACACCTTCCTACGTGGCCTAGACTAACTGTTGTGGATTTCATTGACTAGTGCCATGTTTTGGTTTGACCGCCGCTAGCTCTTTTCCAGTCTAACCCTATGTCATTCAGCTAACATTGCCTGTCGGTCGAGGAAGGCGATGACTAGGCATACGTAACACATGTCATAACCATCTCAGTCGATATAGCTTCATAGTTTCGTCGACTGATTTCCCCTTCTTCATTAAAACATATCAGTGGTATAAAGTAGACAATTTTAAACCAAGACAAGCAAAACTTACTTGCAGATTCTACTACAGTATGTGAAGGGGTTAAATCTGGTTTGGAAATCTGGTGTTGTTGTTGATTATTAGTATTATTGTTATTATTATTATTACTACTATTATTATTATTCCCAACAACAGATGATATAATAAACATAGGTTGATCACTTTTTAATTCCTTTGTATATGGAACTGGTGTTAATAATGTACACTGCATTTGACCCAGGGTATTATTATTATTATTGTTAGCTGAGTAGTTAGGCGAAACACCATCACGATAAGGATGAGTCAAAGAAGTATCCATGTAGGTATCACCACCCCCACCAGCACCAACTAAATGTCCATTATTATTTCGATTTGAACATTCTGTTGGTAAAGTTGTTTGACTGTCAGATGTTGAATGTTGAACCAAGTAAGGCGTAGACATTTGATTTGGTAACAGAATATTATTCACCTGTTCCAAAGCTGTAACCATAGCATAGAGAGTTAAAAGAAAAATAGACATTAGCAAACAGATACATTGTTGTTACATAATAGCTGTGAGCATAAGAAAATCAAACAACTAAGGAATATAGGAAGACTAAAAAGGGGAATAATGCATACTCTACTTTGAGGCAATTTCCGCTTCCGATTAACCACTCAAAATTAGAGGATTTTCTAACATTGATATCATCAAATCAGTGCTTCTCTATATATGGTTCAAAAACTTGGCGGACATGTCACCAGAAGCATTTCTAATTTTGTTAACTTATCTTTTCACTCCACCCCCCCCCCTTTATTTTTCTTGATTTTTTGAGTTCTGCTCACTGTATTACATCATCAACTTCTCATTTGACTTCATGTGCACTGAAATTTTAAAAATATTGATCTTTTCTTATCTAATTACGTAACTATTACTAATTTTTTTCAAGAAACTTCTTTCTAACAAGATATATATACATATGTTGTAACACTTTAGACACCCTGTAAATCGCAATGCCCTATTATACTATGACGCTCTGACAATATGCTTGCTAATGGACAAAGGTTTGTTAAAATTGTACACTTTTTATTTTTATTTTATTATTAAAGAATTCAGGTTGTACGCAGCCGATGAGAATCAACGAAATAAAATGGATCCAGATTATTCTGCGCCAATGTTTCTTCTTTCTTTGTTCAAATTCTATAAACAGCTTTTGCTTCAAACTGGAGATCAGATGGCTAGAAAGGATAAGCAACAGGGAAATCTGCGGACGAACCAATCAAGAACCCACCGCCCAACAAGTATGCAGAAGTAAAAGGGAGATGGATTAGACAGATGCTCAGAAAACCATTAAGTGACAGCCCTCCCCAGGTCATCGCTCGAGTGGAACCCTATTGAGAATCGATGAGTTGGGCGTGGATCCGAGAATGACATAAAGGAGACTGTCGTGTGAGGAATCTGAGAGATTATGAACAATCGTGGAGCCAGATAAAGAGGAAGAAATGGAGATGTTTAGCTGAAGTCCTGTGTTTTCACTCGGAACCCAAGGAAATAGTAATAATAATAAATAATAAAATTAGGGGATACTGAACAGCTTGTTTCATTCATGTTAACGGCTCATTAATCGCACATAACTAAGATGTGCGTGTAGTAAAACTTCTGATAATGAAACAATGTATCTGGTAATGTATCACCAGTGATATTCCTAATTGTGGTGGACTGGATTATGCGTCAGACAGTGGGAAACGAGAAGACAGGGATATCCTGGACCGACGTGAAGAACCTAGAAGACCTGAATTTCGCGCGTGGATGATTTATGTTTGATGTCACACAAAATCGAAGAATTACAAGCGAAAACCGACAAACTGGTCGAAGAAGCAGCCAGAGAAGACAGGACTCCAGGTGAACATAGACAAGACGGAGGTTATGAAAATAAACAACCAACAACAACAACAACACCAGCAACATCCACCGCCAATCACCATCAACGGGAGGCCGGAAAGAATCGCCAACAAGAAACTATGGGAAGAAACAAAACAGCAACCAATCGCCCTACAAATATGCAGGAGAAAGTGGAGATGGATTGGACACTCGCTGAGCTGAGGAGGCCGCTGGGTGACATCGCACGTCAGGCCATAGCTCGAGTGGAACCCGAAAGAGAAGCGGCGAGTAGTGGGATGTCCATGGGTGACATGGAGGAGATCGTGTGAACAGGAACTGAAACAGTATGGGTTAACATGGATGCAGGTGAAAAGTACAGCAGAAGACAGAAGCAAGTGGAGACGTGCAGTTGAAGCCCTTTGTTCCACTAGGAACCCAAGGGAACAATAATAATAATACACCGTAGATGATTTTCACGGTAACTGTTTACTACTTCTGTCTTGTGATAAAATCCTCTTTAAGTTACAGAAAATTTTCACAGAAGTAATTCTTAGTTGCTTTGATTGACTTCTATGAAAGATATGCAAATATTATGCTTAAGCAATTCATGACCCTTTCTTCGTAAAGCTGATAACAGATTATGAAAGGTAATAATAAATTTACTCTACTCTGTAAATTATATTGCACCTTGTAGTTAATCAATATTTCCTGTCAACAATAGCATGACGATTGCCTGTACTACCTGTTGTTTTAAAATTTTAAGATTCCTTATTATTATCAGCACTTTTTTCTTTATTCCTTCACTTTCAATTGGCTTCAAGTTTTGAAGTTGCAGTAGCAATGGTGATTTGTTTTTCACAGGGTGGCGTTGTTAGCGCTACATCCAACCTTGTCTTTTTCCCTGATTTATTACCGCCTAGTAGTAAACCAGGAGATGTTGATGAGTGCGTCAGTCGGGAATCCATCCTAGGCCACCTCTGTATGGTTGAAGAACATTCTACTAGTGAACCATCGACGTGTGCCATGATCACTTATTGGATATTCATCAACAGCAGTGAAATCTACTGAATTACGTACTCTTTTCCCAAGAGTTGATAATGAAGTGTAGCCAGATTTCAAATAAACGTAACTGGACAGATATAAACACAAACACATAAACAGTTTTCCTCAAGCATTTCATTTCAGGATAGATGTTCTGTAGACTGAACTTCAACTCTTTGGTTACATCTTAGTTCAAACACGAAGTTTGATTGTTGTGATCGAATAACTCTGGTAGTCACCATTAATTATTGTTTTCGTTTTGATTAGTTAAACATGAAACAAAGGTGTACTTTTGATAGTTTGAGTTAAAGTTTTGGCTTATATTTTTTTAAAATTTTATTCCTTTACGTTCCGAGTGGAACGGAGTGAGGTTACTTAGTCTCACATTCAACGTTCCTACTTTACCGGCCTAGCGAGACTTAGGAGACTTAAAACCGCTAAACAACCGATGTACCAAAATGTTTAGCCAGTAATGACTTTTCTAACAAGTATTTCTACTGTAATAGACACATGAATACAGCTCAGTTAGGAGAATAATCAGTATGGTTTGTATATTCATTCAATAATCTTTTAATTTAAATTTATTTTCTACTTACGTTGACTTGTTAAATTCGGTAAAGTAGTACACAATGGCTGTAAAAGAAAAAGGATATAAAAGTTTTGTATAAGAATAAACAAGTTTATGTATCGTCGGACACTGGGGCACAAACAAAAACGACACAGAACAAATCATAAATTAAAACAGAATTGAGGACGGAAAATGTCTTAACCAAAACAGCCAAGAAATAAGTGAACATGAAGTTGGAATTCACGGGCCATTGGATCGGGTCCCAGTGGCTTACTGGTCTGGTCTACGAGCTCGCCTTGTAAACAGAAGGTCTTGGGGTTCGAACCCTGGCGGTGGGTACGTGCTGATGAAGAGTCCCGAACTAGGCTGAAGAAACAGCTGTCTAGTACTCCCAGCTGGTTTTCCAATGGTTCTCTAACCAATGTCAGCTGCTCATGATGAAATCCTGTAACCAAATAAGTGAACAATTTCAGCAAAAACGGTGATAACAAGGACTCCATAACGTGAAAATTTTAGTACACTTAATTGGTTACACACACAAACAACCATTATGAGCAAGTAGATTGTGCTCGAAATCAAATCCAGTTACTGATACTGTCAGGGTATGAGACAGATAATGGGTTCTAATGGAATATTATTCTCACATATTCCCACAGTTCAATACTGTATTAGCAACAGAATACTGTACACGTATTTGAACATTCTACTTCAGCTCGTTTAATGTAAACCGAAATCACAGGCTCAGTGATTGGTTAAAGGATACTATATATATATATAGAACAGCAGCAACATCCACCGCCAATCACCATCAACGGGAGAGATTTGAAAGAGGTTACTTCATTCACTTATCTAGGGAGCATTGTCTCAACTACAGGAGAAACGAACGAGGATGTCAAATCGAGAATCGGAAAGGCGAGAAACACATTCACCAACCTGAAAACAATCTGGAAATCTTCGTCACTCAGCCTGCATCAACAACAAAATTCGGATTTTCAATACAAACGACGTCACGTCAGTCAGTTCTTCTATACGGATGGATCACAAACTTGGCCAGTGTGTCACAAAGAATATTTCCAACACCCGGTTGCAGACCTTTATCAACAACTAACCGTCTTCGCTTTATACTGAAGATCAGATGGCCGGAAAGAATCACAAACAAGAAACTATGGGAACAAACAAAACAAAACAAGAACCAATCGCCCAACAAATATGCAGGAGAAAGTGGAGATGGATTGGACACTCGTTGAGGAGGCCGCTGGGTGACATCACGCGTCAGGCCATAGCTCGAGTGGAACCCAAAAGGGAAGCGGCGAGTGGGACGTCCAAGGGTGACATGGAGATCGTGTGAAGAGGAGCTGAAACAGTATGGATTGACATGGATGCAGATGAAAAGTACAGCAGAAGACAGAAACAAGTGGAGACGTGTAGTTGAAGCCCTATGTTCCACTGGGAACCCAAGGGAACAATAATATATATATATATATATATTACTGTATATTACTATGTATTGGATCAAATAAACTTATCTAGTATTGGAACACTAGAAGTAATTTGAATACAATAGGATCAGTCAATCAGATATATCCGATGGAGACTGAGGACATGTAGCCCCACAGTGAAACATTTTTTTAATACTACATGTTAAGCAGTATTGTAGTTAAAACGTGATGTGCACGTGGATGTCCTGAAAGTCATTATCAGTATTACTGTGCTTAATAGAACATTTAAAATTTACCCAGTACTAGATGTCAATACACACTGTCAACACAAAAAAATGATCTTTAAAACAAGCGGGAAGATATCCACCAGTAACTATAGCTGTAAAATACTCCCGAACACCAAGAGACTTCAATAAAGGGATTCACACTGTGTTACCAGAATCCCTCTCTTAAACTATACAAAGATAATAGTCGATCTGAACGGAGGATAAAATTCGTAAAACTACAAAACTTTTGTATAACAATATTTGTATCATGTTAAGGAAAAAACATTTTGGTGACTTCAGAAATTCAGTTTCATTTGAATTATGATGTCTCCCAACAGGGTTGTAATATGAAGTGCTCGAGAGAACTGTAGAAGGTAATTGTAGCCACCATAATACTTAAAAGCCTGTTGAAAATGGCCATCCTGTAAGACAATTAACTGGTATCCCTATAGTAAATGATGATTAATTAAGTGCCCCCTTGATTAACTAATTTGTCGTTATTCCCTTTATTACAGTTATTGTACTTATATGAGAGTTTATACTGTGTTCACAAATTCAGTCAAAAATTCCATTCCCTTAGAATTTGTTCACCTGAGGATTTCGAATTTGGCTATTATGTGCAGAAGCATATTCACATGGAGGCTATTTCCTGTAACATATAAAAATAGTGGAATATATCGCCTTATCAGTCTCGTCTTGATTCACATATCTTTTATTCAGTGCTTACGACTAAAAATGTTTCTTTTTACAGAGAAATAGGCGTAAATTACACGTGATGATTGCGATTATTTCGGTAAATTTGTATTTCCCGTTGAATGTCAAGAAATTGACATATTTTCAGACCTGACAGTGGCACTCGATTCCGTCAACCGAGAGGTACTATGGCAATGTTTGGCTGTGAAGGGAATGCCGAGAAAATACATTGCACTGATCAAGACATTCAACTCGAACTCGTGCAGCTAGGTAAGAGCCTATGAAGAGTGGTTTCCGTCAGGGATGCCCTACTGTCCCCATTTCTGTTAAGTTCCATCACATATAGGCCAACGGAGTGAACCTTAACTCACTTCAGAGACTCAAGGATTGACTTGTTAACAGGAGGTAATCAGGTTGACTTAGAATATTCGGAGGACATAGTAGTCCTCCTAGGTGAAGACGCTGACAAAATGCAGTCTTCTGAACGCCTTGAGCAGCAATCTTCGAATATTCGGCATGCGATTGCCCCCCCCCCCCTCAAATGTAAGGTGATGCTACAGGACTGGACTACATCGACTCCTAGCTTAAAGATAGGGGGTAAAGTAATTGGGTGTGTTGACCACTTCACTTATTTGGGAATTTGCATCAGCCAGTGCCAACGGGTTGATTGCTGACGAAATCTCTGCACGGATACAGAAGGCTCGTTTCGTATATACGAACTTACGCCATCTCTGGCATAAACGTGCTATCCAGCTATCGACTCAAGGGCGTGTGTGCTGCGTACCAGTTCGCTCCATCCTCCTTTATTGTTTTGAGACATGGCCATTGAAAATGGAAGACATGAAAAGGTTAGCTATCTTTGATCATAGGTGCCTGCATTCTATCTCCCGTGTTAGATGGTATTACAAGTTGAGCAATATTGAGGTTAGGCATCGAGTTCTAATGGTTGTAAAGTTACATCAGTTGAGATGGTTAGGACATGTGTTACACATTCCTGGTCATCGTCTTCGTCGACGAGCAATGTTAGCTGACACCGAACCCGGTTGGTCAAACCAAAACATGGCTTCGTCAGTCAACGAAATCTACAACAATTAGTTTAAGCTGGCCACGTAGGGAGGCGTAGACGTCTTGGCCGGGGTTCTCGGGATGGTAAGAACCAATGGTTGTAGACAATTGCTGATATGGATCAAAATCGTTTTCAATGGCTGGCGCAGATGCATCCACTCCTTGTGATTTGTCATATCCAATAAAATTCTTTTGTTCTTGCATATAACCATTCTCTTTTCCCTTACACTTATGTTTATTCTCTCCCTCTCTTTTGAATCTCTCTATACTCTCTTCTCTTGTGCTTTTGTGTGCTACATGGAGTGTGGCAACTCGAACTGCTGCACAACTGTACAAAGTTGTATATTGAAACCAGTCAGCCAGTCTCGTTGAGTGAGCATTTTACTTTCAAGGGGAAATGCAAATTGACCTGAAAACAAGTAATGACTGATGCCCGTTGCACAACAGTTGACTCTAATGGCCTACTGGATAACGCTGTGGGTATAGGGTTAGAGTCCTAATAGGAACAACATCACTCACTAGAGAAGCATACGCCCCACTGACGAGTCTCAAAAAGGACGAAACGAGTATCCTAGATTCTACTACTAGTTACCACCAATCAAAAAGTCACACTGTGCAATGACTGAATTTAGATTATGGGTTTGATATAGGGATTTAAATTAATTGCAGTGTTGTCGGTGAAGTGACTGAGCGGTCTAAGGCGCTGGTTCTAGGCACCAGTCTGAAAGGGCGTGGGTTCGAATCCCAACTCCACCAAGCGCTTTTGAACGCCAATACCATCAACGACCAACTCTCAGCCAATCACGCGACACACTGTCAGTACAGCCAATCACAGTTCTCGCCCAATGCACACAACACCACCAGCAGCTTCATCGCACAACTCACATCATCACACTGAATTCCCGACTCGCATGCACACTGTCTACAGTTGAGTAACACAATAACTATCCCGCTGTGTCACTCGCGACATCTCTCCAACCCATGCCTCTCTCATTTCACAATCAACTCACCGCCTTCCTCTCTCGTATTCATCATTCTTTAATCAATGAAATCCTTGACAGTTAAACTGAGTCAGTTAGGGAGATGCAGACTTCCGGGTTGGGGCCCGCCCTCGGGACTCTAAGAATCAATGGCTGGAGACAATAGGTGACATGGCTCAAAATCGTTGTCAATGGCTTACGCAGATGTATTCAGTCTCTGTAATCTTTCTTATTCCTTGCTACCATTACTGATTCTGTTTCACTCTTACACTTGTCGAAACTCTATTGATTCTCTTCACTCATCTTCTTGTCTGCCTTTGTGAGCTATTTGGAACGTGGCAACTCGAACTGGTGCACTTCGGTGCCAAGTTCTATGTTGAATCCAGACAGACAGACAGACAGAATTGCAGTGTAGATTTTGTCACAAACCAACATCAATTAGAGAGAGATCACTGAAAACCAGGGAGCACTCACTGGACAGCTGTTTCATCCTCTACATTGAAATTCATCCAAATCCCTGCGAAGACCTACAATCTAAATATCAATCTCTAGCTCACTGATTACTACTGGATGGATGGCCTGAAGTTGCACTGAGAAGTCGTGGCTAGTGGGGTCCGCAATGTCGAGGTGAGGCGGATACGGATAAAAAGCATTGGTTGGGATTAACGGTATATCACGAGTCAACAAAGTTAGAATTCACGGGTCACTGGATTCCCGCCCATGTGGCTGAATGGTCAACGAACTTAGTTTCGCAACTTGAAGGCCTCGGGCTCGACCCTAGCTGCATCTTGGGGGGCACTGCTGATGAATCCCATCCTGGGACGAAACAGCTATTCAGTGATATTTATGTCTGTTTTTAAGACTAAATACAGCCAAATAACATCTGATAAGTTGCAAAGAAACAAGCAGCTGTGAAATAAGATCTGGAATCAATTAACAAACATATTTTTCAGCAATCAAGTGAACCACCAACTTATTCCAGTACAATTAAAAAGCATCACAAGTTTCTATTCGTAGCTTCTAAGTTATTCTAAGTAAAAATTATCTAGTTATTATAAAGATTCTAAATCTATAAAAGTGCTAAAATTATATATTATACATAAAAAGTAATTAATTACCTTTGAATGTACAATAGTATTATTATCACAGGTAAACGGGGATGCTGAAGAACATTGTTGAGCTGATTGATGATGCAATGGTCTATGATACTGAATTAAATGAGCATCATCAGAGGAGAATTGATGTTGTGTATTGGATGCATGAGAGGAGGCAAGTACAGGTTGAATATGATTTAAATATTCACTTGTTACTGTATTGGTTGATGTTATTATTAAAGGATTAAGTGGTAAGGCTAAAGAGCTCACCGGTCGTCGCATATGATTCTCTGTGACAGTATTATTATTCACTGAATTTCGTGAATGCATATTAAATGTTGGTGGCTGTGTATCAACAATATACCTGACACTTGATGATTGCATATCAATTGGATCAGTGAATTTCTGTTTATCAACATCCATAATTTGACAATTATTATTATTGTTTATATTTTTCACACTTAAAATGGAACCGGTTTCTTCCTCTTCTTCTTCAACTTCATCATCATCATCCTCTTCCTCCTCCTCGTCGACATTATCATCTCCGTTATTGCTTTCTTCATTCTTGATATTTGAATATGGTTCTGGTGGTATAACAACACCACCAGGTCCATTACAGTTGGACCGCATTCGACGTTTGGTTAACTAAAATGGTTTTTTTTTAAAAAAGAAATTAACAAAACAAGTAATACAAGCAACGAATTTACTAACTGATTAATTTTCAAGTTTTGGTTTGCAGTTAGAGAACCACAGAAAACCTGGTGGTACTGGACAGCTGTTTCGTTCCAGTTTGCGACTTTTCATCAGTACACACTCATGACTCTACCGGAGATCCAACCTAGGACTTTCATATTACAAGGTGAGCTTGTTGACCTTTCAGCTTAGACCTCAGAATTATTTACAACATGATGGCAGTCAGTGAGAACACTTATCCGGAGGCAGCGTCAATCGAAAACGCAGTGTCACTGCTTGCCTTCAGTTCCATGGCCAGGTTTTACGCGCGTATAGCCCCTCTGGGGGCACCAAAAGACTGAACACCAGACTAACGTTTAGACGGCACCAGGGGTGTCCTACATTGACATATACAGTGCTAGTTTTCACTATCCCATCAGAGATTTCACCCGTCACCTTTCTGCTAGCATTCACACAACTACCTAGCTACATAAACTTATGTACGGTCTACCAAACAACGAAAAGGAAAACACACAAGAGTTGAACTATCATGTCAGTAAAATAATCAATAACAGTACAAGTAGACAATAGAATGAGGAAATTTCCAGAAACATTCAATTACGGCCATGGTAACCAGGTGAGACGAATAATAAACTTATGGTGAATTCTAAAAGCTCACTACATGTTGATGTTTGTGCTGAAGACGTTGTCTAAAAAACAATGAAAGTTTCAGAGAAAACAATTACGCCAACAGAGCTTCTAGATTTTAATAAAAACTATGGTAACTCGAGTCAACACACTGACTTCCAAATATGTGCCGTGTAGTACATACCCAAAGCAAATCGGCAAGAACAGAGACAAACCTATAGACAATGACACAGGACCTAGCATAACTGTAAATTGTTCAGAATAAATATCCATAAGATGCATGACGAAAGTGTGAACTTCCTTCAGTTGTTGCATAGACCACAACTAAGAGGGGTATATTTCCTTTCCTTTTTTATGTAAGCGTAGCTAGCGTCAGGCATGAAATCTCTCTGATTAGATGAAAAAAGTGGAATGTTTCCAAACAAATCAAGAATAATTTAAAATACCAAATGATTACTTAGCAGAAATTGCATTCGTAAAATGTATTGCGAAATTTGTTTCACAAGCAGAATTAGTCAAAACCGTATGCCTTATAAATTACGTTTACACTGATAAGAAAAAAAAACACAAACCCAAATCGGACTTACCCTTTCCATATCAGAATTACTAAGGAATTCATTTGCACGATGATGTTTCTTAAGTCTTTGTAAAGCATGATCCACAGTAACACTAGCATACTGATAAAGACGATTGCTACGTGTAAATACTAGTAGGGCGATTTCACATTCACACAACACGCTCAACTCATAGGCTTTTTTGAATAAACCACTTTTACGCTTTGCAAATGTCACTAGACGATTCTTTTCATCTTTAATAAATTTTATTTCAATTTTTTTACGTCCCATTTTCTAAAATGAAAAAAAATAAAAATATGAAATTCTAATTAACCCTTAATTTTATTAGTGTATACACACAATTTTTTTTAAATAAACAAACAGGTGGATTGCAAGGACGACTAGAGTGACACATATCGATAACCAATCCATGAGCCTTTAAAAGAAAATTGAAGGTATGAAATTTTTTTAACTATGTAGTAACTTCAATCTGACGACAGCTTTGTTGGGCACTGGCATCCTATATGAATAATACCTATTTTGGTTGTGATCGTTTTGAACTAGTATTTCATGATTTCTTAAATGAACATCTACTGACATTGTGTGTAATTCAACGATGTGTTTAAAACTACGTCTATGAAATTGTATTCTTGTTGTCTAACTGATGAATCAAAATTACCACATAAAATGTGTCATGATCACACTACGACTAAGAGTTGTTTTTCATTATAACTTCGAAGCATATTTGAATTGATCATATACTTTTTTGTTTTAAATTGAATGAGAGAATCCAACAACAATAAAACAATTTGCAGTACATATATAGTTATATTAAAGAAAGCACTAAAATTTAGCTATTCAAGGTGATTAATTACTTTATCGAACTTAAAGTAGAAAAGCCATGGCTGTTAATGAGAAAATATCATGATTTTCGACAGCAACAGTGCTAATATCGATGTGTTAGGTGGAACAGGAAATTAATGCTACACTACAATAAATGAATTTATTCAAATCACTGTTCTAAAATAAATATAGTTGTTCTAATTTCGTCTTTTAGTATTCTCAGCACTACTATAATGATAGGTCCCAGTGGCTTAATGGTCTACGAGCTCGCCTTGTAACCAGAAGGTCCTCAGTTCGAATCCCAGTGGGCGCGTACTGATGAAGAGCCCCAAACTAGGACGAAATAGCTGTCCAGTACTCCCAGGTTTGATGTGCGTCGGTGGCACAGCAGTAGAATGCTCGCCAACCACGCATGTGGTCCGGGATTTGATCCCCAGGTGGCGCACTCCTTTACCTTGCTGAGCCAGTAATAAGACTAGTAAAAAGGGAAGGTTGGGCATGATGTTAGCTACCCCATCTCGTAAAATATAAACCCCAATGCTACAGAAACTTCAAGCCTCTAGCTTGAAGCCCTATGTTCCACTTGGAACGTAAAGGAATAAAAAAAATCACAGTGATAAGTCATTTGTTGTTTTAAGTTTAAGAACCTACGGATGCATAACTTTAACTGGCTAATCCCCATTACACTACTAACCGTCTAACCAGTCTGCACTTACACCTAGTCTAAGTAAAGAGAGTAAAATGGTAGAGTATACCAACTGCTTCAATTATTTTATGCTGCATTAGACCTAAACGACTCATTGTTGACTAAACCTTAGTGTGAATATAATAAAAGGTTCATTTAGCATTTGTCAAAATGCATCATCTTAGTCACTGTTATGATATCCAGACACTAAATGAAGGATGAATGGGCTACATAGCAGTTTATCAATCACATGTTACGGACTTGAGGCATAATCGTAGAAAGTAGATATAAGATTAGGAAAAATTGAAACCACAGATGGTTTCGTTTCTTTGTTAACACAGGTGAATCTATAGGTTAAATGATAGCATAGTCAGGTAAGGAGCGAAAATCAATCTATAAGACTGTAATGCTTGACTGACAGTTTCAGAACTCAGCTATTGAACACTTATGGAGATACCACGTTGACGTATTCAGGTCCCGAAAAGCTTGAATTATTTCATTTCCCGTGCACCTTCGATTATTGCAGTTTCATTAAATTACTTTAAGTTACTTTTCAATATGTTCTGCTGAAATGTGGCAGCTTAAACTGACGCAAATTTCTGCATTGATAAGTTAGGTAGTCGTCAGTCAATTAATTCACGGAATTTTCCGCTGTTATGAGAGCATTGAAACAAAAGTACGTGCTCAATAACTTTTCCCATTTACTCTGCTATAATATTTCTTTATCCTCCTGCTTTACACATTTGTTTACATACTGAAGTAACCTCACATTGAATCGAAACAATATTCCCAGTTTGAAATTTTAATAACAGATAGAAGTCCAACATAAGAATAACACAATCGAAATGAATTACTGGATCCTAAAGACGTAAACGACACCAGTAGTTAAGAAATGGTTCACTGAGTGACTTATTCAGGTCACCGTAGAGATGAATGGCAGCTAGTTGTACAAGTACCAATGAATGCATAAAACACATGGGTTACGATCTAGTTTAAGAGCCCGAGTATGAATGCTGTCAGCATCGATTTATTGGTTCAGCTTGGGGGTATGCCTAATCACTAAATTACAAGCTAACTAATAACCGAGCTCAGAAACAGACAACACAAAACTGACATTTTGTTTACGCTCATAACCGTGTTTATATTTGAAAACTGAATAAAAGAAATATACTGAGTATGTAGTGAATGACGAAGGTGTTATATAAAGATGAAGTGCACACTTCCAAAAGTGCTTTTCTTTTTACTAGTAACTCCCTTCGTAGAGTAAAATCTTCTAAACAAGGACCATATATGTCCCAAAACCTTTATTAATTTATTTTTCTACTTTCGATCATTTCCATAGCTTACTTGACTAGTTTTGCTTCTTCGTTTTTTTCCAGTTTACTTGCAACGCTTATTTACACGATTGCAGTCTATATCAAAATGAAAACATACAAAGTCATACTAGGAGATATCATTCATTGGTTTAGACATTTGACTTTCAGCCAGTGGGTCTCATTTTTAATCCTCTTCTACCTGCTTTAGTTCCAGACTGGGAAATATTTAAATCAAGTAAGCGAATTCTAATAACAATCATGTTACTGCATAGTGCGATGTTACTTATGAACGTCTGTCTGTCCGTTTTCGACATAGAACTTCGCACATATGTGCGGCAGTTCAAGTCGCTACACTCCATGTAGCACACAAAGCAAGAGAAGAAAGTAGAAGAAATGCATAATAGAGACAATAAACAGAGGTGTGAGACAAAGGAATAGTAATAACGAAGAACAAAAGTTTAATTGGAAATCATAAGTCACAAGGAGTGGATGCATCTGCACCAGTCATTGAGAACGATTTTGAGCCATGTCACCAATTGTTTCCAACCATTGGTTTTTACCGTCTCGAAGACCCCAACCAGGAAGTCTACACCTTCCTACGTGGCTTAGACTAGCTGTTGTAGATTTCATTGACTGGTGCCATGTTTTGGTTTGACCGCCTCTAGCTCTTTTCCAGCCTGACCCTATATCAGCTAACATTGTTCGTCGAGGATATGTTCTAACAGACTCCCAAATGCACGTTATTCTATAGATGAATACAACTACTGTGATTTAACTTAGATATTCACCAGGCGACTAGTCATTACTATGTGCAACGAGTCGAAGTCACTTGCTCAAAGCAAGAATGACCGATCCTTATTATCAGGTGTAGTAGATGCTGAAGTGTCTTCCCATTATGTAGTGAATAATGGTCATCTAAAAATGTCTATTCGACGAGCAAATATTTTGAGGAAAAACTAGAAAATATCACAGTCATTAATGCCAGCTGATGACAATACACTTAATGAATACAACGTGATCAGAACTCAAATAAAAATACCAGAAACAAAGGCATGTTAAAAATAGTAAAGCGAAAATGAAAACAAAAGATCCAAGTATTCATAAAATTATATATATATATATCGTGAACAAATATTGTTGAAACACAATCAGGAACAACAAAACACCAAATGCAAATATATTCAAAGGTTCAGATAGCCAAGCTGAAGAAAAGTTGTCATTTTGCGAAACTAGTCTACAGTAGCGCCAAAGCTAAGAATACAAACGGATGATGTAGGTTAAGATCCTATGTCGTTTACAAATATCGTTCCAGACTACACAATACTAGATTCTTCATAATAACAATGCAACCTTCAAACAGATTAGTAAAATGAAGTGTTCATGAGAAACCTATCGACACCGAAGGTATCACACAAACAACTTTAATTATAATCATCAGTCTTAAACCCCTAGCGAAGTTAAAAGGACTGCATAAATTTGACACTTTTCAATAGTACAACCAATAAATTTCAAAAATATCCTCCAAAAATAACTAAATCACAGTATGCATTTCCCAATGGAAGGTAAATTATTTAACGCAGAGCAGACTGGCGCGGATTTACCAAGTGATAACACAACCTGCTACGTAGTACTCCGTTTTGCATAGTATGCGCTTCGTGCTAGCAAACAGCGAAACAAAGACTAACAGTAGCCTACAGACAGTTTCAGTAGTCGAAAACTTAGTGTCTCAGAGTAACTGCGCAAAAGATGATAGTGCATATACAGTGAGTAGTACGCAACATCAAAACTAAAACAAAATGGAATGACACGCATCAAAATAAAATTATATTCATCTGTAGCACTGTAAGAAACTATGCTGTGCCTAAGTGTCTAGGTTACGTTCGAATTTTGACAGGACAAAGTAGGGAAGGTCAATGAATTGAAAAACAGGAAATAATTCTCGACTCAATCCACTAACTAGTGAATTATTTCTACTAAGTATAAGGCCCAATTCAATAGCTACAATAGCAAAACACGTGGAGATACACCAAATTCAGAATCACACCGTAAAATACAGTCATTCCGTATTCATCAAAGCTAATGAATAGACTATAACCTTGCACTTTAAAAGGCAATCATAATTAAAGCAGTTATCACGGACAAAGGCTACAGCAGGAGTTTAATATCTCTAGTATCTCCAAGCATTGAAGTTCGGTTGACTACAAATACATTGATATTTTCAGAACTACAATTATTTTTTGACAACTAAACCTATTAACATAGAAGTCGATGTATTTTACATGACAATTAATTACAGCGGACATAAAACGCCACATTTACAGCTAAATTAAACTCATACTATTTATGTTCCTACATTTTTGTCTTTCTGAACTGCTTACCCCAAATAAAACACCTGTTTAACAGGGTACGAAAGTCATAAGGTCACCCATACACCCACTTGAAACTGGGCTTAATATTAGCGTGACCTTGAGAATTAGTGCAGAATAAGTAATTAGTATGTCTTTTAAATTTGTGTGACATTTGATGCAGTAGCCTTCATTACACTCCAAATTTTACACATGTACAGGAATCCAATTTTTTAAAGGCAGTTCAAGGCCACTGAACTTACAGCAAAATCACTGCTCCATTTACATGTACTCTACACGACCACGTCTTCTTCACTGCAATATATCCCATTCATACTGAAAAATTCCGTCTGGCACTACACATCAACGTCCAAAAATTTCAAGGACACCACTTATTCTCATAAAATCTTTTCATTTACTGAGTTATGAGAAAAGTTTACGATCCCCTGTTTGCGAATTATTGTAGTTTGAACTCTTTCTAATTTCATAGGAAACTTTGGGGGATTTTCCGTCTGCGATTTGAATTCGGAGGGCAAAAGTTCCATGTATTAAAATGTCATCCAAGTAACTAGCCAGATGTCCAGTAATTTGGGCTGATTACGCTCTGCCAGTGAAGTGAAAGTGGGTACAACGCAATCAAGCTCGGTGCAAGTGAACATCATAGTCTTCTAATATTCAGGTTTTTTGGTTGTGACTAACTCCTGAAACCAAAACTATGTGACAGTGAGAAGACATTTGAGTTATTCTATCATTTTCCAAAGGGAAAACAGAATATCTCATTCTGCTCCAGTTTTTCTCTTTACTTGAAACAGAATATGTAGACTCGGATGCAGTTCTTAAAATGAGCATCAGTGTAGACGGGATGCAGCGACCTTGACATATAGTACTCAGGCCATCGAAAAGCTCATAGGAGCGACTACAGTAAATGGAATTATTTGCTTTCCAAGTTGCGGTGTCAACTGTCAATTTCTAAGAACTATGAACTCTACATGACGCTCAAAGTTTCTAGAACTTGATTAAATATAGAACTCCCTCCCTTCAAAATCCTTCGACGTGGTGCTTTTTCAAAGATGACTAGGGTGTTAACCAAAATATAACAGGAGTTGTAGTATCGAATGTGTTTTTAAGTTTGACAGTCTGGTCAGTATTAAATGACCAACGTTCCAGGACTGATACGTCCTCCATTTCTGACCTTCACTCCAAGTCAAATTCTTAGATGTAAATGAATCCTAATCGATCTCGAAGTAGTGGAAGAGATTAAGGGACATTTTCGTTTTCATTCTTAAGCGTGAAAACTGAGTCAGTGGGCGAACACTGGTACCGAAACCCGGAATTCAGAGCGGAAATAAACGGAAAGTTTCTTGGATATGCTCTAAAGAGCAATGCGTTTAAGTGGAATAAATGTTAAGAATTTTTGGGTAAAAGATTTTAGGATTGTGTGGCTAATTTGGTTGGAATATGGCCTTGCACTGTGCGTGCAAACAAGCATAAAAGAAGTGCATGGCGCCACCCGAATCTGCTCATATGCGTTTCACTTGCGTTCAGTTTTACTTACTTCTTTTGGCCCTATTTGTACACTACTAACATGGAAACACGTAGACAGCGATTTTTTAAAGCCACATAAGCTGACTGGATGGAGCCTACGGCGCTATCCGCAAACATTTCTTCTGACAGTAAGCCGATAGAATTTTTCACTTACCGGTTGTGACCCAGCAAGTCAAGAAGCCTACGCTCATGATTATCAGCACTGGTCCTGAAACTTACGCCACTTAGACAACTTAGGTAAGGATACTTTTCAATCCCTAGTAACAAGTGATCACTCTGTGCTCAAGCTCAAGTTCAAAGCTGCTGCAATATAAAATCTGACTCACATAAAGCCTTAGGAAGCCATTACTTCCGCAGCCTCATTATTATTATAATTATTATTGTATCCTTTAATTCCTACAGGAACAGAGGGCTTCAGCCGTGCGTCTCCATTGCGTTCGGTTCTCTGCTAGAGTCTTCACCTGGCTCCATGTCTGCCTACATGCTTTCATCTCCTCTTCACATGACCTCCTCTAAGTCACCCTTGCACTGACGACCAACTCGCCGCTTCCCTTTCGGGTTCCACTAGAGTGATGTCACTTGATGGTTTCTTCAGAGTATGGCCAATCCATCTCCATTTCTTCCTGCCTATTTGTTTCACAATTGGTTCCTGCTGTGTTGGTTCGCTCATTGCCACAGATCTCTGTTACTGATCTTTTCTGACCGGCTGGCCATCTGATCTTGAGTATTGAGCGAAGACAACTGTTGATGAAGGTCTGTAATTTGTTTGAGATGCTCTTTATGACGCGCTAGCCAAGTCTCTGATCCGTATAGTAGCACTGACTGAATTCACATTGGAGTTGAAAATCTGGATCTTATTTTCATGCTGAGTGCTGTTGACCTCCACACAGACTTGAGAGTAATGAAAGCTTGTCTTGCTTTTCCGATTCTTGCTTTGATATCCTCGTCAGTTCCGTCCGCCTGTAGTTGAAACGATGCTTCCAGGTCGGTAGGTAAAAGAGGTCGTTTCTTTCAGGTTCCTCCCATTTATGCTGATCGTTGTCTGTTGTTGTTGTTCTTGTCCAGGAATCTTCATTACCTCTGTTTTCTCTATGTTCACCTGAAGTCCTATCTTTGATGCTTCTTCTGCTAACTTGTTACTTTTCGCTTGCATATCTTCCAGTTTGCGGGAAATCAGACATATATCATCGGCGAAGTCCAGATCCTCCAAGTTTTTTGTGTGTGTCCATTTTATGCCTGTTTCCTCATTGCCCACTGTTTGTCGCATTATCCAGTCTACTGCAATGAAGAAAATCTTTGGCGATAGTAGGCAGCCTTGTCTCACTCCTGTCCTCACTTCGAAGGATTTCGGAAGTTTCCCGTTGTGGATTACTCGGCATGCAGCATTGTCGTATAGCTGTTGAATGAGATGTATAATTGTCGGTGGCACCCCGTAGTAGCGAAGTAGTTTCGAAATCACCTCTCGATCGACGCTGTCGAATGCCTTTTCAAAGTCGATGAAGTTGAGATAGAGAGGTGACTGCCATTCCAGGCTTTGTTCAATGATGATCCGTAGTGTGGCGATCTGATCAATGCATGACTTGTTTCTCCTGAATCCAGCCTGTTCCGGTCGAAGTTTTTCATCCAGGGCGTTAAACGTGAATTCCATGTGGCGTCCGTCCAAGTAAGCCAGACTTTCATCTCATGGTCTATCTCAAAAGTTCGCAAACACTGCTATAACTTGCAGTAGATTTATGAGCTACTTAGGCGTAAAGTTCAGTGTTAAATCACCTTTCTCACATCCAAGACTTCACAGGCCTGAAAGCCATGGTGAAACCCAAGACACTACTTTCTAATACGAGTTCCAGGATTAAGAAGTCCTGCATAGTCTCCAGCTTAGTAGCAAGTACTAACACAGTCTAAAAGAATCAGCAAATGTGGAAATAGTAGTAGAAAATCACTTCAGATAATTCAACACCAGCAGCTTATCTCTGGCTGTAACACCGTAAAATGGAGTGGATTCAGTTGCCTCAAAGCAAAGGAATGTGTCGTAGTATACAAACAAATAAAACTAGGAGAAACCAATGATACGCGATGATCATTGACGAAGGCTACTGCAGGATAAAGTATATCACGAATCAGGGTACAGATGAAGTCATGGAGTCCTACATAATATATCTGTATAGTTTTTGCTAAGTGACGAAAATGGATACACTGTACATCATTTTTGTTTAGTCGACTTCCTTGTTAATAATACTTCACTTTGGAATTCAACAGGAAACACCGCTGTGCTGTCCTTCACTTCGCTTTCTTACTGGTTCTTATTCCCTTCAAACCCCACGGATACGCGCATTATATTCTTTGGAACTTACAGGAACACCTCATCCTCGTCGCAAGATTAATCCACAAATGGCATACAACCTCTATTAGTTTCACACTTCAAGCATTGGAACAGATCTATGATTGGTATTAATAATTTGTAGCACGGGAATTTATCGGCATTTCAGGTGGCCATTAACTTTTACAACTGGTTAACTGCAGTTTTTCAATATATTGTTACAATATTCTTTCAGTGAACTGAATTTTTATTCTGATATTTTGAACAGTTATCATGGTAGTTATTGAGTCTTCCAGAGGAGAATTTTAAGGAAATATGTTGGTTGTTGATTCTACGAGGTCTCACTAAATTGAATCATGTTAGCCCTCGTGTGACTAAGACCGTTTCTAAAATTTCATCTGGTCGGAGGTAACTCTTTTTGTACTGCAACGTAGTTTCCTCGCAGCCCTAGAATTTATCACCAGCTAATGAAATCTGCTTTGTTCGTCTTCGCAGATAATCTAAAAATTTGGAGAGAGCTTACGTTGTGTGTATATCACAGCAAACTTTTAGACTGGTTTATAGAATGGTCACTATTGAGGATAACATAGGCTTGGTGTCGGTCCGACATATATATGCTACTTCCTCACTCAGCTCACACGCACACGCACCTAGATGTAATATTGAGCCGCAACCTAAAAACTGCTCTTGCGCAGTGGCAGCTTGCATTTTTATATCCTAATGGGTGATAGTGTAGACCTGTTGTAGAATCAACATTGAAGTGTTCATCACTACAGATATATCTCAGTGGGGTCAAAATTGCGTCCACACAGCTGAATCTCGACTCACAATACGGTGCATACCCTCTAGAAGGCGTTCAGAGGGTATGATGATGAATACTGCATACAAGAGGCGAGTCCATGCTTCAAAAAGGAGGCACATATCCTGGAAAGAGTACAGAGAGTAGGAACCAAAAATAGTTAGCAGTATCTCACACCTTCCTTATAATAAGAGGATGGAGCATTTAAATATCTCCCCGCTATCATACCGAAGGAAGAGAGGCGACTTACTTTTAGCATACCGTATGCCTAAGGGTGATTTGAGAACTGACCTTTCTAAACTTTTCTTCCCTTCCAGGATACATTTTCGGGGTCACCGCATAAAGGTGCCCAAACCTAGGACGATTAAAATATGTGGAGAATTTAGATCCTCTCACAGAGTGGTCAACGACTGGAACTCCTTACCTGATTCAGTAGTATCAACTCCATTGGCGAACGCTTTCAAAGAGAAGTTAGATCTCTGCAGAGATATATTTTGCAAGGATTAACACAGGCCAGAAGAGCCTTCTATCTTTATAATCTGAATGGCCAATTTACCTCCATATCATTCCGTATGCATGGAATAATTGCAATCATTATGTTCAGAATCCTAAGAAATTATTATGAACCCGATCTGTTTTCTCTCTTCCTTCTCACGACACCGCAATATCTCGGAAGAAGCAGCAGGAGAGTTCAAGATCACAGCAAGAACTATATCAGAATGAAGTACTGGTTCTCTCACTGAGTTATAAACTTCTGAAAATGACTCGTAGAAGAAGTGTGTCCGCGCCCTCACCTGATTTATTCTGTGGGGGGCTTAGATGCTTATTTGATAAGAATTAGGACAGGCTTCAATCCTTCTATCCTTAACCGAATATCTATATCTGTACCTGAAAGTGTAACACAAATCCTAATTAGATATAAAGCTTTTCAGAATGTTAACACATTACATTGTTTTCAGGAAGCTTTGGCACACAATCCTCGGCTTTTTACGCATGTTTATATTGGCTTTTAGAGGCTGAGTGTGTCGACGATCACGGATAATACGACAAATACTAACGAAAGATCAAATACTCACAACTTCTATAGTATTCGTTCCGCGTAGACCAAACAGAAAGCGAAATACTAAAATTGATCGCCCACATTACGAATTACATTTCAGGACCGAATCGGAGTGCGAGATGATTGCTTAACACGACGGCGTGTCAAATAGCGTGTTTGCTTGACCGGAAGCCTTCAGCTAAACAAGTTGACTTAAACAGTGAGCGTCAGGATCCAGTGTTCAGTGATGAGCGCTGTGGCTAACGATTTTGGGGAATTGCATACCGCTACAGTCTAGTCTTCAAACTTATTGAACTGAGGCTAATCAGTAGCCTCATGACAACTTACTTGCTGAACATCAGTTCTGTTAGTTTATTATATTTTTTTGATTACAGCTTGATTCCACACAGTATTTTTTTGGTGAAGATATGGAATTTCGAGCATGTGATATCGGTAGCCCAAATTTTGTAGGCCGACCATAGATATCAAGTGTGTGTTGGCAGGGGATCTAACCCCGGACCATGTGCATAGTCGGCGAGAGTCCTACTGGGACAAAATAACGGCTCCGTTAAAAATCAAATTTTCAAGATGTATTTATATTCCTCAGTAGAAACCAAACGTTATTTTGAGCCATTCAACGAAGAAAATTCCACTAGTTGTTTAAATATTTGAAATGTCTAGGTGACTGGTTTTGGACCAATAGTCACAAAACAGGTTGGTGCGCGTACTTTGATACTTTGTAGTACACGTATCTAACTGATCATGTCAGGAATGCTCTTGATACTGACTGTTGTCGCTTTCCAAGCTTTGTCCCTAACTTGCATAGGTTTGTTTTTTGTTTCTAAAAGTTGAATCTCAAAGATGCTATATCATCGATGTCAATTGATATGGGCACTGAGTTTATGAAAGTTGCAGTGGTTTTGGTTTGTTTCTTTTTCTTGGTCAATAGTTATTCATTCTGTTTCAGCCAGGAATGCCTATGGAAATAGCTCTCAACGCGTAAGTCCAAAGTTCGTGTGTTTATACATACCTTTTCTCAGAGATTCTAAGCGAAAAACATCTACAGCGGTCGGTTTCAAAGACAATGAAAGGGTTTTTGCCAGTCATGCAGTTAATTTGGTAAGCGGGTTGCTATACTTCTATTTAGAACTCCATCTGATCATTCAGTGAGGTATATGTATAGTATATTAACCATTATTACTTTGTTGGGAACCCAAGCCAATCGGTGTAAACACTGCTTCAAATTATTATCTTCATACCTAAACTTGGAAGATGTAAAATAGTTATAAATTTGTATAGAATAGCGTGATTCACAGTCTAGTACATTAACGAAGTCGCCGAGTTGCTTAAGAACACCTACTGGAATTATAGTTATTCGTTTGCTCATTTACGTTCTCACTAAAATGTAATTGAACTTAAGTCACTAGTATCATAATAATTTCATACTAAGTACCGCATCGATTTCACTACAATTTACTTGGCAGTCAAAATTTAAAGTCACTGATTTTCCTCAGGCAGTAGATCTCTAAGTTCACGTGTATTCTATACAGATTGTCTGCACCTCGAAACCAGTTCCCGTGTAGTAACGGACTTAAACCACATGGATTTCGTTCTTCGCAATTAATTATATCAAAATTTGCATGCAACAGATGCATACATAACTTCTAATAGAAGTGCACTACTTCAAGTTGCTACCCGTTAAAATAACTCACAATGGCAATTAAAAAATTCAGAACATTATTTAAAAACCTGTGGTAAACACCCATTTTATTGGCTTGAAATGGAAAAAGGTCAAATCAGTTGTGTTTATGTTGATGCATGTTACGAGTTAACTCATTGGATTAGGTTTCCTGTATGAAATGTTTCAGACTTTATTAGCTGTTGAAGCAATACTATGTATAGACTTATGAGTGATCCATTTAAGCCGCATACAGACTGCGTCGGTGGTCCAGCGGTAGAGCGCCGGCCGGCTATGCATTTGGTCTGGGGTTCGAGTCCCGGCCGGTGCACTCCTTTAACTACCTTAGCTAGACAAGGAGGGAAGGTTAGGTGTAAGGCTAGCCACCCCACCTCGTAAAAACACTACTGCTACCGAAAATTCAGAGCTAAAGCTTGAAGCCCCATGTTCCACTGGGAACGTAAAGGAATAAATAAAATGACTGTATGCGTTTTTCTCTTTAGACATTTTTGTAACGGCTTTCTTCTTCAAAGCAGACACCTAATATGTTTAGGAAATAAAGTTGAATACCAAACCTCCAGAATACTCCAGTGAATTTATTTTATGGCCTTTGGAACTTGGTGTACCTTTGTGTCGAGTTCTTTTTTGAAATAATATTTGGGCTCTGAAATATGCTTGTTTCTATGGTTGTTAGTATTCTTTTCTCTTTAAAGTTAATGCTAGTATATTCATATTAATTTTTATTTAACAGGCTTCTAAATGTCCTGAATGTGTATACCAGTCTGTTCCATCTCTTCTGGGGAAGACATTAAATCATCCCATGGTGAAAGTTTTTCAGGAGCGTTATCCTTATCACAATTTGTCCTATGATACCTCAACCGGACAGTTATTTTTTACTCAAAAGGATGGAACAGTATATTCAGTTGATGAACTGGTTGGCATGCTTCTTGAATATGCGCATGATTATGCTGAACAGTATTCTGGTATGTTTTTCTGTAATATAAACGGAATTATGGTATAACATCCGATCATCCTATTATTTGAAGTGAAAGTTGTTTAATTCGGATTATTCGGTATCTGAAATTAAGCTTCTTAAGATTTCACATTTTATTAATTTGATTGTAAATGTGTGTAAAAAGGGAGATGACGTGTACTCGCAAATACATTAAAGGTTACTTTGTCAACATACTGGAAATCTGCGATGATACTTTAGCAGTTAACAGGAATATCTGCCAAGACGTGCTTTTTGGATAAAGCTTATTAAACTAATATACTAACAGATATAAGAAGCAAAGGCAGTACTTTTAAATCACTTTTGACCAATAAAATATTTGTGACAAACACGTAATATCTGTAAACATTTCGTTTAACCTGCGTGTTAATTGGTCTTCAAAAAGTTATCACTCTGGAAAGCAGAAATAAAGGATTGGAGATAATGAGGTTTCTTCCAGCCTAACAGATCACATCATTATCTGTCAAATCTTAAGGAAAAACAAACATTGCTGGCCAGTGATTTTCTATGACTATTGATATAAGTATAAAACTTGGGCACTGTGGTAGAGTATAATTCCATTATAAATAAGATTTTATTTTGATAAATCACAGTGTTATACAGTAATATTAACTGATGACGTTTCAAGCACAAACTATTGCTCTTAATCATATCAAGTCACACACTACTTTCTTGCTTCATTTATATACATGAGTGGAATTGATTAGACATTAGAATAGATATCAATATAAGATAATGTACATCTTATTTCCCATCTGATTGTAATTGATTGATAACACTCATATTATTATTTCTGAATGTACATTATCCTATATTGATTTTTATACAGATGTCTAATCATCGATGTTTACTCATGTATATAAATGAAGCAATAAAGTTATGTGAGCGACTTGATATGATTATGAGCAATAGTTTGTGCTCGAAACGTGGTCATCAGTAAATATTACAGTACAGCACTGTGTGATTTATCAAAATAAAATCTTATCTCTAATGGAGTTTATATGACTATATTGATTCACTGCTAATCAAAGCATGTTGTGGGAGTGTCTGACTTCAAAAGGTCGCAAGATAGTATTATTTAGTTATCAAAAACCTATTGATTTATGCGTTCAACTTTCGGCTAATGAACTACTCTCCCTTATACCTTTGGAGTTGGCTCCCAACCAATGGGTTCGGGTTTCACATTCCGCCCCGCCTATTTTAGTCTGGGCAACAGGGTAGTATCATCATCCCTCACACAATAAAGGTAGCTTATAGCCCAGCACTGAGTTAGTGAGTTCTAACTAAGGAACCGACTGGTATCAATAACCCTCATAAACAACAGTGAAAATTGAGCATATAAACATGCATGAGATTGTTGAATAGCATTCTATTTTCCTTTGAAAAATTATCTATCTAGTTTGGTAATTGTGCGCTGTTTTGAATATTTTTATCGTCAGACGAAGAGTATCACTGGTTTCTTTCAGAAGTTTTCACTGTCGTTCTCGGTAATTTCTTACAACGTTTAGTTGTTGGTCTTGCTGACTAGCATATTTTAAGGCTGTTAATCTTTTTGATTGTAATGATATTGAGTTTATATGATTGATCTGGTAAAGACTTTAATGTCTACAAGTATTAAATCTATTGAATGCCAGGTGGTACGACAGAAGTAGTTTCCGCTAGCATGTTGGATGCATTGCCAAATTTACTTCTTAATACCACAATGCTTTACGTTTAGAAACTTCCATTTTATTTTAGGTTCTGAAATTAAAACTTGCGTGCTGACTGTACCGAGTTATTTTGGTCAAGCCGAGAGACGTCGTCTCATGTATGCAGCTAAGATTGCTGGCTTGAATGTTCTTCAGCTTATAAACGATAATTCTGCTGTGGCTCTAAACTTTGGTTTATTTCGTCATAAGAGCTTCAACGAAACTCCTCAGTACTACGCATTTTTTGATATTGGTTCAATGAGCACAACTGCAACCTTGGCAGGTTAGTAGAGTATGCTGTAGAGATATCGTGCTGTTTAGTACACGATTGTGTTTGTTTAACTTCTGCTTGTCTTATTCTACAAATTAACACATTTTATAGCTGCGAAATATTTCCATTAAGGTGTTAATTCGTAACCTTAATGATATTCCATGTAAAATTTGTAAGTTATTTGCCTTAAAAATGTATGATTTATCTATCCTATTAGGTTAGTTTGACTTAAAGCATCACGTATTTATTTATTTAATTAATATACTTTCCAAATAACTTCCACTGAAAGGGGACACCAAAGCACGTTGGGATTAGTCTGCATCCGATTTAAAGTTACTCCACTGATAATTTCACTTATAAAGCTGCTACTTCTTTGAAAAAACTTTTGGAAATTTTGGAGAGAATTATTTAGAACTATTTTTAGTCTATGGGAACAAACAAAACAAGGACCGATCGCCCAAGAAATATGCAGAAGAAAGTGAAGATGGATTGGACACTCGCTGAGGAGGCCGCTGGGTGACATCGTGCGTCAGGCCATAGCTCGAGTGGAACCCGAAAGGGAAGTGGCGAGTGGGACGTCCAAGGGTGAGATGGAGGAGATCGTGTGAAGAGGAGTTGAAACAGTATGGAATAACACGGATGCAAGTGAAAAGTACAGCAAAAGACAGAAGCAAGTGGAGACGTGCAGTTGAAGTCCTATGTTCCACTAGGAACCCAAGGGAATAATAATGATAATAATTTTTAGTCCTTAACTTTATGATTAAACGGTAGCTGGCCTCGATTTTTTCATGCATTGTTAATATCCGAATTTAATAATTCATAGAAACCTTTAAATACAGTGATCTTTAACACATTTCAAGTAAGCTGTTTTCATCAAATGTATTGTTGTGGTGTTTTCTGAGCATTGAAGTCATTATCGTAAATACTCAATGTGCTGTTTATTTTTTGTAGTCCCAACTACCAAATACATGGTGTATTTAGTTTAAATGTGTTGGAATGCAAATAGCGTCAGCCAGTGCTTGGAGATATTGAATTATGTCTTCACTACAACAAAAGAAGCCAAGCTAACATAGTCCTTAAAATCTTTAGTGTGGCAGATTAATACATGGCTCAACTTCTGTTAAGTCGAATCTCTACTCCATGTACTGGAACAGGAATGTTACTGGTCTCAATACCTTGAACATAGTATATAAATATATTTTTATCAAGAGTTCCTTCACATTTTTAACCATACACAACTAGTCTAAACCAATTATACACCTGCCGCCTGTAATTGCAGGAGATTGTGTAAATGCTTATAAGATGATAAGCATTAATGACTGGATTGGGATTGTGTATGAATGTGATAAGCATTCATCTGAACTTTCTGTTTTCTGTTAGTTTAGTGGGATATAGTGAAATATGAAGGAGCTACATTTATTTAGATGTGGTTGTGTTCTCTGAACTGGATAGTTTATTGACGAAGCTTTCATCGCCTTACTAGGCGACATCTTCAGCGCATACTTCTTCAAATTGAAGCTTCGCCAATAAACTATCCAACTCAGAGAGCACAACCACATCAAATTCATCTACCTGAGCTACAATTGTTCTCCATCATATTTAAATCTTACGAGCGGAACATGCTACATTTATTTAGCTTGATGGTTCCTATGAAAAATGTTCATGTCAGGCAAGAAGTCTTTTAGTTATTGGTTAAATGAGTGCGGAAAATTCTAAATAAACATTAACCAAGTCTTCTCATCAAATTTTCCCCCGGACTTATCATATACTGACTGACTGACTGAGTAGTAGAAAAGAAGATACGCTTAGAATGTCAGGGCAAGATGTTATAGTACTATTTACTACCACTTAGCAACCACATAGAGATTTGTGCTCTAGTTTGAGTCAAATATTTTGTGTTGTAGCCAGTAATACAACCTAGCTAACAAAATATTAATCGATAAAGAGAATTTTCAATTCATTACCCATTTAGTGAAGGTTGAATGCCTTCACAACTAAGCCGTAATTCCATCGAATATTAAGTGACAATGTATGTTATTTAAGATTGATACAAGAAAGCATATTAATTCTGCGCTGTAATTTACAAAATCCTAGAATTATATAGTCCGTTAATTCTACTTAATTGTTTTGAAAAGAGTTACAATGATATGGATAAGTTTAATCATCGCTTCTCTTTCAAGTATAAAACTCCGCTTGTGAATTATCCCCCCTAGTATTGTTTTCGTTGGCGTTTATTACTTTTAATAGCACACTAACTAGATTCACTATGCTTTTTATAGGTTTCACTTTGATCACTCTGTTTTATTTATTGAAATTTACGGTAGTTTCTCAACTTCATTTCCTAAACAGAAATATTTTCATCTTGTCCTTTCAGCCTACACTTTCGGCAAAAACAGAGATGGAGATGTTACTGGAGAATTTCCAATGCTGAGAATTGTTAATGTCAGGTTGGTTATATTATAACTATGGCATAATTCCTTCTAATCGTTGTTAAAAGGATGACAAATTAAGTCTCTGCATTACATTCAATGAAGTGCACAGAATTATAGTATTATGTCTCTAATTATCAGTTGCTTTTATAATAGATTATTCCACTTTCAATTTTTTAATGTATCCCAGTCAAGGATGAAAAACTTAGGGTTAAAGCTGACCAGTTAAAGTCCATTTGCGTTACAACAGCATAGAAATTTCAAGTCATACAGGATTACAAGGTTTCGGGTGTCAGTTCTTGTACTGATTAGATTCACCGTCTAGAGTAGCGCAATTGCCTGTGTGTGTTTTTTGGGTTCTCAGAAGTTTAGTTTGATTTTCATTTGCAGTAGTAAAGATAGTTTAACTATATCAACCACTCAGTGTTTATGTTTTTCATTATTGTACAAAAGTGAAATTATTTATGAATATCTTTATGAATATCCACATTCATGTTTCATAATATGATGACTTCGGACGTTATTATACCACTGATTCATTATTGTATACAAATCACAAGATTTCTGAGGCAAAGTTAAACTTTAAGCACCACTCACTAGCAATCAGTGAGTGAACTTGAACGCACCAATCACGTGAAGGAGGCATTTTTGTGTATGAAACACATACATATATTTATGAAATAATGCATAAAAACTGTAGAAAAGTGTTACAGAGGATACCTGGCTCTCACATGTGATAGTTCGGAGTATCAACACAGTATAATTCCATTGTGGGTAAAATTTATTTTGATAAAGTCTCACAGTGTAATAGTAATATTTACTGAGCAATAAATTGTGCTCTAAACGTCATGAGTAAATATTACTGTATAACACTGAATTTTATCCACAATGGAATTATACTCTGCCACAGTTCACAAGTACTATTCTTATGTCAACAGAGTAATTTAACCACATTCTATGCATGTAAATATTTAGGTGTTCTAACCCTAACAATAACTCTAATCTCTCCTGAACCTAACCGTAACGTGAAAATATCCCTAAAATAACTGTAATCTAACTCGAACCAACCCTAATGTCGCCTTTATTAGGTTAACCTAACCCTTTGAAATAATAGAGAAGATTTGTAGCTCAGGTGGATGATTTACAATTAAAAGCGTTCTTTGAGCTGGTTGGTTTAGTCGCGAAGCTTTCGTCGTCCTTCCGGACAACATCTTCAGCGCCATATTTAGCACGAAGTGAAATGAAATTCCTAGAGGCCTGGTACTCAAGCGAAAATGCGATTAACAAACACGTTAATATAGATGAAGTATACCAATTAATAAAAAGTAAATCAGGTGACCAAAAAGTTTAAAATCCTAGTCAATAGAAAGTGGTCAATACATATGTGAAGATAGTAACCAGGAGACGCAATTACATCACGCATGAGGAAATTTAAATCATTTCACTTCGTGCTAAATATGGCGCTGAAGATGTTGTCCGGAAGGACGACGAAAGCTTCGCGACTAAACCAACCAGCTCAGAGAACGCTTTTAATTGTAAATTAACCTAACCCTGTCTGTTTTCGACATAGAACTTTGCACTGATGTGCGGCAGTTCAAGTCGCCACACTCCTTCCTTGTAGCACACAAAGGAAGAGAAGAAAGTAGGAGAAATGCATAATATAGACAGTAAACAGAGGTGTGAGACAAAGGAGTAGTAATAACGAAGAACGAACAGTTTCATCGGAAATCATAAGTCACAAGGAGTGGACGCATCTGCGCCACTGAGAACGATTTTGAGCCATGTCACCAATTGTTTCCAACCATTGGTTTTTACCGTCCCGAGGACCCCAACCAGGAAGTCTACATCTCCCTACGTGACTTAGACTAACTGTTGTGGATTTCATTGACTGGTGCCAAATTTTCGTTTGACCGCCGCTAGCTCTTTTCCAACCCTAACTTGTCCTTGGCTTTAAGAGTAACTTAATCTTTCTCAAACCTAAGCTGAAACTTGCCAGATATCCCATTTAATAGCATAACACTTCGATATGGATATTTTATTGATGGTGACTACATTATTTTCCAGGTTTCACTAACTCGCTTAGTGAGCGTTTCACGGTCATTGGTGCGGTCGCACTCCATTGGTAGTTAGTGGTACTTAAAGTTAAACTTCGCCCTTTCTGGTTTCTTTTTTCATTAGAATTTCTAGTAGACTTTAGAGGCGTTTTTTTTCATTTTTCACCAACAATTTCTTATCTGTTATTCATATGATTTCGAATATGCAAGCTAAATCTTTTAAAAGACTTAAGATAGGGATTTTTGATAATTGCACTAATCCTTTGTACTATAAAATGGAATGCATTACTGCGGGATTTATGTACTTGATACAGAGTTCGGCCTTGCATTAGCAATTTGCCAGCGCCTACGTATACACCTGTTGTACCATTCGACCTTATTTTGTGGGTGACTGTAGAAGAGGACTGGCTGGCTGGCTGGATTCAACATAGAAATTGGCACCGAAGTGCAGCACTTCGAGTTGACACGTTCCAAATAGCACACAAATGTAGACAAGAAAATGAGTGAAGAGAATCAATAGAGTTTTAACAAGTATAAGAGTGAAACAGAATGAGTAATAGTAGAAAGGAATATGAAAGATTACAGAGACTGAATACATCTGCGTAAGCCATTGACAACGATTTTGAGCCATGTCACCTATTGTCTCCAGCCATTGATTCTTAGAGTCCCGAGGGCCCCAACCAGGAAGTCTGCATCTCCCTACCTCACTCAGTTTAACTGTCAAGGATTTCATGGATTGATGAGGCCATGTTTTTGTTTGGCCACCACTTACTCTTTCCCAACCTGCACCTATATCAGCTAGTAATGCCCGTCCGTCGGGGGGGGGGGGGCGATGGTTAGGCATGCGCACCACGTGACCTAGCCATCTCAATCTATGTAACTTCATAGCCTCGTCGATTGATTTTCCCTCCTTGCCCAACACTCTACGCCTGACGTCAACATTACTTACCACCTAACGCGAGAAAGAGATCGTAAACATCTGTGGTCAAAAACAGACAACCTTTTCATGTCTTCAACTCGTATTGGCAATGTTTCAGAGTCATAGAGGAGGACGGAACGAACTGCTGAGCAGTACACACGTCCCTTGGTTGATACCGGATGTGACGCCTACGCCAGAGACGGTATAAGTTAGCGAAAGCAGCCCGATCTTTTTGGATACGTGCTGAGATTTCGTCACCAATCAGTCCGTTGGTGCTGATACAACTTCCCAAATAGGCGAAGTGGTCAACATGTTCTATCACTTCACTCCCTATCACTAAGCTAGGAGTTGACGTAGTCCAGTCCTGTAGCAGCATCTTACATTTTACAGGGGTGAATCGCATGCCAAACATACGAAGATTGCTGCTCAAGGTGTTCAGAAGACTCTGGTGTATTTTGTCAGCATCCTCCCCTAACAGGACTATGTCGTCTCCATATTCTGAGTCCATAAGACTATTCCTTGGTAACAAGTCGATTCCTAAGTCGTTAAGTCCAGTTAAGGATACTTCCATTAAACAGAAAAGGGGAAAGAAGACTCTGGTGGGGGCAATGTGACTTAAAATTATTAGATGCTGCAGAATTGAGCTAGTGGTTGACTTCCACTGTCGTTTTGTTAGCCGTACTGTTTTTAGATGCATCCGGAAAGTGCGCACTTTGTGCAGCCTATATAACTAGCTTCACATGGGCAAATGAGTTTGTAGACACATTGAAAATCATCCCAACACGATAGTTTTTCCACATCTCATCAATTTTTTACCAAACAAATGAATTAATTCATAACTGAGCAGAAAAGTTACTTCTTTAGACGATTTGATTAGGTAGCTGATCGGAATCTCAACATCAGGATTACTTTTAAATTCAACATTTATAAACAAAAATTTCTTCTGAGTTGTTTGAATTTTTTCGCATTGTCGCTTTTCTTTTATTGTTTTTATCATCGAATCTTGTAACCACTTTATATGAGCTTTAGTCAGTATTCTCCCAGTTTGTTGTTGATTTTATCAACTGCTACCTTGCCGTGGTGGTCGGGCTTGAATGCCGCAGTGACCCAACAAGCTAAACTGGCTGGGACTCATGTCCCTGCAGATCCTACCATGCCAGGAAGGTTGTTTGGATAGTGGTTAGACTAAAAGCAGTTACCATGAGGTACATGGGCTCCAGAATCCAATCGGATCAAATGCCGTACGAACCCATATGGGACACCGGCAACCATGGGGACGCAGCACCTGACGCTGCTCCGCTGCCTTGCGGATTAAACTCCAAGTCAAAGGCTCGGGGGTGGTCCCTTAAGAAAACCACCTGCTTTGGTCTGGGCGCCCGGGTAGTATCTCAGCCCTCACACAATAAATGAAGTGAAGCAACAAACTATTATTGAAACTCACCGCGCGCTCGTAACAATGCGTTCAAGCAGTAATGATGTCCCAAGTAACACATTTCTTTCGAACCTTTCTTTTATTTTTATACTTAGTTTCCTGTATTTTACCTTTGCTCACCTTGACTTCTTAACCTTCGACAGCCTTTCGCATTTGTTTGGATTCCTAGCCTATCTGTGTCGTTTCGAGATGTTAGTGAGTAACCCTCAAAATGGCTGTCCCCAATGTGACATCTAACACAGATATCCTGAAACTGCGTGCCGCGTTCAAGCTGGCCACCTACAATGTTCGGACGCTGATGCAAATTGGACCACAGGCAGGGTTGGTAAGAACGTTGGAAAGCCTCGCTACCGATGTCTGCTGCATTTCGGAGACTCGCATTCAAGATCCCAGTGAAGTGCTTCGATTATCCTCTCCATCTGGAAGTTCTAGTAGTATGTACCACCTGCGCTTGTCCGGGGACCCTGTGGCATCGGCATCCGGTGTAGCTGGTGTCGGTGTCGCACTGAGCGCTAGAGCCGAAGCTGCACTGCTCGACTGGATTCCCATTAACAGTCGTTTATGTGCTGTGAGGCTGGAAGGTTATACGAAAGTAAGGAGTAGTAGGCCAGATAGGCGGTGTCTATTTGTTGTCTCTGCCTATGCACCAACGGATTGCAGCCCGGATGCAATGAAGGACGAGTTCTACCACCAACTTAACGATCTCTTGAGACAGGCGGGTCGGAGGGATATCGTAGTGCTGGCTGGGGAGTGAATGCACAGGTCGGGCGTCTGAGCTCAGAGGAGAATCGTCTAGGTGGTTAATGGGGACTACATGGTCGCAGGTCAGATAATGGGGACCGTCTTCTGCAGCTTTGCGCGGATCACAACCTATTTCTGGCCAGCACCAACTTCCGGCACAACCATCGCCATAGCGCTACCTGGCGTCCTCCCTCTGCGAACCAAGCTTGGACTCAGATCGATCACATTGCTGTCAGTTTCCGTTGGCGAGGATACATACAAGACTGTCGATCCTTCTGGAGCACATGCCTGGACTCCGATCATGCGTTAGTGTGTGCCGAGTTCGTCTTGCGATTTGGTGGGGTTCATAAAAGGCGTCGTCTAAACGTTGATGTGAGCAAACTAGTAGCACCTGCTACTTGTTTGAAATATCAGAATGAGTTACAATCAATGCTTGCCAGCAACCCACCAAGTAGTATAGATGAACACTGGCTTCATGTGCAAGGTGCCATGCAAAAGGCGAGTGTAGCCGCTTGCGGCTTGAAAGAATGCTCCGCCAAAAACCACTGGGTTTCTGCGAGTTCCTTGCAACTCCTGGATGAACGCCGGTCCATTCCGGCTGGCAGCGAATACAGCAATAAGCGAAAGGCGCTGACGCGCAAGATTAGACAGTGTTTACGTAAGGACCGCGAGGCCTGGTGGTCAGAACGTGCGGGTGAGATGGAGTCAGTTGCTCCATTTGGCAACAGTCGGAAGCTGTTCCAACTCATCCGAGCCACCGGCAGCAAGAAACAAGGTTTCAGCGAGACGGTCTATGAGGCGGATGGCACGCCAATTACCAGTTTGAAAAGACGCCTGGAACGTTGGGCAGAGCACTTTGGGAAACAGTTTAGCTGGCCACCATCTTCAATGTCTGCTGCCATTAGCCCCAGTGCGCCTTGGTTGGTTAATACCGACCCACCCACCGAAGCGGAGGTCCGTAAGGAACTCCAAGTGTTAAAACGCCATAAGGTGCCCGGCCCAGACAATTTACCCCCGGCTCCTTTTAAAGATGGTGGCGAGACTCTCACAATGGCTCTAACTGGGTTGTTCAGGAAGGTATGGGAAACTGAGAGTGTACCATCAATGTGGAACGAAGCCATTATCGTCCCTATCTTTAAAAAGGGTCGACGTAATTCGTGTGACAATCATAGGGGTATCAGTCTGCTACCAGTCGCGTCTAAATTATTGGCTTCCGTCTTGCTTCGCAGGCTGTGCAAAATACGTGAAGGATTGATTCGCGAAGAGCAGGCTGGGTTTCGTTCAGGTCGTGGATGTATTGATCATGTGTTCACTCTTCGTCAGTTGTTGGAACACCGCCACACGTATTGCAGGCCAAACGATCGTTGTGTTTCTTGATATTAGGGCTGCCTTCGATTCGTTGGACAGAACTGTGCTCTGGAACTGTCTGTTAGAGAGAGGTGTACCTGAGAAATTTGTTAACATCTTGAAAGCCCTATGCAGAAACACCTCAGGTAGAGTGAGGGCATACAACGAACTATCATCACTGTTCCCAACCAACAGTGGGGTTAGACAGGGTTGCCCAATCTCTCCATTTCTCTTTAACTTTGCCATCGATGACATTCTGGAGTCAGCTCTGAAGGATGTGCGTGAAGGGGGTGTAGATCTGCTACCTGGAGATAGACTTTTCGACCTCGAGTATGCAGACGATATCGTCTTACTGTGCGATAGCATGCAGGCTGCCCAAATCGCACTTAATCAGTTGGCGATCATTGTCTGTAAGTATGGTATGTGCTTTGCGCCGTCTAAGTGCAAAGTACTGTTACAAGATTGGCAGGAGCCTGTACCTGCACTCACTCTTGCGGGTGAACCGCTTGAAGTTGTCGATAAGTTTGTGTACCTAGGTAGTTGTGTGAGTGCTGGCGGAGGAGTGACGGATGAGATTTCCAACCGTATAATGAAGGCTGGGGTGGCATACATCAACTTGTGCCACCTCTGGCGCCGTCGCGACGTTAGCCTGGCTGTCAAAGGTCGGGTATACAATGCTTCGGTGTGGGTTGTCTTGCTCTACACCTGTGAAACCTGGCCTCTCCTAGCTGAGGATGTGCGGCGACTCTGCGTGTTCGATCATCGCTGTCTCCGCAGGATTGCTTGAGTTCGATGGCATCATCGCGTAAGTAATTCTGAAGTTCGGTGGCGTGTGTTTGAACACAGTGGAGATCACCACTTGTTGAGTGTCGTCATCTGGAAACACTGGCTTCGGTGGCTTGGACATGTGCTGCGAATGTCATCCCAGACACTTCCTTACATGTCTCTGTTCGCTAGCCCTGGGACGGGATGGAAAAGGCGGAGGGGTGGTCAGTCCATGACGTGGTGTCGTGGGATGAAGGATATTTGTGCTAGATTAGCATCGGTTGGTGTGTCACGACTCCCTGGTTGGGGTCCGCGAGATAGCTCGAATCGATGGCTCGAAACGTTATCGGATATGGCCAAGAATCGTAATCAATGGCGAACGTGTTGCAATTTCCTTCTTTCTTCCCTTCCTGATGATAGTTAACGAATACTGTTTGGACTTGTTAAACATGACTGTTTTCCTTCTTGATGAAGTTCTTTATCCGTTTTCTACTTATATTTTTACTTTTAATCTGTTTTTTTATTATTATTGTGTGGCGCATCTTTCTTGGTGCCATATTGTACCAAGTTTTTCTGCGATTAAATAAATAAATAAATCTTTCTAATTGTTGAATACAAGGAATGGATTAGGTTTGTCTTTCTGCTCAAAGAGATATATCCATGAAAATTCGTGTTGGCTTCTTACAGATTAGTCTGTAGGAATAACCATTTTTTTGTCAATAAAGCATCCGGGAAATGATGTCAACTTGACTGAATAATGGTGGTTCTTAAACTCCTCCCAGTATGTTGTCATAGTGAAGCATAATTATGAATGTTTTAAGCCTCAGTTCTCTCCTTGTTTTCATTCGGATTTTCATTTTCTTTAATACTTCTGGCATCTTTATGCCAATCCTAATTTGAAGTATACACAATATCGGCATTACTGAGTGCTGCCTCAATCCATGCAACTTCAGCATCACAGTATTATTCCAGCTAACCTGTTCATATCACGAGCAGTACAAAAATCGTGTGCGCGCTATTCAGTCTGTTATAAGATGTAGCTGGGATGGGATTAGTGATCCATTATATGAAAGTGGAGATGGGTTGGACACTCGCTGAGGAGGCCGCTGGGTGACATCGCGCATCAGGCCCTCGAGTGGAACCCGAAAATGAAGCACCGATTGGGACGTCCAAGAGTGACATGGAGGAGATCGTGTGAAGAAGAGTTGAAACAGTATGGACTAACATGGATGCAGGTGAAAAGTACATCAGAAGACAGAAGCAAGTGGAGACGTGCAGTTTAAGCCCTATGTTCCACTAGGAACCGAAGGGAACAATAATAGTAATAATAATGATATTGTAACGACAGTAGGCAAGAGTCAGGCAACAGATCATTTATTAAGGAAATCAACGCATATTTATATATGTTTTCATGTACATTACTATGGATATGTAAACAAACAAACACAGTCTTCCGATTGGTTGTTTCTCACGACAAATCTTGGGAACGTAAATATTGACGTAAATTACTGTCTACCAATTTGGCTAGTAGACAGCACTCACCACAATATGAAAGCTTATTACTTATTATGTGGACTATTCTTTCATAAACTTTCTATAAATTCAATCTTACGCTTTGCACGCTGGTTTCCAGTGAGATTACTAGTTTTAACAGATTTACTGTAGCACTTCTCCTGGAGAAGTGATATATACCTCCTATTTAAAGATGTGTCCCCTATAATATATGTTAATTCCCAATAGTGTATTCCTTGATACTAATGAATATTCTCTCTAATCTTTTATATCATTTATTTAGTCATGATCCAGTACTTGGTACAATGGCATTTATCTATCGAATAAGAGACTTATTAGTTGAAAAATTCAGCGAAGCAAAAAAGAAGAATAAAAATCTTGTAGTTAAAAACAATCGGGCGATGTCTAAATTAACTCAAGAAGCCTCAAATGTGCTCATGAAATTGAGTGCAAATAACGAAATATTTGCTCAAGTATGTTCTAGTTTTTCTTTTGTATACTTTCTTTTTACAAGTTACTGTTATCACTAGAAGAGAGTGTAGTGTTTTGTCTCTATGATGTTGACTTACAGGTGTTTTTATAGTTGTCACTGGAATTTATCAGTTACCACGTACGCGGGTTTTTTCTGCAAATATTTGATTTATTTATGTGGAGATATGGGGCTCATTGGCTTAAACATTCAGTTTTCAGCCGATGGGTGACGGGTTCGAGTCCCAATCCATCTACTTCAGTTCCAGCAATTGTGTAGTATCGCTAGCTCGCATACAATAAATGTGCCTGCCACATGAAAAATCTGTTCCGGGTAATTAAGCTTACAACAACATCAGAGAGGTTCATCTGTAGGTAGACTGTTGTAAAGGTATCTTCCCGTACTCATTTGTTGTATATGTTTGCTGATTCGACTGGTAGAGTTATTTCAACGTCATTAAAACTCGTTGTTACGACATTCTTTCATCAAAATGAAAACTAATTCGAAGTCATACAGGAAATGTAAAATTATTCATTCTATATTAGGAAATGGTTTGAATAGATTTCAATAATCAAAAGATTCTGGCAGCTGTCGTAGTGTGCTTTGTTAACGATAAGCCCAATATAAGTTTTTCAGTTCTGCTGCTACTCATTTGAAGGCAGCATTATCCCTGATCAGAAAACTGGTAGTATAAAATTATTCTTAATATTTCAGGTTCAATCACTACCTAACATCAGCTACATAACTATTGGATAACTAGGTAGTACTGGACAGCTGTTTTGTCCTAGTTCGGGACTTTCCAGCAATAAGCACGCAGTGGGGGTTCGAACCCGAGGACGTTGTTACAAGGCGGACTTGTACAGCATTCATTCACCGGGAACCGATCCAGTTACGAATTCTCACTAGAATCCTAGGTAACTTTCTGTATACAACCAGTTGCTAGGGTGAATCAGATTGATTTTCAGGCACTTGATTAGCTTTCTGTGCTGTCAAGGATCCCAACTACATTTTCGTAGGGCTCCAAATAATATGTAGTATATCGTCAAAACTTGTGGAATATGTAGGGATGTTTGTGTTGTATTAGTTTCCGTAAGAATTCTATCGCTGCCAGATTTTTCAACCTTCTCTTATTATTACTCTTCACAGTGTTACACACTTCGTTGTTTGTTGTGCTGTATTAGTTTTTAGCTTCGAAAGGCATATTTAACGCATTTACATCTGCCATTGAGAGCAGAAGACATGAAAAGATTAGCTGTCTTCGATCATAGGTGTCTGCGTTCTCTCTCCCGTGTGAAGTGGTATAATAAGGTGAGCAATATTGAGGTTAGGCGTCGAGTGCTAGGTAAGGCGGGGAAATCAATCGACGAAACGGTGAAGTTACTTCGACTGAGATGGTTAGGACATGTGCTACGTATGCCTAGTCATCGCCTTCCTCGACGGGCAATGTTAGCTGATATAGGGCCAGGCTGGAAAAGAGCTAGCGGCGGTCAAACGAAAACATGGCACCAATCAATGAAATCTACAACAGTTAATCTAAGCCACGTAGGGAGATGTAGACTTCCTGGTTGGGGTCCTCGGGACGGTAAAAACCAATGGTTGGAAACAATTGGTGACATGGCTCAAAATCGTTCTCAGTGGCGCAGATGCGTCCACTCCTTGTGACTTATGATTTCAAATTAAACGGTTTTGTTCTCCGTTATTAATATTCCTTTGTCTCACACCTCTGTTTACTGTTTCCATTATGCATTTCTTCCACTTCCTTCTCTTGCTTTGCGTGCTACATAGATTGTGGCGACTTGAACTGCCGCACATCAGTGCAAAGTTCTATGTCGAAAACCGACCGACCGACCGACCGACCGACTGGCCAATGAAGCACCTTCTATGCTAGTTAGCCTTCAAATAGCCTTAACTTATTATACGCAATGACTGTTTCATGTCATAAGCTACAACAATCATAAAGTGCATAGAAGTGCATTAGTTCAAGTTGCCACACTTAGGATGATATCACTATACACACAAAACATGCATGAGTGTGAGATAAAATTATTAAATAGGGATCAATAAAGCTTTTCAGGATTTTAAAGTTTACAAGGAGTGAAAACCAAAAGTTTCCAACCAACATTATTCACTGATTTTATGGGTAGTGATATGATTATACGAAAAAGAGAAAAACAACTCATTTCTTGTAACGTTCACGCCTACTTATATGGTAACTAGTTATAATATGAAATCTGTAGTGCTTGTATTTGACCTCTTGTATCAATGCACTCACAGTGTTTCAGTTTTCATACATTTGTTTTCCGGTATTGTGTATGCATTTGTTCTGCATAGTTTTTTTCTCCGTAAATTCTGGCATTTTGTTTCTTAAAATCAATTTCTTCACAATTTGCTAGTTAAGTAATTTTGTTGTTGCTTAGATGAGTGTAACAAGTACAAAATAGTCGCATATGATATTAGATGGAGGCAATCGACAGGAAGCCTTGGACCTAGGTTTCGCGCTATTTGGCACTTACCAGTCAGCAAGGCGTTCCTGGAACCTTGCAGGAACTCATGTCCCTTCTGAGATTCGAACCCGCGTCACCCAGTCATGCAGTCAGAGACGTTATAAATGGGTGACGCGAGTTTGAATCTCAGAAGGGACATGAGTTCCTTCAAGGTCCCAGGAACGCCTTGCTGACGAGTACCAACTAGTACGAAACCTAAGTCCAAGGCTTCCTGTTGGTTGCCTCTGACCATCTAATATCATCAAATCAATGTGCACCGTGATGGCGAGCTACCTAGAGTGGTGGCCACATTGCAAACTTGACTGATAGAATTCAAAAGAATGAACACGGAACAAAGAGTACTCTTTTCGATAAATTCATCATTAGGTTCTACAATTATATATACATTATAATGAATGAGTGAATTAGTCTTATGAACGACATTAATTTTTAAATAACATCAAGTCAATGATATTGATAAATTACAGCTGAATAGCATCAACATAAAATAAGCTGAATGTCAGAAGAATTATGAAAGATAATAGTACAAATTCATGAATTTATAATCTCTACTGAAGGCTAGGGCAGTAGTAGGGGCTGGACTTGTTTCTTTTGGATACAGAGCACTGGTTGTTTGAGGCGAATTGCAATAGCCTCTGCTGTTTGGAGCATGCGGTGCTTCGACGATTTTGGTAATTTTTTAGACACCCGGTATATTATAGAGAAGGATTCTTCTACACTGGCTTTGTGACCGGTTTGCACCAGATGGTCTAATATCGAGCTGTTAATAGTTTAACTACACCTTTACTTAGCCATAGTGGGAGATGTTCTCGGGCACGAAAAATCAAGTTCCTAGAGCAACAGCCGATATAACTGCACTAAACACTGGACTAGACACATCACACTAGTTACTAGTGTCCAATCAAAGAATTGCATATGATGCATATAATAGTCTACTTACCTCAAATAATTTTCCTTTTTTACCCTAATTACATTTAGGTTGAGAATGTTTTTGATGGAGAAGATCTTAGAGTTAAAGTAACTCGTGCTGAAATGGAGTCGTTATGCTCAGATTTATTTGAACGTATTAGGAAACCATTCTTAGATATGATGTCCGATACTCCATTGGAGTCTTTGCAAGAAGTTATTCTTATGGGAGGAGGTACACGTATTCCTAAAGTACAGTCTGTTTTACTTGAATTAAGTAAAAAGTAAGTTGTTTTTCTTTACTGTATGACTTTTCAAAAAAAATTCTAATATCCTGTTTTCAATAGACTTAGTTTTATAGTTAGATTTTATCCTATATATCCAAATCAAGTTTACTTTTAATAATTTCAAAAAATTTGGGCATTGGGTAGAGGATACTGGTTACAATAAAGGTTTTTTTGTATTTCCTAATGAATGCAAAACAAAACGATATTGTTTTTACTGACATTTTGCTATTTAATGCTAATAGCTTCATCAAAGTATTATTAAACCAGAATTTACAAAATCTCAGCTTATATGTAACAACTTGATCCTCAGTATGGGGTCATTTTTGCGTTGTCAAATTGGCCAATTGGTAAAGATAACAAAACCAGGTGTAGATTGTTGGATTTAATAAGTGTGTAAAATGGTAAAAGCAGCGTGTGTTTACATAGTGGCATTGCTTATCGCATTCGTGTTGATTTTATCACTTCTTGGGGGAGGGAGTTGTTGTAACCAGGTCAAATTCTGTTTTAGTCCATCATTCCTATTCAGAAAATTTGTATTCCATTTGATATGAAGTGCTTCTGATGAAATGAGACGTTCTCTGTGATTTCTGAAATTACTCTAGATTATTCCAATGTTGTCGGTGGTCGAACAGATGCTCTACAATGTTCATCTCTTCTGATTTTGATTTCTCACGATGTTTGTCCGATGTATATCGCACCACATTCCAAGCATTTTATTTTTTAGACACAAATAGATGGAGAAACTTTAGGGATTTTGTCTTTTATATAGACAATGTTGTTTCGCAGTGTGTCTGATGTTTTGTAGAAAACTCTGATGTCAAGCTCATTGAGCACTCTTCTGATATCATCTGACGTCTCTGCTCTGTATGGAATGACAACTGTCGAGGTCCTTGTTTTTGGAATACGTTCTCAACCATATTTAATGTTATATTATTATGATGTCGTCTAGTATATTTTTCTAATTTATAATCGTTAAAACTTCAATTTCGTCTTTCCTATGAAAGAGAATATATATCTGTCTAATTCAACAGCATCAGTCCTCAATATTTCCTAACATTTTAGTTTAAAAGTGTCCCTTAAAACGCCTTAGGAGAACAATCTATCTTTGTAGAATTCATATATATATATATATATATATTCATATATATATATATATTCATTCATATATATAGGCCTAAAGGAATATAATTGCAATGTAGGCTAGAAAATGTTTGATTGCTCTTATTGGTCAACACATTCGGTTCCAAGAAATGAAAACTTCTGAGTTAAGTTCACAAATTACGAAAAATTTTGTTGTAGGGATATTAATTATAAATTGCTCTACTATTTTGCTGTCTGCAAATCTACTGCAATAAGCATAAAGAAGAAGATTAGGATTTTCACCGCTAATGTCAAGTCACTTCTTTCACATGGTTCAAAGACTTGGCGCGTCACGAAACGCATTTCCAACAGGATGTAGACTTTTATTAACAATCGCCTTTGCTCGGTACTGGATATCAGATGACTGGCCAGAAAGAATTAGCATCAAGGAACTCTGGGAAAGAATCAACCAAGAGCCGATTGCCCAACAAATATGCCGAAGGAAATAGAGATAGATAGAACAAATGCTGAGGAGACCGCTGAGTGGGATCGCGCGCCAGTCAGTCCTTCTAGCGGAACCAGAACAGTAACCGATGAATTGGGCCAGGGTTCAAATGTGACAAGGAGGAGATGTGAGCATATGGGCAATCTTGGAGCCAGGTAAAGGTGACTGGAGGAAACAGGATAAAATGATTTTATTCTGAAGCCCTATGTTTCACTCGGAACTTAATTATCCGATCCATGACTGAATTATAAGAGTATCTGCCTGTGACAATCTCAACAAATTGCAATTTGACGGTGTAATGATTTAAGAGTTCATTCATTGATACCTGACTCTTAAATATACACTGAACATATTATTATCATCACCAGAAAAAAAAACCGTTGAAATCATTTTAGCCAATTTAGCTGCTTACAGTTTGTTACTATTTTACATTTGAATAATGCATTTAGAAGACAAATTTCGCGAGATGATATCATTTCATAGTTTCTTTACAACCGCTTTGCAACTAACATGGTTAACAATAATAAAATGAAGTTCAAGACAATTACTCAGTTAAATAAAAAACAAAAGTACATACTAATAACTAATCTTATTTAGATAGGTCATGTTGTCCATGGTAGGCGAAGGTTGAAGTCTATTGTTTTTTGTACACACAGTTTAGGCTGCATGTGATTAATCCAAAGTGCTTCCACCACCTTCAATAACTTTGCATTAGAGTTATGTGAAATAATTGTGAAACAGCCATTAATATTGGTTTTGTGACCTGACATTAATAAGTGTTTTGCAATGGATGATGATGGATTTCTATTCAGATTAATCGCATTTGGATTTTCTATATGATTTAGTAACCATTTTGCAACATGTTTTCGACGACATTGGAACATTCTATTGGTTCTACCTATATAGGTGTCACCGCAGCTGCAAGTGAACTTGTAGATACAATTTGTAGTAGAGTCCACAGAATTTCGTCCTTTAATCGTAGATACAGGGATCGAAAATGTTCGGCAAGTGAGAAAAAGAGATGCGACGGCGTAGAATGTGCGTTTGATGGCTGACCGAAGTCTTTTAGCTGTCAACTGCATTATCTGGTCACCCTTGAATAATGGTAGGTTAATAAAGATAGCTTTTTTTGGTACAGAAGCTGTCTTTTATAGATGTGGTCTTTCTTTACTGTGACAAGTGATAAAGTTCTCCGGATAAACATTAACTAATAAAACTAAATGTATCTGTCGAAGCTCCTCCATCAATGTGTAACTCGTGCATATTTTTCGGGTCCTTGAGAACAAACATTTCACTAGGCAACGTTTATACTTCGACCTTCGCCTACCGTGGAGTACTTGACCTATTTAAATATGATTGGTCATTAGTATGTACTTTTGTCTTTTTATATAACCGAGTAATTGTCATGAACTTTATTTTATTATTGATAACCATGTTAGTTGCAAAGCGGTTGTAAAGAAACTAGGCTGCTGCTGCTGGATTCAACATAGAACTTGGCACCGAAGTGCAGCAGTTCGAGTTGCCACGTTCCAAACAGCACACAAAGGTAGACAAGAAAATGAGTGAAGAGAATCAATAGAGTTTTGACAAGTATAAGAGTGAAACAGAATGAGTAATGGTAGAAAGGAATATGAAAGATTACAGAGACTGAATACATCTGCGTAAGCCATTGACAACGATTATGAGCCATGTCACCTATTGTCTCCAGCCATTGATTCTTAGAGTCCCGAGGGCGGGCCCCAACCCGGAAGTCTGCATCTCCCTACCTGACTCAGTTTAACTGTCAACGATTTCATGGATTGATGAGGCCATGTCTTTGTTTGGCCACCACTTACTCTTTTCCAACCTGCACCTATATCAGCTAGTAATGCCCGTCCGTCGGGGGAGGCGATGGTTAGGCATGCGCAGCACATGACCTAGCCATCTCAATCTATGTAACTTTATAGCCTCTCCGATTGATTTTCCCTCTTTGCCCAACACTCTACGCCTAACGTCAACATTGCTTACCTTATTCTACCACCTAACGTGAGAAACAGATCGAAGACATCTATGGTAAAAAACAGACAACCTCTTCATGTCTTCAACTCGTATTGGCCATGATTCAGAGCCATAGAGAAGGACGGAACGAACTGCTGAGCAGTACGCACGTCCCTTGGTTGATAGCCGGATGTGACGCCTACGCCAGAGATGGTGTAAGTTAGCGAAAGCAGGTCGAGCTTTTCGGATCCGTGCTGAGATTTCGTCACCAATCAATCCGTTGGTGTTGATACAACTTCCCAAATAGGTGAAGTGGTCAGCATGTTCTACCACTTCACTCCCTATCACGAAGCTGGGCGTTGACGTAGTCCAGTCCTGTAGCAGCATCTTACATTTCACAGGGGCGAATCGCATGCCAAACATACGAAGATTGCTGCTCAAGGTGTTCAGAAGACTCTGCATTAAGAAACTAGGAAATGATATCATTATCTCGTGAAATTTGTCTTCTAAATGCCTTATTCAAATTTATCAAAGGGACTAATTGTTACTATTTTATGATTTCACCGATATATCTAATGCACCTTGATGATTTCATAATTATTTATTTGCTTACAGGACAGAATTACACAAAGGTGTCAATAGTGATGAAGCTGCCGCTCTAGGTGCTGTATATCAAGCTGCATTTCATACTCCTGGTTTCCGTGTAACTCGATTTATTGTTAAAGACTATAATCCTTATCCTATTGCTGTAAGTTGTTAATTTAATAAAAAACGTTAGGTTTTCTTTTAATTTTGCAATATTTTGTAATACTAAACATGTTTATCAGTACTATTGGTTGTATTTCAAATAAATGCAAAGTTATGCTGTGTAAATGATATCCATCGTGTGAATGTAATGTAAGCAGGTTTTCCGAATCCCCTATACAAATTCTTTTTTTGATGAGATTTTTCAAGAAATGAGAATTTTGAGGGATGATCAATGGTACTACAATCCTGATCTGACTGATTGACTGAGTTTCAACCAGGAACTTTGCACGGAAGTGCAGCAGTTCAAGTAACTACATTCCATTTGGCACACAAAAGTAACCAAAAGAGAGGGAGAGAGAAAGAAGGATTCAAAAGTATTATAATAAGCAGCAGCAGCAATTAGTCACCCCTTCGAGGTTACATCTCACATTACGTAATACGTTTTCCAAGGACAAATTTTATCAGTATCTGATTGGTCTTATAATTTCTTTGGTAAATATAATTACGATTATACAGCAGCCTATGAGAATGAATCATCGAAAAGGAAATTTTCTTTGCTGTTTACGCCTTTTTCTTATAACTCAATCGATTCACTTTCACAACCTCATCGTTTGATTTACACTCCTTACCTAACACTTAACGCTTAACCTTAGTATTATTTGCCATATTTTAGAACCTAACACGGGAGATAGAACGCAGACATCTATTATCCCAGACAACCAGCCTTTTAAATGGCTATGTCTCACAACCACAAATGGGGACCGCTGCTCAGCACGCACGTCCTTTGATCGATAGTCGCATTTCACATCTGAGTATACAGTGAAAATCTAAAAGTTAAGATATTCGATTTAAAGAGAATGGAAAGTATTGAAGTACTTTGTTATTGACGATTAAATTAACATCAGTTTTAAATTTCTGTCGTTTTGTATAAACGTTGTATAAGGGACTATCATGAATTTCTATTGATTGCTACCATTTTCTACCGTTTGAAATTGTGCATAATCGAATACTGAGTCAGCATAATGGAGCAGTGGTTGATGCACCCCTGATTTTCCCATAGTAGCTAGCGATTGTTCTCCGAGAGGAAACAGAGTATTATTTAATATCGAGTTTTTAAATATAAGCCTTTCATTTATTATTTTATTCTTTTGCGCTCCCATTAGAACATACGGCTTCAAGCTAGAGCTTTAAAGTTCCAAGATGTTCCAGTGTATGTTTTAGGGATGGGGTTGCTAGACTTACCCGCAACCTTCCCTCTTTACCGCACTTACTACTGGCTAAGTGAGGTGGACGAGTGCGTCAGCTGGGGATCGAACTCTGTATCACTTGCTTGGTTGGCTGTTGTCCTACCATTGTACCACCATCAATTCTCGGCTCTCTGAGCTAAGGTCATTTGCATAAGCATTTCAAGCACTTAGCCAATTGGGTAGCAAAATGAATATTGAAATATAATATTTTTCGATAAGTGATGTTTCAGCCATTATTCATAGACGATTGAATAATACACCTCATGAGTTTTGGACTCAAGAAGAACTATGTACATCTTCATTTGAAACTTGTACTAAAGAGCGTTTTGTACTGTATACCCTAATATATTGCAAATGAAAACGAGAGTTAGTAGTAATAGTAGTATTATTGGTATTAGATGGAAGCAGTCGGCAGAAAGTTTTGGACCTAGGCTTCGTGTTAGTTGGCACTTACCAGTTAACAAGGTGTATTTTGACTCTGGGAGGAACACATGTCCCTTTTGGGATTTGAACCCCCGTCACCCAGTGCTGCAGTCAGAGACGTTACCATTGAGCTATTCAGGCTCGCGATCGACCTCCTGTAGGGACTGTACTGAATACTTTGTCTGGACACTAGTTAGTAACTGACGTAATTTGTCTAGTGTTGGTGTTGGTGTAGAATGAATTCTATCAGTCAAGTGGTGGCCACATTGCGAACTTGACTGATAGAATTCCGTCTGCCCCAAACAAAGGACTTGATACACTATATACTAGTTACTAACTACTGTGCAATCATCAAAGTAATAGTGGTATTAGTTGATAATCAGACCTAATGTTGAATACTCTCTTGTTATACCAAGGAACAATCTTGGTGACGTGAAGTATGAGGATAATATTGTCCGCTTAGGTGATGACACTGACAAAATTCAGAGTCTTCTGAACACCCTTAACAGAAATCTTCGAATGTCTGGCATGCGATTGGCTCCTATCAAATGTAGGTTGATGCCGTAGGACTGGACTGCACCGACTTCTAGCTTAAAGAGGGTGTATAAGCATATTGACCACTTTACTTATTTGAGAAGTCGCATATGCCCTAATGGACTGACTACTGAGGAAATCTCCGCATGGATACAGAAACCTCGTGAATCATTTGTCAACTTACTTCATCTCTGGCGTGGACGTGATATCCAGCTGTCGATCAAAAGACGAATAGTTCACTCTGTCCTCCTGTATAGCTGTGTGACATGACCATGGAAAGTGTGAGGTATAAAAAGGCCAGCTGTCTTTGGTCATAGGTTAGGCGTAGAGTGTTAGGTGAAGAGTGTAAGTCAACCGATGAGGTTGTAGAGCCACATCGATCGAGGTAACTGAGACACATGTTGCGCATACCGCACCATCACCTTCCTCGACGGGCAATGCTGGCTGACATAAGACCAGGCTGGAGAAGAGCTGGTGATGGTCAAACCAAAACCTGGAATCAAACCATGAGTTCTTCGACAGTAAGTTGAAGTCACGTAGGGCTGTGTAGGCTTTCTGGTTGGGTTCCTTGAAATGCTAAGAATAAGTGGCTGGAAACAACTGGTGATATGGCTCAAATTCGTTCTCAATGGGGCAGATGCATTCACTCCCTGTGATCTCCTGTATCCACTAAGTTACCGTATTTTCTTCCATGTCCCTGTCCTTGCCCCTCACGCTTCTGCTTATAAAAATAATAGTAATTACTTTATCAATCTAATGTTTTCTGGCTTATGTCTACCTTTGTGTGCTACGTGAAACTGCTGAACTTCTATGCTAAGTTTTATGCTGAAATTCAGTCAGTCAGACCCTCCTGTTATTACTTAGGGAAGAAAATTATTTATTATTTTCTTTAACATGAACTGTCGTCTCATTAACAAAAAAAATATTTTATAGGTTGACTTTATGCGTGCTCCAGCATCATCTGATGAAAAGTTGAATAAAGACTCAAAAACTGACGCCCAATCAGATTCATCACCGTATGTTCGACAAGTTCTTTTTCCACGTGGTGCTGTTTTCCCTCAAAAACGTACAATTAAATTCAATCGACATGTGAATGATTTAGATTTTTATGTGAATTATGCTGATCTTGATGGATTTGAAAAAAGGTAAACATTTTCTTTCCAACTATGATTATATTAGTTAATTTTCATTGTAATTTCTTTTCGATAGTAGTACTGCATGACTTATTTTTTCTTTTACCTGAATTTCATAGTTTATGTGATATTATTTCATATTTTAAAAGTTGTTGTTTTTTATTCCTTTTTAGAAGTTAGAATTCATGGGTCATTGAATCGGATGAGGTCTCAGTGACTGAATGGTATACGAGCTAGCTTGCCTTGTAACCAGAAGCTCCTGGGTTCGAACCCCTTGTGGTGGGTGCGTACTGCCGATGATTCCCGAACTAGGATGAACCAGTTGTCCAGTACTCCAGTGCTGGTTTTCAATGGTTCTCTAACTGATATCAATCCGTGGTCAACTCGTAAAAACAAATCTAATCCTTACAAACCAACTATTGAAAATAATTCCTTTACGTTCCCAGTGGAATATACGGCTTCAAGCTAGAGGCTTGAAGTTTCGCTAGCAGTGATGATTATTTTTACGAGATGGGGTTGCTAGCCAGCCTCATGCCCAACCTTCCCTTTTCACCAGTCTTATTACTGGCTTGGCGAGGTAAAGGGGTGCGTCGGTGATTGGGAGTCGAACCCCAGACCACATTCGTGGCTGGCGAGCATTCTACCGCTGTGCTATAGACGCACGTAGAAAGTTGCATTTCACTTCTATACTTATCTCGACATGTGTATTACTTGATGATAAGCTTCCGGTATTCTCCTTTATTTCACCTTGAATATAGATTGTCCTGCTGTATGTCATTGACCCTTGAAATTGATACTCCACATGAAACCCAGTACGACAGCATCATGATTTACTAGGTCTGTAACAACAGAAGGCAAGACACGGAAGCCAAAGTATATTTTTCATTGATCGAACCGCTGTTTATACATCTACAGTTTATATTCTTTAACCAATCACTGAGCTTGTGATTTCGGTTTACATCAAACAACATGAAATAGAATGTTCAAATATACACAGTATTCCTTTGTTAATGCAGTACATAACCGTGGGAAAGTATTCTGTCTCTAACATGAAATAAAATGTTCAAACAGATGTATCGTATTTTGTTGCTAACGCCTAATTGAACCGTGTAACATGTAAGAATAACATTCCGTTGGCACACATTGTCTGTATCACACCGCCACAGGTTAAATAAACTGTGTTGCCTTATTCGATAGGCAACTTTCTATCAGTACATGTTGGATTTTAGAACATTCATATGTGATAAAATACTTGACATATGACGCATAAAGTGAAAGCAAGTTGATCTATGCACTGTATTGTTGTTCAAATGCAGTGTTGATTACAGCGGTTGAATTCTGCCCCTGTGACTATCACAATCAGTTCGACTAACATAAGAATATGAAATCACGGAATGTCGATGGGATGGCATTTCAACACACTGGAATAGATATGTTATGCAGACTGTTCAACACATAATTGTGAATTGAATTGTAATTTAATTTGATGCTCCTCTCAATCATATTGAATGAAGAGATATACAAAAATACATTCATATTAGAATAGCTAGAATCAGAATGGAAGACTAGACATCAGACGCATAGCGACTGAATCTGAATATGCAAAAATTCTATGGTTATCGAAAGTAATTTACATGTATTCTTTAGTGTAATTTCATTGCAAATCGTCAAACATTAATTTTTAGATCTCTAGAAGCCCTACAAGGGTTCAAACTAACTATATAAGAATCTGATCACTCTGAACCTTCGAATCTCATTTCATTTCAGGTCAACATTGTCTGTACAAGGTGGTGACTAGGAAGAAATAACCTTATTCAAGTATTGGTTTGTAGGGATTTGGTTGGTTGGTTACAGGATTTCATCATGAGCTGAGCGAGAACCATTGGAAAACCTGGGAGTACTGGACAGCTGTTTCGTCATAGTTCGGGGCTCTTCAGCAGTACCCACCCACCGGGGTTCGAACACAGGACCTTCTGGTTACAAGGCGACATTATCTGACTTGTCTTCTTTTCTTACCGCTTTATAATTGATTCCAGTACTAGGAGAATATGTGTAATGAAGAGATTGGTCTCCTCACGCTTTTTACCTCCTCCGAAATAATGAGTTGTTGCTTAGGCCATTGGTCATACAGTTGGTGAATCTAAATTTTGTTGACCCTAGAGATAGCGATTATATTCTGGGTGACATTTCGTTAGCAGTCACTTTGTTTAGAGCTTATGAAATCGCCCAAGTGAATCGTCTCAGTGCATTTGACTAATTCATTCCCTATCCTTGAAATACAAGTTAATACAAACTGCAAAAATTACGTTGGCTTTCTACTCAGGGCGTGTATCAGCCTCTGTGATTGTCATTATAACGGTGACCTGCTTAAATCACATTGGGCTACCAGAGTTGGCATCTGCCAAAATGCAGGAACTCTTCAGCCTTTCTTATTGTTTTAATCATGCAATCATATTAAATGATCACTCTACATGAACCCGCGGACATATTTAATTAGCTTTCAGCAGAAGGCTGCACAATTCTTGAAGGAAATGAGGAAAAAATGTACAGAGTTGGTTCTCTCATCATATGCAACAACACTATGTTACATGTTTTTTGTATAGCTTTTAGGTTTCAAGATGAAATGACTACTCATTATACCAACTTGTTTCATATTTTCTCCTTTTTTTTAAAAAAAACTCATTAGTTTTCTGGGACCGAATTATAACCTTAGTCATGTGACTACAAGAAATGTGTCAAAGTCTGCTAAACAATATTCATTCGCTGAACCACGTGGCGTCAAGGCGCATTTCACTATGGATCATAATGGAATTCTTATTCTTAGTGGTGTCAGTTGTATATTTCATCCAATTGAGAAAACTGAGACATCTGGTGACTCAGCAAAGGAGAAGTCTACTTTTGAAAGTGAGTTTTATTAAATTTTGTGATATGATTCACCTTCACTTGTTGTTGACTTGACTTAGGTTTACTCATCTTACAAATTGCGATTATGCAATGAAACAGTGAATAGGTGCTCAACTTTGGTTGTCGTAATACTGAATTTGTCTCTCATTACTTTTAAACTCTTTAAATACACCAGACTGTATTGTTTGCTGCTACACGATTAGTCGATCTCTTAAGATCAGGGTTTCTGAACAGCCAGTGTGGTGCTGTGGCTCATTGGCTTGGGCGAGCGACTTCCAACCAATGAGTGGGTCACGAGTTTGAACCGCACTCCACCTTTCGAGGTTTGGAAAGATGGCTAGTATCATTAGCCTTTACACAATAGGTGTGGTTCTTTGCCACAGCTGCATGGAATTGCAAGTGGTTGTTGCGTAACTTTCCAGTGTTTCTTTCACAAACAGTCAGTATGTGATGCACGCCCGCTTACCATTATTTTCTATCTTGATTCACCTGGTGTTTCAAAAGGGATCAGTTTTTTGATTTTGGCCTATTAGATGCATTTATTATCACCAATGATATTCCTAATTGTGGTGGACTGGATTTTGCGTCAAACAGTGGGAAATGGGAAGACAGGGATGTCCTGGACCGACGTGAAGAATCTAGAAGACCTGGATTTCGCGCGTGGATGATTTATGTTTGATGTCACGCAAATTCGAAGACTTACAAGCGGAAACCGACAAACTGGTCGAAGAAGCAGGCAGTGAAGACAGGACTCCAGGTGAACATAGACAAGACGGAGGTTATGAAAATAACCAACAATACTCGTTGAGGGTACGGCTTCTATTTTTTTTTTTTTTTATGGAGTAGTATGGCTTTGATCCGGCAGGATGCAATGCCAGTTTCTACTGCTTAAAGGGACAAGTACTTTATCAGATTTGATTCAACTTTACAAATAAGTTGAATGATGAACTCATTAGGTGACATTTCAATTATTACTCCTCCTGGTACACGTAACTGAAAGAAGACACTCGTGTTAATTGGTTTGAAATGAGAACAAGTGATTCAGTTAAGGGACTTTTCAACAAATTTATTATCAAATATATGTATATATTCATCAACCTTATTCAACAGCTGTACGACAACGGCACATGTCAAGTGATCCACAATGGAAAACTCAGCGAGGCGTTTGGAATAACCACAGGAGTCAGACAAGGGTGCTTATTATCACCAATGATATTCCTACTTGTGGTGGACTGGATTGTGCGTCAGACAGTGGGAAACGAGAAGACACGGATATACTGGACCGACGTGAAGAACCTAGAAGACCTGGATTTTGCGGATGATTTATGTTTGATGTCACACAAAATCGAAGACTTACAAGCGAAAACCGACAAACTGGTGGAAGAAGCAGCAAAGACAGGACTCCAAGTGAACATAGACAAGACGTGGGTTATGAAAATAACCAACCAACAACAACAGCAACATCCAGCGTCAATCACCACCAACGGGAGGGATTTGAAAGAGGTTACTTCTTTCACCTATCTAGGGAGCATTGTCTCAACCACAGGAGGAACGGACGAGGATGTCAAATCGAGAATCGGGAAGGCGAGAAACACATTCATCAACCTGAAACCAATCTGGAAATCTCCCTCACTCAACTCAGCATCAACAACAAAATTCGGATTTTCAATACAAATGTCAAGTCAGTTTTGCTATACGGATCAGAAACTTGGCGGGTCACAAAGAATATTTCCAACAGCCTGTTGCAGACCTTTATCAACAACTAACTGTCTTCGTTCTATACTGAAGATCAGATGGCCGGAAAGAATCACAAACAAGAAACTATGGGAACAAACAAAAAAGAACCAATCGCCCAACAAATATGCAGGAGAAAGTTGAGATGGATTGGATACTCGCTGAGGAGGCCGTTGAGTGACATCGCGCGTCAGGCCATAGCTCGAGTGGAACCCGAAAAGGAAGCGTCGAGTGGGTCGTGTCTCCAAGGGTGACATGGAGGAGATCGTGTGAGGAAGAGTTGAAACAGTATGGACTAACATGGATGCAGGTGAAAAGTACAGCAGAAGACAAAAGCAAGTGGAGACGTGTAGTTGAAGCCCTATGTTCCACTAGGAACCCAAGGGAATAATAATAATAATGGGTACATTTATGTTTAAAATACAGAGTATTATGAATTATTATTTGTGATTAGTGAATTGCTCTGTATCTTTTCTCTGTTTTAGAAATCGGTAATACTCTGAGTGGTCTCTTTGGTGGTGGTGGTGGTGATGGTGGTAAGAGTGATGAAGAAAAATCGTCGGATCATGATGCAAATGTCAATGAGGCAGTTGCTGGTGGTAATTCATCAGATGTCAATATGACGTCTGTAAACAACACCTCGGTAAGATTCTTCATTATACTTCATGATGATTCTTGACTTTAATCGCGTTGTATCTCCACTATTTAAGGTCTACGAATCAAGATTCTTCTCATTCAAAGGGTAGTTAGTCTAAAAGGTGAAAAAATTCACTGGAAACCACTAGAAGAATTAACAAAGCTTGGATTATTTGAATATATAAAGTTAAATATCTGGTTCTTCAATCGATACAAGCAGGAAAGGCTCAAAAGGAATGAATACTGCATAATTAGTAATTATAAAGTTGTAAAAACAGAAGCAGAGGAGTAGTAGGCACCAGTAGACAGCAGAAAAATTGATTTCCTTATTCATTTTGAGCATTTTGAATAAGGTGTTTTCTTTCTATATAGCACCAACACCTTGACTGTGCACCATTTATGAAATGCGATACTATACAATCCATTCGATGTTAATTCTTGGCAATTTTGAAAGGTTGTTATGTAGTGAGGCTTTGTCAAGTTTTCTAGTACAGAACTATTAACTTTGGTTCTTACTCATGAGGCTGTATATTTTGATTAGACACTGGATAGTAATTAATGTCATGCATCTAGTCCTTCGGTTAGTGCTGACTGAATTCTATCATGAGCTGACATCAGTTAGAGAACCATTAGGAAAGCCTGGTGGTACCGGAAACTTGTTTCGTCCTGGTTTGTGAGTCCTCATCAGTACTCACCCAGAAATATTAGATGGTTGAAGTAATCGTCAGGAAACTGTAGACCTAGGTTTCGTGCTTATTGGGACTCGTCAGCAAGGCTTATCTGCAGCCCTAAAGGAACTCATGTCCCCTCCTAGATTCGAACCCGTACGTACGTGCGTATTCATGAAGAGTCCAAAACTAGGACGAAACAACTGTCCAGTACTCCTAGGTTTTCCAATAGTTCTCTAACTGATGTCAACTCATGATGAAATCCTCCAACCAATTAGACAAAATCCTTACGAAACCAATACTTGAATTCTATCAGTCAAATTTTGCTGTGTGGTTACCACCTAATCCTGCCGATTGCCTCTATCCATCTGACAGAAGCTATGCATAACTGCATAAGAGAAAATGAGTATTACTCTTTTCTCTCAGACAGTTAATACATGTCTACGGAGAACTGTGCATATTTCAGACATAGCAAATTCTTTGGTTTATCCAGAAAAAAATATCTAGTTCACATGAAGTGCATCTCATATTCACATAAACATTCGTATTATGAGCGAAATGATTTTTGTCTTAACCTTTGTGTTGATACTGATATCATGAAGTCCGTGCTTTTTAACTCCTGATTCCTAAAGTATGATGAATACTAACCCTAATAATACTATTATTATTATTATTGTTTCCTTTAATTCCTAGAGAAACATAGGGCTTCAGCCGTGCGTCTCCATCGCGTTCGGTTCTCTGCTAGAGTCTTCATCTGCCTCCAAGTCTGCCCACACGTTTTCATCTCTTCTTCACATGAACTCCTCCAAGTCACCCGCTAAGAATACTAGTACCGAGTATTTGAAGTAGTTTGGTGGATGGTGACTTGCGATGGAATCTAGTATGTGCATTTCGTCCTATTCATGAGCCACCAGGTTGATGCACTTGCTTTCCCCAGCGAGTGAAAGTATTCCCATGGAAAGTCCAACCCAGTATGTACCCTTTCAATCACCTAAGCGTTATCCCAAAGACTACTTAAGCCACGAGAGCCGTCTCTTATGAAACGGGTGTCGGTTAATTATTTATTTTTAATTCAATTTTGATTTTCCCGTTGGTTGATTATACGACGTGGCTCTTGTTAACCAAGTGGTCTTATAGATAACGCCTTGGCGTTTAAAACGAGGGGTACTGGGTTCGAGTCCCAGTGGGAACACCATCACTCAGTGGAGAATGTAGGTGCATTCAGTTAACGAGTCCTAAATAGGACGAAATGCGCATCCTGGATTATACTGCTAGTCACCACCCACCAAATTACTTCAAGCTAATCGTCATACATCGTGGAAACGTTCGTACTAGGAGCCGGCATGTCAACAGAGGCCGAATGTCTTGGTCCAATCGATCAACGGGAAAATCGAAGTTGAATTAAAAATAATTAATACGATTATTATTATTATTATATATTTATTGCAGTTCCAATGGAACATAAGGCACCAACAGTACAACTTTATTGCGTTCAGTCACTAATGTGACTAATAGTCAACAATGAACCCAACGACCAAATGGTAGAATAGGATTCTTAGAACAATTTTTATTGCTTTGCTTCCCGAGTGGAACATAGAACTTTAAGCTTGAGTGGCAGTGGTTTTATTTTTACGGGATTGAGTTGTTGGCTTCACATCTAAACTTCCCTGTTAACTGGGCTTACTACCGGCTAAGGGAGGTAAAGAAATGAGTCATCCGGAGATCGAACCCCATGGGGTGTGGTTAGCGAGCATTCTACCAGCACTGCACAACAGACATTAAGCAGAAAATGCAGATTCTAGATTTGTAGCGTACACCTCCCTGGCAGAAAAGGGGAGTTAACTCTATTACAGGTATATTTACACAAATGTTTTATGATTAGCTAAGAGGAAAATTTGAGAAGTAGGCAAACTAATCGGTTGGAATAAGGCAAATTTAAGAGTATGGTAAATTGAATTATTACCTTGGACAAAGATAGTCTTCCTTTTACTTTTGTTCATCGTATTTGAAGCATGTGTCGTCTCATATACATTAGGAGGAATTAGAATTAAACAAACTTCACCGTGCTTCTTCAGAAAACTAGAGAAGTGAATTATTTGTGTACTTAGCGGATCCTCATAAATTGGTTTTTCCCATGATGTGTGTTTAAGTAAGCTAATGAATCAGGTTTTAGTAATTGAAGTCTTATTTTCACTTTCCTTATGATTGACTATTCAGTTTCTTTAATAATTCCAGACTACTTCAGATAATCAAACTATTTCTCATGACACCGACACTAATTCTGGGCAAAATCAGCAAGATAATACTGTGAAGGTAGTTTTTGCTTACACTTTCTGTTTGAATTCATTTTTCGTGCTTCGAATGCATCTTCTCATCAACAGTTGTATTTCACATTTTGTGATTACCTCTTAGCGTCCTTCTATCGCCCATTGCATGCATCCTTTTATGTTGAGCTTCGCGTTTTGCATATTTTTTATGTATACATGTATATAAATTAGATAGTATGCTTGTATGTTGTCTGCATAAGTTAAGCATAGCTGCTGGGTATCCGCTTTTTGCGCTTATTGTTGAAAAAATGTCTCATTTTTGTGATAGTTTTTCTAATTGTCATCAGTGTTTTCTGCACCTACTTGCATTTAGTTCAAAATCTCTAATGCAAACTTTATTTTAAATCTATTTCCAGCCTACAGTACCATTTCCTGAACCTATTGACTATGAAATCAATTATGTTGATTTCCCTCAATTACCTTCGGATGTGTTAGTGTCTTCATTATCTAAGTGAGTTATTGATTATATTTTTACTAATTTTTATTCTGTATTTTTTAGTGTATATATATATTACTTAGGTTGTGTTATTTCCCAAATTGTTTCTTATTCCTTTGCTTTCCCAGTGGAATGTAAGTCTTCAAGCATTTGACTTTGAAGTTTCAGTAGCAGTGGTGTTATTTCACGGGATGGGGATGCTAAGCCCTCCAAAACACACACAACCTTCCTTCTTTACTGGGCTTACTATCGGCCAAGCGAGGTTTAGGCGTGCCTTGGCCGAGTATAGAACACTGAACCATGTGAGTGGTTGACGAGCAGTTTACCACTGAACCACCGAGGCTTGAAAACTGTTATTTCGCTGTAATCACCGTGACTAGACTTCAAAATAACAGAAAAGAAAAAGACGGACTGAAATAAGAAGAAAAACTCTGAGAGCGGCGACTTCTCATACATTTTGGTGTATATTAACTGAAAGTTTTGTTTAATTTTAGCACTCTGAGGTACATTGTCGATTACAAGGAGCTATTCGTAGCTAAACTATTTTGTGTGTGATCATATTCGGTTGTATGCAATATAGAATTTATTGTTTTACAGAGACAAATAATTTCTTCAATCAATATGTGGTAACAGATCTTAATGAAGAAATAAAAGACAAATTCAGCGAAGAAAATTTTCTTTATTGACGAAATCATCTTCAGAGGCTGTACAGTCGTATTTTGATTTACCAAAAAATGTATAGTAGTCTATTATTGAGTAATAGGGGGTGACATAATTGATACAATTACTCAGAAATGGCGTTAGAAGTAAAAAATGAGAGTTGTAAATTATGTAGTACTCAACGGTACAAAGAAATTTGATAAGGTTAAAATTGCTATTGAGTAAGAACAAATGATCTTAATGATTTACTCGTTAGTTATGTACTACAAGTTGTTATTCTAAGTAAGGTGTCTCACTAATCCAATCCGAACTTTAAATCTTACAAACTTGAGTCACTGTGCCAAATTCAAAATCAATCTGTTGCTAAGACATCATAACTTGTAATATTATCACGCGTAAAGTATTTTAGTTTTATCGCTTTCTAGCGAATGTATTCCTGGATTATACTATAGGTTATGCTAAGCAGTCTACAAAATTCAATTTGTGTAAACTGTGTTTATGGGGTTCGGTGGTGTAGTTGTTATCATGTCTGCTTTACACACAGAAGGTCCTCGGTTCGAACACGGGTCGAACCAGGCTTTCGTTCCACTCAGCCTGTCCACTCACACCACCAACTCACCTCTCCTTCCTCACTAGACGTAAGGTGATGTGACACTGCTAGCAGTGCATAATCACCTCACGCGTCAGCGACATCCACATCCGTCGTATATGGTGCGTCGGTCGTGTAGCGGTTAGGACGCTCGCCGACCATGCACATGGTCCGGGGTCCGATCCCCGGCCGGCGCACTCCTTTACCTCGCTAAGCTAGAAATAATGCTGGTGAAGAGGAAAGGTTTGGCATGCGGCTAGAAACTCCATCCTTTAAAATAAACACTGCTACAGAAATTTCACACCAATAGCTTGAAGCCCTATGTTCCACCGGGGAACGTGAAGGGAAAAAGAAAACTGTGTTTATTGTGTCATGAATATTGCTTTGACTTGTTTATGCAAAACTTATTAAATTTCTCATTGTTTGACTTCGTATTTGAAACGATTGTTGCTAGGCTCGAGTCCCATTGCAGGTAATAGTCATTCACTGAAATGTTCAGATACTACCTGTTGAATAGTGTCAATTGAGACGAAATTCACATCCTAGATTTTACTGTCAGCCATCAGTAGTACTTGAGTGAAATTACTTAGCCTTCCTTATTTTAACTCTCTGAGATGTTGAAGTTCAAAACTGATTTTGACTGATTACGACTAAACACTAAATAATTTTACAGGAAATCATGCATTAGGTTTCAATTTATTGATTTATGCCAGTCTTTTTTTATTGAATAATATAATGATATATTATACTAAATATTGAAGTGGAAGGTTTTATTGCAGAGGAAAAAGTGGATTGTTAATTAAGAAGTCTATATTTCATTGTGACTGCAAGAGTGTTTAGGAAAAGCTATACAACTTACTTTTGGGATATAGCTAATTTATTATTCTTGCATTCACTATATCACTAAACAATTGTATGGTGGATTTTAATTTACACCTGTTCGATCTTCTGTTGATGTAAGTGTCTTGTGTTAATACTATGGTTGTTTGTGTCTCTAATCGATGATTTAGATTATGGGTTTTTGTAGGTTTTTGGATTAATTTCAATGTAGATTTCGTCATGAGGCAACACCAATTGTAGATCGTTAAAATCCAGGAGACACTGGATAGCTATTTCGTCCTATTTTGGAACTACTCAGCGTTGGAAACCCGCGAACCCAGGACATTCATGTTGCTAGGCTTATCCCGTGGACAACTCAGCTGGAATTCAGTGAGACCTGGATTCTAACTTCTCTGATTTTATGACATAGCTTTAACCCAGCTGCCCCCCCCCCCCCACCTAATGGCTTCTATGAGTATCCTCGAAATCTACATTTGGACTAATCTGAATCCTTACAAAAAATTATAATCTAATTGGTTGGTTGGAGCATTTCACCATGAGCTGACATTGGTTAAAGAACCATTTGAAAACCCGAGAGTCCTGGACAGCTGTTTCGTCAGTCTGTCTTGGGATTCTTCAGCAGTGTGCACCTAGCTCGGGGTTCGAACCCACGATCTTATGGTTACAAGGCGAACTCGTATACCATCCAGTCACTGGGACCCGATCCAATGACCCATGAATTCTAACTTTTGCCAATTCATGATATAGCGCGACCACTTCGCAAATTCTTCTTCGATGAGTTACTGCCTCACCTACAACCTGCAGCACCCCACTGGTCATGGCTTCCCATTAGAACCCCAGGTTCACTGTCTGAATAGGGCCCGTTTGCTAGTGAGCATCAGATTAATTTTCAAGTATTGGTTTTGTAGAGATTTTGTTTGTTTGATTGGTTGGTTGGAGGATTTTATCATAAGCTGACATTGGGCTGTTTCGTTCTAGTTTGGGACTCGTCACAGTACGTACCCACCGGGGTTCTAATTATCAATCTTCAGCTCACCGGTGGCTACTGGATGGATATCCCAAAACCACGCTGACAAGTAGTAGTCAGTGGGGGCCCACCATTTCAACATGAATTGAATGCTCATCGAAGACATTAGTTGGTGGTAGTGTTATATCACAAAGTGACACAAGTTAAATATTCATGGTTCGTTGAATCCTAACCCAAACAGCTAAATGGTCAATGAATTCGGTTTCGTAACCTGAAAGTCTTGGTTCCGATCCCTTGTGTCATCTATGGTGCAAACTGATGAGGAGTCGAAAGCTAGTACAAAATATCTATTCACTGTCCCATGGTTTGTGACGGCGCTCTGTCTGTTGGTCTGTGACGAAACCTATATTGAAATGTATCTCTAATTGTGTTCTTCAGACCTGTGGAGAGAGAGAGAAAGGGATACAGGAGTGCATTCTGTAATTGAATGGTCAGCCATAAAAAGCAGTGATTTGTGACTTAAGCGTTTTGTGGGTGTGTGTTTTTCAGCTCTCTTTCTGAGATATCACTGAGTTGTCTTTTTCTCTGAAGGCAATATAAAATGAAATATTTAATTAGTTGTTTGCCAGTATGCATTCATTATTTATTATGCCTACCAAGCTGTTGCGATGTCTATCAATATAAATGTTCTACCTTTCTGTTAAACACTTTTTCGTGAGATTTCAAGCATCAAGCTTTAACGTTTCGGTAGTTGTGGTGTTGTTTTCTAGGAGTAGGGAGCGTTTGCTAGCTTCACTCCTAACCTTCCCTCATTTTCTCAGATTTACTGCTCTCTAGGCGAGGTTTTGATGTGCGTCAGTCAGGAATTGAAAGCCAGACCATGTGTGCAGTTGACGAGCTTTCTACCCTCATGAACCATTGATGATACACCCTTCTGTTGAGTTAATATTGCCTTATTTAGTTCCCGCACTTTTTCACTTGTTACGAAGATTCATGAAAAAAGAACAACACGTAGAGTTCAGCTGAAAGGGACTTATTATAGCGAATTCATGCCTCTCCTTATCTTTACAATCGCATTTATAGACAACTTTTTTTGATTGTATGGAGGGTTTCATCATGAGCTGAAATCAGTTAGAGAACCACTGGAAAACCTGGGAGTATTGGACAGCCAGCAGTTTCGTCCTAGTTTGGGTGCGTACTGCTGAAGAGTCCCAAACTAGGACGAAACAGCTGGCTGTCCAATACTCCCAGGTTTTCCAGTGGTTCTCTAACTGATTTCAGCTCATGATGAAATCCTCCAACTAATCAAACAAAGTCCCTACAAAACCAATACTTGTCAGCTTTTTTTCTTTAAAATCACGAAAGACGGTAGTGGTAACAAAAGTGATGAGTGAGTTGTCACTAGAACAAACATAGCTGTTAATATTAGTCAATTCATGAAAAAGAGTTGTATGAATGTATTAGAAGAAGAACTCTAACATTATTAACTAACAGATAAATAATACTCATTGAGTTGTCAAGAAAATAATTATTGTACAAGGGTGCTCATCTATGGCTTTATTCAATTACTGGGTCATACATACAATAGTTCTCAGAGAGTTTATATATATACATATATATCGTATCTTGCTTGTTAAGGTACCTCAAATTGATTAGAATTATTCACATCTGGCGTTTTTTAAAATTTTATTTAGCGTTATCGCATGAATTCCTAGAATTTGTTTTCTTATTATTTTTTTTATAAGAATGTGATTGAACTTATCATCATTTAAAAACAAACTAATTTTTTTCTAAAAAAAATTGTAGATTAAATAAATTACGAGAAGCAGATAAAGCTAAGGCGGCACTGGAAGCATCAATTAATCAACTTGAAACTTTACTTATTGATATACGTGATAAAATTTCAACTGATTATGCTAAATATGGAACAAAAGAAGAAATTGTACACTTAGAAGGTGTCTTACAAATTATCTCTGATTGGTTCGATGAAACTGGTCATGAGGGTACAAAAGATGTAAGTTCTAACACTTATTTTGTCATGAAATTTTATAATGGAGGCAAGGCTTCCCACCGACTGCCTCCAAACATCTTATACTAACAATTCACAGTGCACCGTGATGGCGATCCACCTAGTGGTATGGCTCAAACTCATCGTTCTCAATGGCTGGCGCAGATGCATCCACTCCTTGTGATTAATGATTTCCAATGAAACTGTTTTGTTCTTCGTTATTACTATTCCTTTGTCTCACACCTCTGTTTACTGTCTATATTATGCATGTCTCCTACTTTCTTCTCTTGCTTTGTGTGCTACATGGTGGGAGTGTGGCGACTTGAACTGCCGCACATATGTGCAAAGTTCTATGTCGAAAACTGACCGACCGACCGACTATTGGTGATATGGCTCAATACCGTTCTCAGTGGTGTGGATGCATTCACTCTCTCTGATGTCCCAGATCCATTGAATCCTCCTGTACACTTTTGCTCATTATAGTTGTGTTGAATTTCTTTCTTTTTGTTTTTTTTGTCAATATTTTTTGTGAGCTACATGGAGTGTGACAACTTGAACTGCTGCAGTTCGGTGCAAAGTACCATGTTTAAACTCACTCACTCAAGTCATTCAGTCAGACAATAATCAATCTCTTGACTTATAACTGTTATCTCTCTAACTGGCATTCACTAAATACAAATTCTTTAGCGGGATGTATTATGCATTTATGTTTCTACTTTAAAGCTATTGTTATTACCTGGTTGTCAATTTTATACAGTGGAGAACAGATTGATGAAGTGTTCATGGACAGTATAGTTTTTACAATCCTAATAAATTATTATTGTTAATACTATTATTCCTTATTGCATTTTCCATACTTCAGGAGTATGACTTAAGAATCAAAGAAATGCAAGTGATAATTAATCCTATGGAGAAGAGACGTATTGAAGCTAAACATCGTCCAAAGGCTATGTCATTATTTGATAAGACACTAGCACTAGCTGATAAAACTTTAGCACAAATGATTGAATTATCAAATCTATTTGCTAAAACATTAAAAGCTATGCCAGTTGAACAGAATGAATCAACACCTGGATCTGAACGATCATGGTCAAATGTATTCACTGAGGTGGAGATTCAAACATTTACAAATAAGATTAATGAAACTAAGGTAAGTTTTATGAGCTTTTTTTTTCTATCACTCATAATATCGTTTAAGGTGTGAGGTGGTGTGGTATGCTTGGAAATAAAATCGTTTATTTTCAAGTATTGATTTTACTGTAGGGATTTTGTTTGTTTGCTTGGCTGGAGGATTTCACCATAAGCTGACATCAGTTAGAGAACCTAGGAGTACTAGACAGCCCTTTCGTCCTAGTTGTGGACTCATCGGCAGTATGCACCCACCGGGGTTCGAATCCAGGACCTTATTATTAGTGTTTCTTTGAGTTTCGAGTAGAATATACGGCTTTACTAGCATATCTCCACTTTGTCCTATTCTCTTTAAATGGCCCCATGATTGCCCATAGTCTCCTATCTCCTTTATGTCATCCTCGGACACATGCCAAACTCGTCGTTTCTCATTCGGGTTCCACTCTTGCGTAGTGTCATTCAATGGTCTCCTCAGAGTGTGTCCATCTCCACTTTCTTCTGCGTATTTGTTGGGTGATAGGCTCTTGATTGGTTCGTTCGAGGGTTTCTTGTTGCTAATTCTTCCTCACCGGCCATCTGATCTTCACAATGTGCAGTCAGAGAAGGTATCTGTTGATAAAACACTGCAGTTGGCTACTGGAAACGCTGTTTGTGACGTGTGAGCCAAGTTCCTGACCCATATAGAAGCAATAACTGACTTAACATTGGTGTTGGTTGATACATGCTGCCTTTTTATAACGTTGGTTTTTATAATCTATTTTTGTTGATGAAAGTTTTTAAATTACTTATGTCTTCCATTCGATTTCTCTATTTTCTTTGGAAACCATTTTTAAACTTTATGCATTTTCAAGTAAGTAGGGCGTTAATTCTAATCTATCTTTTAAAGAGATGAATTTGGCGTAAATAATATTAGATTTGTATTAAGGTGTGAACTTTTTTTCTTCCTTTTACTGAAGTTTCAAAGTGATTATTTTTATTATTATTATTAATGTCTAACTAATTATTGAATACAATGATGTGGTTTTTTCTTCCTTACACTATGAAAAAACTAACAAAAGTAAAGATACTTGTAACGATAAATAAGACTTCATTTGAACATGGAAAAGACAGTGGTGATGAAAAAGCCCCCAACCAACAAACAGCAAACATCAGTCACTACCAATGGAGGAAGTCTAAAGCAAGTCATGTCTTTCATCATTTCAACTACAGGCGACGGCACAGCTGAAGATGTCAAAGGCAGTCAGAATCGAATCAGTATGTAGATTTACAGGACTAACTACTTAGCATAAGGCACAAGATTCGAATTTTCAACACAATTGTGAAATCAGTCAATGCTTCTGTTTGGTTCAAAGACTAAGGGCATCACTAAAAGCATTTACAACAGGCTTCTGTAGACATTTGTCAACGCCTACCTTCGCTCGATACGAAAGCTTAAAGACCATATAAAATTAGCAACAGGGAGCTCCAGAAACGAACCAACCAATAATAATCTATTGCTCAAAAAATATCCCGAAGGAAATGGAGATGGATTGGAGACAAATAAAGGAAGGGCTGATGGCTAGTCAGGAAAGATAAGCATCAAGGAACTTTTACAGGTAGCGAATCAGCTAATGGTTTATTGCCTAACGGATACACAAAAGGCAACAGAGATGGATTAAGCAAACGCTGAGGAGACCGTTGAGTGACATCGCATGTCAGGCCGTCGAGTGGAACTTGAATGGGGTGCTCCGGGTTGCGTTTAGAAAAGTGATATGATGAAGATCAAACAAAGAGGAAATGCAAGCTTGTGGGCAGTAGTGGAGCCAGTTAAAAATGATGACTGAGAACTAAATGGAGTGAAGATGTGCTACTGAAGCCTAATTTTGCATTATGAAATCAAGGAACGAATTATAATAATATTGATAATAACAAAGACATTCAAACCAAGATAAATGTCAAATACTGTAACAATAGTGGACATACAATGCTTGTCGTTTGTTTGAAGGTCTTCGTAGAGTCAGATTTCATAAATTTGAACTATCCCTAATAAATTTATTTATAACTAAACGTACTTTTTTTTTATTTCATAGACCTGGTTAGCGCAATCCACTGATGCTTTGAACAAATCACCAACTCAACAAGATCCTCCTGTAACGGTTTCTGATATACAAACTAAAGAGAAAGAATTATCGCGAGAAATTGTTTATCATACAACGAAAATGGATTTATGGAGATCAGAAATTGCTCGTATGTTTGCTGAACAGACGAAAATGAATTTCACAGCATCACAAACAGGTTTGTCATTATTTTTTCTTTATTACTAACTATTTTTAAATGGGTTTTTGTTTATTGTTTCTGATTCATAGTTTAGTAATAATATGTAGAGAGAGGGATAATTAAAACCCTTTTTATCAAAATCATTCATAAGTGGATTTCATCGTAACCTGAGTATATGACTTTCTTACGCTATTTCAATTGGGTCAGCTGTTTTGTACATTAATATGCGTGAGTTGGGGGAAGGTAAAATGTAAGATGATGCTACAGGATTGAACTACATTGACTCCTAGCTTAAAAATAGGGGATGAAGTGGTAGGGCGTGTCGACCACTTCATTCATTTGGGGAATTGCATCAGCCCCAACTGGTTGGTCGCTGATGAAATCTCACTACGTATATAGAAGGCTGGTTTAGCATACACCAACCTATACCATTTCTGGCGTGGACGTGATATCTGGCTGGCCGTCAACCAAAGGGCATATTTACTGCTCAGCAGTTCCCTCTGTCCTCCTTTATGGCTGTGAGACATGACCATTCAAAGTGGAGGACATGAAAAAGCTAGCTATCGTTGATCATAGGTGTCTCCGTTATTCCTTATGTGTTAGGTGGCATAATAAAGTGAACAATATATTGGTTAGGCGTCGAGTGCTAGGTAAGTGGGAGGAGAAATCAATTGACGAGGTTGTGAAGTTACATCGACTGAGATGGTTGGGATATGTGTTACGTATGCCTAGCCTTTGTCTTCCTCGATGGGCAATTTTAGCTGACATAGGGTCAGGTTGGAAAAGAGTTAGCTAGTGGTGGTCAAACCAAAACATGGCTATATCAGTCAATGAAATCCACAACATTTATTTTAAGCCAGCCACGTAGGAAGGTATAAATTGACTTCCTGGTGGGAGTCCTCCAGATGCTAAGAACCAATGGCTGGAGACAATTGGTGATATGGCTCTCAGTGGAGAAGATGTATTCACTCTTTGTGGTTTTTCGTATTCATTATGACTCTATTATTCTTCCATACTACTATTCTTTTCGCCTCACACTTCTGTTTACTATCTCTCTCTCTCTTTGTAATCTGTCTCTGCTCTTTTCTCTTGATTCATATGCTGCATGGAGGGAGAGTGGCAAGTTGAACTGCTGTGCATCACTGCGCCGTTCTATTTTGAAACCATTCAGTCGCGCCAATCAAGTATGTAGTACGGATGTGATTCCTGGCTGACGCACTCCGAAACATCGCCTAACTTACTAGCTGATAGTTACCCCATGGTCAGCAAACCCATTGCGTAAAAGCAACACCATCGCTTCTGAAATTTCAGAATTCAAAGCTTAATTAAAGCCCCAGTTTCCACTCGGAACACAAGGGATGAAAATAATCAGTTTAGTGCAACACAAGTTTATTTTGCATCTTAGGGCCTAGTGCACATACATACACCTATTATCAGTTGGTATTTCCACTATTCTGATGAATAGTGTTATAATTATTAGCTAATACTTCATCATTTTCTCCATAGATATTTTTAAAGTATAAAATTCTGTGGTGTTCTGACAAATGAAGTTAATAAAATATAACCTGCTATTCATTAAATGGCTTATTCAAAGATATATCCATATTTATGTAAACAGGTTAATAGTCAGCCTAAAAAATATTACAATCTGAACTGATATCAAGTGGAGGAGGTTTCTTCAAGGTATGGAAAATCCCCATGTTATGTAATTAAGAACACACATACATCAGGAAAGAGATCATTTTTCCTAACTTCACTTGAAATCTGTACATTTATTTAGGAGGTTTACATTTATAAAATCTCACTTGATAACAACAAAGGTCCAGGGATTATTGGTAGTTAGTGCGTCGGTAGAATGCTCGCAAACCATGCAGGTGATTCAGGGTTCAATCGCCGACCGACGCACTCTTTTAAATCCTAAACCAGTAATAAGGTTGGTAAAGAGGGATGTTTGGGCATGAGGCTAGTAACCCCACCCCGTAAAAACAAAAACATAACTGCTACCGAAACTTCAAGCCTCTTGCGTGAACCCCTGTGTTCCACTGGGAATGTAAAGGAATAGAATAAATGATAAGAGTAATAAAACAGATCAAAGTGTTTGAGTAATAACAATGTCTGGAAAATCGAGAATAATCTTGCATAATCAAAGGGTTGACAAATAATTAGTTGAGTGATGAATAATCATTTGGGAATAATTAATTGGAAACACGAGAACAGAGGATTGAAAATGGATTACAAAACACAAAAATAAAAATAAATTAAAATGACTGTACAGAGTTTACTATACATGAAAGAATTCAGGAAAACAGAAAAATTGACACTAAGGCCATTGGAGTGAATAAAAAGGTTGGATAAAACGTTTCCTAACACAAACTTCAGGTTTTCCCTCATGGATTACTAAAGCTTCGGTTTCATGAAGCAGATGTAGGTGAAATCCTTGTGAACAGCTTGATCATACGTTTGAAATGACTCTAAATGAAGTCTCTGCTGATGTTGCGTTACCAGTGTAACAACAGAAGACAAATATTTATAGATTTTAATCTACATTATTGTAGATTATTGTTAGTAGAAAATACAGTCTTTTGATTGGTTGTTTCTCACAGAAAGTTAACCTTGCATCTCTTTGTGGCTGTGTCAGATCATCTATATGCTAACTGTATCCGCCTACGCAAAGCCTTTGTTCTCATTTTCTCACCACCAATATTGGGAACATAAACATTGACGTCAATTACTGTCTAGCAACTTTGGCTAGCAGCCAGCTCTCACCACACCAGAAGTGATAATGTGCTTCATAATCGAGCTGTTGACTATTCGGCTTTTTCACTTTGACAACTATTGTCAAAGAACTTAGTCCTGAGATCCTATTATTTTTGAAAACGCTCTGAATCAACAACCACTAAGCACAGATATCGACTTTAATTCCAAAACATAATGGATGACAAGAAATTGTATTCTGTGATTGTTAAAATCAATATTCTGTACTAAGTCTATGAACAAATGTTTTTTACAAGGAATGTATTGTGTTTAGACAAAGCAATAAGAAGACGTAATTTGTCTGAATCGTGTAATGCTGTATTTGTGCAACACGTTTCGAACAATCTGATCACACACACGGACTTGTCATAGAAATTAATAAAGATTTAAGAGGTGAGAAAATAGAATTAGTTCAAGTTAAAAGGACATATTGAAGGTCAAAATAACAATGAAGATCACTAAAGCAAATAACAGAGGTAATAGTACATCTACCCTGGTATGTATCAAAGCAAAATTTACCAAGGAAGGTTTAATGTGATGACGAATTGTTTTTGAACGCATAAAGGTGGTTTAAACCTTCTAATTGCCAGCTAGGGCTTCCACAAACTTTAGGATACTCCCCAAACACGTTTTTTAGAAAGGTTTAAAAAATGTGTAGACATCGATTTTGTGTCCTGTCTCTATGATATGTTTCGCAGTAGAGGAACTAGGTCTCCTGTTCTCACCATTATTGGGTTCTGAATGTATTGTACTTTTATTTGTATTCTTTCGTATCTTTTTACTAATTTGTACACGATCGAATCACTCGCGCCTTCAAGTTGCCCGCCAATGGCGACCAAAGCTAATAAACAAACCTTCAATGTTCATAATCATTGACAACTATGTTGATAAGTGTTCATAAGTAGTGCATCCAGGCAATGCCATGTCGGTGTGGCCTATGTAACTAAGCTCCACGGGAGATTTCTGTTAAACAGATTATTTATATGAAGGATATCAATCTTTCTTGATTGTGTAGAAGAGATTGCATTTTTGAACTTTCAGTGATTTGGAGATAATTTAGTGGAATTTATAAAACACGAAGAAGAAACTCCTAAAGGTAGCCAAATGTTCAGAAAAGTTTAGATTTCAGTGGAAAATATTCAATTATCCCATAATTTCGAGTTTATTCTTTATTTCACTAAATGATTTTATTATATTCTTGTGACAGTTGTACTGTTGTGAACAGAGTTCTTGTGAAACTGATAAAAACAATTTTTTTTCTTTAAACATTGGTTGATCAGTAGTCGTATTTTCTTTTCTTTTTCTTTTGGCTTACATTTACAGTTAAACCGGATGAAGGAGAAAAAGCGGTGAAGGGTGGTGAGGATAAGTCGACTGGAGAGCCAGTAGTTATCCAAAAGGATGAAGAATCCAAGAAGACAACACAGGAACCTACACGTAAGTTTAAAAGAAAAAAACTGATAAACTTTAATTCTATTTCATACCACATCAAATTTGATCGTCATAGAAAATAAGCCGTAATTGCACTCGTCGTTTGATTTTCATAATTCTTATAAACCATTTTGTGACTAGAAGTTAATTGATGGATGGTGACTAGCAGTGGAATCCAGGACAACGCGCATTTCGTCCTATTTAGGAGACTCGTTAACTGAATGTACCTGCATTCCGCAGTGAGTGATGACTTTCCCACCGGGGCTCGAACTCAGTGGCCATAGTTTCAAACGCCAAAGCATTATCTACTAGATCACTTGTGACCATTTTGCTACTAGTTCTGATAAAAATATCTTGTTTTCGGTATTTCCATCTCAGTCTCATAAACTGGTGATTCCTTAAGTGACTTTTCTTGGAATCTGTTAGACTCAGTTAACGGGATAGCGATCATCTTCATTCAACTGCTAGTTTCACATCATCAAATTTAAGGTGTTATTATAGATTGATGTCATCTTTCTGAAGATACTGGAAATTTTTCTACATTCAAATCTGTTGTCTTGTCATTATTAGTTTCGGTTACTAATGTAAACGTAACTTTACTCTATTTTCTAGGGATAACTAACTTTCATTATGGATAAGATTTTAGTTTGATAAATCATACAGTGTTACACAGTAATATTAACTGATGACGTTTCGAGCACAAATTATTGCCGCTCATAATCATGTCAAGTTACTCACACAACTTTTCCTTCATTTATATATATATATAAATATATGTATGGAATTGACTAGATATTTGAATAAAAATCAATATGAGGTAATGTACATTCAGAAATAATAATAATAATATGAGTGTTGTTGATCAATTACAGTCAGATGGGAAATAAGACGAGTGTTTTTATAGTCATAATAAGTAACTTGTTAGGATTTTGTGATGTGTTTGAATTGAAATAGAATTTTAAGATTATTTATTGTTATCTTCTGATTTGACTGACTGGTGGAAATAATATCTTCCATATTTCTGGTATTTGCATTGAGTCATTTCTGTTGCATGTGTTTGGTGTAGACTCGATGAACCAGGCAGGATTCAGTAATCAATCTCTCTCTCCCGGTTCATTGAATCTACACCAAACACATGCAACAGAAATGACTCAATGCAAATACCAGAAATATGGAAGATATTATTTCCACCAGTCAGTCAAATCAGAAGATAACAATAAATAATCTTAAAATTCTATTTCAATTCAAACACATCACAAAATCCTAACAAGTTACTTATTATGACTATAAAAACACTCGTCTTATTTCCCATCTGACTGTAATTGATCAACAACACTCATATTATTATTATTATTTCTGAATGTACATTACCTCATATTGATTTTTATTCAAATATCTAGTCAATTCCATACATATATTTATATATATATATAAATGAAGGAAAAGTTGTGTGAGTAACTTGACATGATTATGAGCGGCAATAATTTGTGCTCGAAACGTCATCAGTTAATATTACTGTGTAACACTGTATGATTTATCAAACTAAAATCTTATCCATAATGGAGTTCACTCTACCACAGTGCCCAAGTTTTATACTTATATCAATAACTAACTTTCATATATATTCAGTTCAAGGTTAAAATATTTTAGGTGTACAGTCTTTAAAAACAATCTGTTTACTTCAGATTGTTATTAAATTAACAGAAAATCGTTAGCACCCTGGCTAGTTTTGTTGATCCACATATATGTATTAGAGCGCTTAACGTCACTATGAATGGAAGAAATTTAAAAGAGGTGGTCACCTCCTTCACTTATCTAGGCATCATTGTTCCAACTATGGATGGGGATCTGTCATCTGCGATAGTCATTGAGAATGACTTTGAGCCATATCACCAATTGTTTCCAGCCTTCATTGGTTTTTACCGTCCCGAAGATCCCAACCAGGAAGTCTACACCTTCCTACGTGGCTTAAACAAACTGCTGTGGATTTCATTGACTGACATAGCCATGTTTTCGTTTGACCACCACTGGCTCCTTTTCAGCCTGATCCTTCATCAGTCAGCTAACATTGCCCGTCGAGGAAGGCAATCGATAGCTAGACATACCTAACACATGTCCTAACCATCTCAATCGGTGTAACTTCACAAACTCGTCTACTGATTTCCTCTCCTTACCTAGAACTCGACGCCTAACCTCAATATTGCTCACTTTATTATACCACTTCACATGGGAGATAGAACGCAGGCGTCTATGACCGAAGACAACTAATCTTTTCATGTCTTCCACTCTCAATGGCCATGTCTCACAGCCATAAACGAGGACAGAGCGGATGTCAAAACCAGAATCGGAAAGGCAAGACAAAACCTTCAGTAATCTGAAGTCAGTCTGAAAATCTTCTTCACACACCGTAAACACAAAAAAATTCGTATGTTCATCACCAGTCAGTTCTTCTGTATGGGTCATAAACTTGGTGCATCTCGAAAAGCATTTTCAATGGACTATAGTCTTTTATCAACTGGTGCGTTCGGTTGATACTGAAGATTAGATGGCCTGTGAGAAAGAATTAACCACAAGGAACTCTGGGAAAGAATCAATCAAGAACCTATCCCTTAATAAATATTTCAAAGGGAATGACGATGGAATAAACGTACACTGAGGATACCGTTGAATGACATCGTGCGCCAGGCTGTCGCTGGAGTGGAATCCGAATGAAAAACAATGAGTTTGGCGAGCGTTTGAGCATATTATGGAGGTGATCGTGTGATGAGGGAATCAGAGCTTATGTTCAACCTTGGGACCAGCTGAAGAGAGCTGCAGAGAACTGGAAAAAAAATGAAAAAATGCTATTAAAGCCATATATTCCACTCAGAAACCAAGAGGACAGTGATGATAATAATAATACAATAGGATTTTGAGTTCTGGCTAAACGGCATCACTATCTTTCTCAATTAGTTGATATAATTCAGTCTTTTGAGTGGAGTTTACATGGAAAACCTTTTTAGGAATGGGTCAATAGCTGAATGGTAGAATTGCTCACTAGCTATATATGCGACCCGGGTTTTAATCCTGGTTGATGCACTCTTAAGTCTCGCTTATTCTGCAGCAGTATCACTCTATAAAAACAACTTCATCGCTACCGAAACTTTAAAAACAAGTAGTCCTATGTTCCACTCGGAACTGAAGAGAATAAGAAATACCCTTTTACGGACTATTTTCACCTAATCCCAATGAGAGAAAAAAAGCGAAGCGTTAGTCAACAACTACTTACGCAACTCCTTGCAGTTTAGTAATGAGGCACACTTTTTGTGTGCATAAGCTAGTGATACTGCGGTGACAGCTGGCTGCGAGCCAAAAATTGTAGCCATCAATTTATGTCAATGTTATGTCCCGAATCGGGGTCATGAGTAAAACAAAGATAAAGCTTAACCTTGAGGAACTCACCAACCAATCACAGCAGACCTCACGTGTGGTAATATGATTCGCAGATAGATGACTTGTTTTTCTGAGAAGTGGTCACAAGCCGCACAGAGTAACTTTCAACAGGAAAAAACCAATCTGAAGAGGTTGCTACTCCATTGACAACAAGGTGCATAAGGATCTTAAAATACCTCTTGATTTTCTCAATGAACGATGTGTTACCTGGTCCTTGTCATCTGTCGTTACAATATTACCCAACTGCCCTAACTTTGGTAAGTAGAGCGGGGTTCGAGCGTTTGACTCATTGGTGGTTGGTTGGTAGTCGAGTGTCTAGACCAGTGAACCCACATCTCCTTAATTCTCATAACTAAGTGTAAAGTATTTTGAGTAAAGCTATTATTTGATGTAAGCTATTTACAAGAAGGTAGTTAAGAATTTTATAACCCAGTTAAATGTGATTTGATAAATAATACTTTTTTCTTTTATTTTCTTAATTGCCTAAATCAGCAACACCAAGACCGGAACTGTGATATGAAGAATTGTGAACCCGAGGGAATTTCAATCATTTCACTCGTATATGTATATGTACATGTCAGTTAAGCCTTCTGCTAGTCTTTGTGTGTATTTGATTCAAATTTATCCTTTAGTGGTTACTTACTTTAATATCCAATCGTACAAAAAAAATACACACAAACACACACACTGCTGTGATGTTCATTCACTTGATTGCTTGCAGTAAGTAAGTAAGGTATTTCTGTTTCTTTTGTATACTTCTGTCTTAACTGGACCCTGTTTCGTAGAATGTTATTGTAGGGCGTTAATTTTCAATTATTGTTGTTAACACACACATATATACATATACATAGATATTTTCCTATTTGTATGAATATGTGCTGTGTTCATTGTTATCTGCAATAGTAGATTATTTATTGTCTGCTATGTATACTTCCCATAATATATGTGTATATGTTTATTGATTTTGACCAGTCCTCTTTTTTGTTTGTTTCTTTGTTAGTTTGTTAATTGTCTCTATTTGGGTATTTTTTATTGTGAAATATATACAAGTTTGAACAGCAATAAAAAGTGTACATTGGTTTCGTTTTTGATAATAACTTAAAGTTGAATGAAGAAGAATTGCTTGTTGTTATCACGGCGGAGTGTTACTCATTTGTAGTTGTCGTCGTTGTTATGACTGAACTGAACTAATCCGAATAAATCCGTTCACTACTTTGTTATCTCTGCGCCTGTTAATTACTATTGTAACGATAGAAGACAAGGGTCAGGCAATAGATCGTTTATTGAGAAAATTAACAGATATTTATAGATTTTTATGTACATTATTATTAGCGTTATTGTTAGCAGAGAAGCGACGTTTTCTGATTGGTTATTCTGTCATCTCTTTGTGGCCGTTTCTTTGAAGGTCAGATCATATATCTGCCAATCGTGTCCGCCCACGCAAAGTCTGCTGTGATTGGTTGTTGAGGTCCTCAAGGTTAGGCTTTGTTTTTGAGTTTTCTCATAACCAAAATATGGGCCGTAAACATTGAAGTAAATTGCTGTCTACCGATTTTGGCTAGCACACAGCTCCCACCACACCATGACGGTAATAAACTCGACTGGTACGCTGAAATACGTCTATTTGTCCGTTGTACCTTCCGATTCACTGAGCCTCGAAAATATCAAAAGACAAACACTGGACTGTGACGCACTAAACCACAGTATGCATGAGAAATGGTACATTTACATGGTAACTCCATCACAAGATAAATCACATGATTCGTGAGAAAGGATGACGATATACTATTTTATGCTGGCTCCTGTCAGTCGTCTAGCTAGCGCCTCTTAGACACGACACTTGATGATATTCCCCATGCTAAAATAGGCACAAAAGTCAGATTTAACTGTGACAGCAAGGACAAGGTTTTATTATTCAGAATACAGCTAGTATATATGATTTACAAATCGTCGGAAATTCAAGCCAAAAATAAACCAATCAAAAGCCAGCCAATCGAGTGCTTGCATCAATAGTAATAATGAAGCTTTATTTCAGACAATATGCGAACATATGTTACAAAAATTTTCAGCGTATTTAGTTCCAAAATACATTTATTTCTTCACACAGGATTTACTTGTAAAGTAATAATTTGAAGTATACCTTCATTTTGTTGAAGAATTGCACAGCGTTTACTTGGAAGCAAGCTAAATCAGAGCGCAAGTTCATTCATGTATTATAGGTCATTTGATATAACTGGATGATTAGAAAAATGCTAAAACCAGAGGGATTTAAGCATTTTGGTAGAAAGCAATTTCAGTAGCCCAGTGATTTAAGTAGGCCGACTCATGACTTCACGACTAACAACGATAGATTGTCTGTCCTAGCACTTGTATTAAGATGATAATAATGATTGCGTTTAATTAAGCAGTACATAGGAAAAGAATAGAAACAGGTTTCGGTTAGCAGTCCTGCTCATATTTATATATTTTACAATAAACTATACAAGTTGCGTATGAGTGTTGTGATTTTTCACTGACTACTCAACTTTTCGTTGGTAAGGTGGATATGCTTCAGCCGACGATTCCATTTGTCGAAAGTCAGGTGCTTAGATCAGTCAAGCTCACCTTCCTTTCTTGCATCCTAATTGTGACTAGTAAATTAAATTGTGTAGAAAACGTTACTTTCCAGGTTCGCGTACACAAGACTTCAGGTAGTGATGCCATAATACCGTATGTATCATTTCCACCACTTCCGATCTCTGTGTATTCTTTCATAACATCCTCAAAAAAAAATAATTTCCAGGTATAAGGCATGAGAATTAGAAACTAATATGCCTTATTTTGGGATTACCACTGAAACTCAGTCAGTCACATTTAAGTTTCATTGAAGTTAAGGAGTAAAATTCAATTTTGAGCTTAGGAGTAGCGAAACAGTGCCAAATAATTATAACAATACCGACATTGAATTGATAACTAAAAAGTTCAATAGCTACCATCATGCCATCCAGTTCACGTCGGAATTAGAAATGAACTCAGAACTTCATTTTTTGGATGTTCTTCTAAAAAAGAGATCTGATGTTTCTCTTCAAAGATCGATCTACAAAGAACCAACATGGAATGGTCAGTACACAAATTTTCATGGTTGAGGCCCTTTGAGAAGAAAGAGAAACCTGATCCACTGCTTATCCTCAAGAATAGGGAGGATATGTTCCAGTGAAAAAATTGATGGGGAACTGGGTTGACTCAGACAAGTCCTCATGGAGAATGGATATCCTCCAAGATTTATCGAGAAAAACATGAAGTTAAGGGAAAAGCCTGAAAGAACCCAGATGGCGACGAAGAAACTGCTATTTATGGGTGTTGAATTTAAAGGTGATACCGCAGCTGATATCCTGAAGAACCGCTTATACTGATCACTGAAGAAAGCCTTCTTTACGGCTGAGCTACGTATCAATTTCTACAGCCGACAAATGATCAACGGATGTGTGAAGGATAAACTGCCGCTTCGGGCCACCTCAATGTGTGTTTATAAATTCACCTGCTCGTGTGGAGCTAGTTATATTGGCCGCACAGAGCACACACTTTCTAAACGCATCTCTGAACATTATCCGGCATGGTTAGCAAAGGGACAGTACAGGACAACTACTAGCTGAGTTATCAAGCATTTGGTGTACTCAGGCCACGTAGCTCCACCAGAGTTGTCTTTCAAAATCATCTACAAGGTGAGGCCAAATGGTACAAACAGCGTCAAGTTTCGGCTTTTGTGTATGGCGGAGGCGCTGCCAATTCGTCAGTACAACCCCGAACTCTGTATACAGAAAAAGTTTGTCCAGTCTCTTATTCTACCTTGGTCTTAACCCTTTCACTAGTCGTTCCCAGTAAAAAAATTTTCTTTCTATTTTTAATTTTACTTTTAGTTTGCTTTTGCTTTAATAATTAATTCACTATGATCACTTTCATATGTTCCTTTTATATATTTTCGCACCCTCTTCACACTTGTTAAACTGACACTGAACTACCACCTTTATTCTCACTCAATAGCAATTTTAACCTTATCAAATTTCGATCTTTGTGCCGTTGAGTGCCACGTAATTTACAACTTTTAACTTTCCCTTCTAAAGCCACTTCCGAGTAATTATATCAATTATGTCACTCCCTATTACTCAATAATACACCACTATATATTTTTTTGTAAGTATAAATACGACTGCACGGCAGCCTCTGAAGATGATTTCGTCGATAAAGATTATTTTCTTCGCTGAATTTGTCTTTTATATTCTTCATGACACAATGGGTATTTTTGGTGATAATAACAATTTCGCCTAGAATAACAAATTTGCAGCTCACGATGTGACTGGAAGTTAATTGATATGGGTATGTGCACTATTCTGTCAAGCTTGCTGAAGTTATTGCGAAGATTGGTTTTCTCAAAGACTGTATAAATCAATAATCACGAATATCCGAAGTAAAGTTGGAGAGTTCTCCGTGGCAATCATATTTATCCTAGCTCAAAATCTCTTAAACGTCACACCAAGGATCACATTGATTCCATTATTACATGTATCCCAGAGTTGAAGAAAAGTATGTCAAATGGTCCTCTGCGTTATATGAGTCCGTAACGTCAGAAGATAAGAGGATTGGTAACGGACTTATCTATTCCCGAAAAACTCATCATATTTATACATTTTTAACCATATTAAAAGTCGGTTAGATCAGTGGAGGATAAATTACTCTAATCCGTTTGCTATTGACCTAAGGTTAAGCAAGTTGTCCGATGAGGTTATTTCATGTCCACAACATAAACTAGATGCAGATTTGAGGAATAAACACTTCTCCCTCTACAGCCAATGACTTTAAATATTGATTTCAATTTTGGCCCCTTCCTATCATTTTGTGTCTGTGTACTACTGATAAATCTTGTCAGTAACACACGCCCCATATATGATATTTGTTATAAACTTATCTATTATGGAACCGCATTCCAGCGCAATGCCCATTTCGTCCACACTTACACCAATAATATAAAACAGAGTAAATGCAATCAATTTTGAGGGCTAATAAATTTAAGTAGCTCATCAATTTAAACAAACCGCCTCACTATTCGACAGTGTATTTATTTATTCATTCTCACAATTTTCAATACTTTTACTTGATCTCAGTAAACTTTAAACAATTCTCAATTATTTTTTTTCTGCTTATATTATTTTAAATATGAAAAAACACATTTATTTTGATGAGAAAGACAAATATAGTACTAATCGAACAGTATAGTAAGTAGTTCATTATACACAATTTTTATTTGTTTATATTCTCAAGGAAAGAACATTGTTAAAGTAAAAGAAAGAAAGAAAGAAAGCAAAGCAGGATAGCGTCATTGTTGTTTTAAACAATAAATAGACAGATTTTTTGAATAGATCACAAATTATATAAAGAAGTTTTCGTGTTGTAGTCTTTTTTCTCAATGCTAACCATAGGTAACATATGTCGATGAGAAATGAAAACGTCAGTGTTAGTTGAATAGCTACAATTGAGAAATTAAAAGTGAAAAAGCAAAATGTAAAAAAAACACAACAACAACTGGGGAATGGTACATTTGTGAGAATGCAACACCATTGGTCAGATGCATCATCAAGGAGAAGTGTAAAGCGGGGAAGGGGAGGACATGAAAGCATTCATTCATATTCATGCATATACGAATGCGTATATATGTATATCTGAGCGATACACAAAACTACATTGTAGCCAAACAAAGATACTATTTACTAATTATTAATAATAATAATAATGTTAATGTATAAAAAGAGTAATATACATTGCAATTGAGCAATGAATGAACTTTTGTGCGTACTTACTGCAGACTATTAGGCCAAGAACTGATGGCAGGTTCTATCAATTAGCCAACATGTATGATTGGTTTTTATTGCAGTAATAACAATATTTTCATGTAAAGTATACGACATGTAGTAACAATAAGCAAATACAAGAATTTATGTGTAACGTTACCATTCATTCTAATATATATATACTCACTGAGTTAAGGGGGAACCCTGTCACTGTGTGGAACTTTCAAACTTTTATTTCTCTACTAAAATGCTGTATTGTTATAGTTACTATTATTATTATTATCTGAGAGGAAAAAACGACTTCTCTCACTCAGTGGTATCACAAAGCCATGCCCTGTGATGATATACAATTGATTGATTAGATAATTGGAGTGTTTTAAAATCCCATACGACGCATTCCACATTCTGGACAAAATCTTGCCGCTGTACTTGGAAATGTACTTCCACATTCAGCACAGAATTTATTTACTTTGTCATTGGTCATTGCTCCACCTGTTGGTTTTAAACTGTTCCGTGAATGATTAACAGTTTTGCTGGCTTGTTGAGTTTGACTGAAATTGAATAAAGAAAAAAGAAAAAAAACGGAAAACTTTTTATTCGTCATGCTGTTCTGTTTAAAATCTAAATTGTGAACTTTTAATTAATAACAACTTGAAATAACAACTGTGTTCGAACATTGAACGAGATGTCAGGGAAGTTTACCTGTTCGGACTACGGATACTTATCTCGTCGTATTGTATTTCAGACTGTGAATTTAGACGAGGCTGAAAATTGTTTTCTTCACCGGGGAACGGCATTTCGTCTCCATGATTATTAATGTAGGAATTCTGACTCCATGGACTTCTTCTATGTTCTCTACTATTACTATTACTCTTTGGAGATAATATTGTCTTAGGTGAAATTTCTGAATTATTATTCTTATAAGGATTGGATTCATAAATATAATTTTTGAGACCCGGTGATTGATCATTTCGTAATAATAAAGGCAGTAATGAATTGGATGTTCGGCTTTTTCTATCTGATAAAAAAGTAGGCGGTGTTATGCGTGGAGTTTTCTTAATCAGATTACGTGCAAGCTCTCGTGCTTCTTCATAGTCTTCTTGAGTTCTTCCTGAACGTAGTACTAATCCGTTAAGATTATTCGTTTCGTAGCTTTTAGGAATCTTTTGAGAACATGGACTGGCATGTTTTCTTTCTGTGTTTACAATTTTATGATTTTTAGTTCTTGGAATTTTCGATCGATGTGAGGTTGAATTTGAATGATGATGATTATAGTTAACTGTATTATTGGTTATGTCTTCGCAATCATTCGTAAAAGTCAGATTAGAATTAAGTCCTTTTGAAGGACTTACTTTTGGATTTTGGAAATCAAAACAATTATCATTAGATAAGCTTGACCTATGAACATACCGTGTTTGACTGGTGGGTACACTTCGGTTAGAATTTGGTAATGCAGTCTCTTCTTTTGATGAATGAGGTGATTTTATCTAAATAAAAATTTGGAAAGTGAAAAGTATGTTGATAGACTAAAGGTTTGATAGAAAATTACTTTATACAATGAGGTAAAACAGTTCTGTTTTTGTTTCCCTTCACGTTTCCAGTGGAACATAGGGCTTCAAGCTTGTGGCTTGAAGTTTCTGTCGCAGTGTTTAATTTTTACAGGATGGGGTTGCTAGCCTCATGCCCAACCTTTCCTCTTTACCAGCATTATTTCTGGCTTAGAGAGGTAAAGGAGTACGTCGGCCGGGGGACTGGACTTGGACCGTGTGCATGGTTGGCGAGCGTCCTAACCGCTTTGCCACCGACGCACCGACAGTTCTGTTAACAAACCTTAAATGTGGTTATTTAACATATAGCCGAATCAAGGTGATTTTAGGCGTTTACACTCTACAGTTTGACTGGAATCTAGTTTAAGTGTAGGAGGTGTTTTCCTTGGTCCAGTACAGTGCAATGCATGCAAGTCAAATCCCTTTCCAATTGATGTTCAGGTTCTGAGATCGAAATATTCCACACTGGATTCAATTTTAGATTTTCCCGTCGATTGATTGGACCGAAGTACTCGGTCTCAGGTTGACTTGTCGGCTTCTTGTGCAGATGCTTCGACGATGTCTCGTCGTGTAACCAGAAGTCATCTGGTGGTTGGTGAATAGCAATGGAATCCAGGATGCGCGTTTCGTCCTATTTGGGACTCGTGGTCAGCTGGATTTACCTGTATTCCCTAGTTGGTGATGGTGTCCTCCCCGAGTATTCAGTGAAATGTTAAGAAGAGAGACAACAATTATTTGGTTGCTGAAAAAATTCGTGGTGTAACGTTTACCCGTCGAACTGTGTACAGTGCAAATTGCTGATTAATTTACAAACTATAAATTTGACTTATGGTGTCAAGTGGTCAGTCATAAATCCAGTGTGGTTTGAATTGATTCACCTCTTTGAACTGGATCAAACCAGGTAAACTGATGATGAGTTCGGCTCTCGGACGAAAGAAATCTCCATCCAGTATTTAGATCACCTCGATCTTTCTAACACGTACTGCTGGTTGATATGAGTGGTATACAACTACTCATGTTAACCGATCAGTAGTATAGAATTTTATGCAAACCATGTGTAACCTCGCTCAAAAGGTGTATTGAACCAAATTTCTATACCTCATACTCTATGTATAGTAGGAAGAAGCATGACACTTTCTTTACTACCATAATGTATTATTATTGTTCCCTTTAGTTCCTAGAGGAACATAGGGCTTCAGCCGTGCGTCTTCATTGCGTTCGGTTCTCTGCTAGAGTCTTCACCTGGCTCCAAGTCTGCCCACACGTTTTCATCTCCTCTTCACATGACCTCCTCCAAGTCACCCACCCTCGCACTGATGACCAACTCGCCGCTTCCCTTTCGGGTTCCACTCGAGAAATGGCTTGTCTAGTGATGTCACTTGATGGTTTGTTTTCTCAGAGTATGGCCAGCCAATCCATCTCCATTTCTTCCTGCCTATTTATTTCACAATCGGTTCCTGCTGTGTTGGTTCGCTCATTGCCAGAGATCCCTGTTGCTGATCTTTTCTGACCGGCCATCTGATCTTGAGTGGTATTGAGCGAAGACAACTGTTAATGAAGGTCTGTAGTTTGTTTGAGATGCTCCTTATGACGCGCTGGCCAAGTCTCTGATCCGTATAGTAGCATAATGTAACTGACAGTTTATTTTTCCTACCGTCGATTTGGTTCAGGCTTTCAGTTTTGTATCTGCCTTATCACCTCACTTCAAGTAAATGGATTAGAATGGTCTATTAAAAACGACCTGTGCTAAGCGTCAGCTGGTTTTTTAAAACAATTTTTCAAGTGGCATGAAAGCTGATTAAATTGAATATATATCACTGTTGTCGATGTTAGAGGGTTAGAGGCAATCGTCAGGAAGCCTTGGAGATGGGTTTGGAGTTAGTTGGCACTCACCAGTCAGCAAGGCATATCTGCAAGCTTGAAGGTACTCATGGTGGCCACATTGCAAAAGCTGACCGATAGAATTCAGTCTGCACCAAAGAAAGGACTAGACACATCACACTAGTTACTAGTGTCCAGTGATAGATCACTATTGCCGTAACACTTTGATGTCGTAGTGTCCATCATTTGTTTATTTATTTATTGATGAAGAGGCACTAGGTGTCTGTAGATTATTCATACGACTTTAATTAGATTTTGCAAAAAAAGACACTAATTGATATGTGAAGATCTATATTTTGCAAAAGTCTTGCTTCACTACTTTTGTCGGTCTGTTATAAACATTCTCATGTTTTCAAGGAGTAAATGGATCAAATTTTAAGTCAAGTTGAAGTACTTGTTCACTCTTAGATTTGTGAAGGTTTGATCGTTTTCAAGTACCTCGTAACGAACCGATATCATATAGAGAACTACAAAAACCTTGGATTTCTAACGTGCTCATTGATGATCTAATGAAATATTGAGCCTGTGTTTCAAGGCGAGCAATCTATCATTTACCCAGTAGATAAGAATCCAATCGCTCATGAATTTTAATTTCTACATATGTATAGTAAAACATCTACCTCACCCATCATCTCAAGGGCATATCTCTTATTGTTTCTAAAATGAAGTGTACAAATTATCGCTTCTTTGCCCGATCCCCTACGAGGTCTTTGACACAACCTAGTGAAGAATCATGAACTGCTAAAAGGCCGCTTATCAAAGCGTAGTGTTTTTCTTTTAAATCGGTGTCTTTTTGTAACAAAGTTCACTTTGAAATATTTTATGCGACGTTCATCAACTTATTGACAATCATGAACAAAGTTCATGTATTTTGAAATAATAGAGAAGATTACCAAATCAGGAATAAAATTTTGATGTGGTTGTGTCCTCTGAGCTGGATGGTTTTATTTTGAAGCTTTCATTATCCTTCTGGACAGCATCTTCAATATCGGAATTTGCTCTGACGATTTTATTTAGTCGGTCAATAAAAGCGTCAGTGGCACAGTGGTTAGGACGCTCGCCGACCATGCACATGGTCCGGGGTTCGATCCCCTGCCGACGCACACCTGATATCAATGGTTGGCCTGAAAAATTTGGGCTACCGATATCACATGCTGGAAATTCCATACTTGTACCAAAAGCACCGTGTGGTTTCAAGGTATAATCAAAAAAATAAAATAAAATAAATAAATCCATCTTAGAGAACACAACCACATCAAAACTGCGTTATTTATCTGAGATCAGTTGAATTCGGCTTCGTCATTACTGTTGAATTTTATGAGTAAGTTTTACAATATTTGACAAACTATGACTACATCGGTGGTTCAACGGTAGAATGCCAGCTAATAGCTAAGGTAGTTGTTATAACTGAACTGATCTGAAGAGACCTATCGCCAATTTGTTATACCTGAAATGGACTGAAATAAATAAATCCGTTCACTACTTTGTCATCTCTGTACCTGTTAATTACTATAATGGTAATGAACTCAACTGGTATGCTAAAATACGTCTATTTGTCCGTTGTACCTTCCGATTCACTGAGCCACTCAAATATCAAAAGACAAAGGCTGGCCTGTGACTGTATGATATTGTATTATCATATTGTACTTCTATTCAGAAACAGTACATTATATTTATACATTTTCTTTACCATAATTAAGTCGGCTGACAACCGTGGGAATACATTATTCTTATTGGCTGGAGGTGGTAATTCTCATTGGTTGGCAATCCGACAAAGACCAAAGGGAGACAAAAGACGATGAATTGATCTCACACACTAAATCACAATATGCGTGAGAAATGATAGATCAACATAGTAACTCCATCACAAGATAAATCACACGTTTCGTGAGAAAGGATGATATACTATTTTATGCTGGATCCTATCAGTGGTCCGGGTTCGATACCTTGGTGACTCACTTTTAAACCACCTAGTTTACTAGCCGACAGGAAATCTGGGAAAATTTTGGAAGGTTGGGATTGAGGCTAGCAATTCCTCTCTTTATCCCGTAAAAGTAATACCATCGCTAATAGAACTTCAAAATTTGGAGTCCTATGTTCCACTCGGAACACGAAGAATGAAAAAAATAATTATTTTTTTGATTTTATACACTATAAAAACAACACAAACCATTTCATCATTAGTTTTGTGCAGGTCACGAGAATTTCGTGCACCAGGAGTGGTTGAATTTTCTAAGTTTAAAAGAAGAAAAAGAAGAAGAAAAGAGAAATGAAGTTTAGATACGATAGAGAAGATTTGTAGCTCAGGTGAATGATTTTGATGTGGTTGTGTTCTCTGAGCTGGATAGTTAATTTGCGAAGCTTTCATCACCCTACTAGGTGACATCTTCAGCGCATACTTCAATTTGAAGTGAGCTTTTAGATTTCTCCTAAAAGCTCACTTCAAATTGAAGTATGCGCTGAAGATGTCACCTAGTAGGGTGATGAAAGCTTCGCAAATTAACTATCCAGCTCAGAGAACACAACCACATCAGAAATGAAGTTAGTCGAAAGAAGCTGATAGAATTCTAAGAAGTTTGAAGCACATGAAAATAACTAAAATAGGCTCTTGTGAATAATTGTTTCCCTCTCCTTGGAAGTATCATTTGATATTTTTTCACTTTGTTGCTGTATTACGACTGGCATCTTAGCTAATTCAATTAAGCCAGGTTGTATCCGGATATTCTCACGTAATCTATTCATTTGTTCTTCTTAGTCATTATTCTACAAAAATTCTACAAAAAAAACCTGAAGCCTGTTTGGAAGTCTTCCACACTCAGCATAAGAAACAAGATTTGCATTTTCAGCACCAATGTGAAGTCGGTTAGTGATTCTATACGGGCCAGAAACTTGGACTGCGTTTCAGTCACGAAAAGGATTTCCAACAGGTTGCAGACTTTCATCAACAGCTGCCCCCTTCGCCGGCTGGCTCCATTCTGAAGATCAAATGGCAGGCCAGAAAGAATAAGCAACAAGAAACTATGGGAACAAGCTAACAGGCGAGAGTCGATAGCTCAAAAAATATGCAGGAGAAAATGGAGATGACTCGATCATACATTGAGGAGGCCGCCGAATGACATCGCACTCCAGGTCGGTGCTCAAGTGGAATCCAAATAGGAAGCGACGGTTGGGTCGTCGGAGTAAGGGTGACATGGTGGAGATCGTGTAATGAAGAGATGAGAGAGTTTGATCAATCGTGGGTCCAGATGAAGAGGACGGCAGAAAACAGAACGAAATGGAGATGTGTTGTTGAAGCCCTATTTTCCACTCGGGATGCAAGGGAATGATAATATAATGGTTGTGAAATAACGTGTTGCTAATTTCTACAAATTAACTGATTTTAAATTTTGTAGTTATTCTTGCCCTCCAGTAATCCAAAATTGATAATGCTTATTGACCAGCCTTACTACACAAATGATATAATTGCAGTGTAAAACTACGTATGAGTGTAGAGCTGGTGATGAGAAACCAATTGAAGAGGAATATATTTCTTCGCTGCTCAGTTTATTGGGTCCGTTTTCCAAATAACTGCGAATCAAATAGGATTATAAAGCCGGTTCATTTTAGATTTTGAAATCTTCAGGACTGTCTTGCATAGTATTACTGATACGTAGCGTTTATGGGACCTCTACCTCAACTTAATAGACTTTGAGAAGGCCTTCGACAGCGTTGACCACGAAGTAATTTGGAAACTACTCAAGTACTACGGCGTACCCCCAAATATTCATCAACCTTATTCAACAGCTGTACGATAACGGCACATGTCATGTGATCCACAACGGAAAACTCAGCGAGGTGTTTGGAGTAAACACAGGAGTCAGACAAGGGTGCTTATAATCACCAATGACATTCCTAATTGTGGTGGACTGGATTATGCGTCAGACAGTGGGAAATGAGAAGACAGGGATATCCTGAACCGACGTGAAAAACCTTGAAAACCTGGATTTCTCGCGTGGGTGAGTTATGTTTGATGTCACACAAAATCGAAGATTTGCAAGCGAAAACCGACAAACTGGTCGAAGAAGCAGCCAGTGAAGACAGGACTCCAGGTGAACATAGACAAGACGGAGGTTATGAAAATAACCAACAAACAACAACAGCAGCAACATCCAGCGCCAATCACCATCAACGCGAGGGATTTGAAAGAGGTTACTTCATTCACTTATCTATGGAGCATTGTCTCAACTACAGGAGGAACCGACGAGGATGTCAAATCGAGAATCGGGAAGGCGAGAAACACATTTATCAACCTGAAACCAATCTGGAAATCTTCGTCACTCAACTCACCATCAACAACAAAATTCGGATTTTCAATACAAACGTCAAGTCAGTCAGTTCTTCTATACGGATCAGAAACTTGGCCAGTGTGTCACAAAGAATATCTCCAACAGCCTGTTGCAGACCTTTATCAACAGCTGTCTTCGTTTCGTACTCAAGATCAGATGGCCAGAAAGAATCACAAACAAGAAGCTATGGGAACAAACGAAACAGGAACCAATCGCCCAACAAATATGCAGGAGAAAGTGGAAATGGATTGGTTACTCGCTGAGCTGAGGAGGCCGCTGGGTGACATCGCGCGTCAGGCCATCGCTCGAGTGGAACCCGAAATGGAAGTGGCGAGTGGGACGTCCAAGGGTGACATGGAGGAGATCGTGTGATGAGGAACTGAAACAGTATGGACTACCATGGATGCAGGTGAAAAGTACAGCAGAAGACAGAAGCAAGTGGAGACGTGTAGTTGAAGCCCTACGTTCCACTAGGAACCCAAGGGAACAATAATAATAATAAAGCGTTTATTGGGACCCTAAGATCTCAGTGAAACTTTTATCTACTTGTAAGCAGGTGTCAGTTTGTCAAGGAAATCCTCTGGAGAAAGTTGTTTACAACTATAGGTAGATATGCTTTGTAACCGCGTTTTCGTTTTTCATCATGATTATGCAGGAATGCTTGATAATTCCAAAATGGAAATGTTGTAAAATGATTAATTGCATTCCATGCTGTATAGAGATTTTCGATTGTAAACTACGTAATATATTTGCAAGATAACTTCCGTAACTAATAACAATCAGTTGAAGAATCTTTAAATTCACTGGAATACTGAGAAGCTATTTCACTGAAGTTTGGTAATTTTCATCAGTGCACAGGCATTACGAGAGATCGAACTTATGAACCTTAGGTTATGCCTTAGGCACGTTTGATTTCTGGCGAAATTAAGAGTTTGCACTGTTGTATAGTTAGTTCGAAACTGGGACTACATAGATGCACCTTAAGCACTCCACAAAATCAATGATTCTCACATATACATAAAGGATAAGCTACTACTGCTGGCCTCATTTATGTGTATCTATCAATTTACCTCAGGAGCTAGGTATGTCTGCCCTACCCCTTGTGTTGTCCATCCAAACGTATCATGGAACATTAACCGTCGTTGCTTTATAAAGCAGAAGAAAAATCCCCCATCATCTGTTTGAACATCCATACCAAGCTAACCGACAAAACAACTAAAAAGTCATCTGCAGAATACGTGGGAATCTTATTGTGAAAGAGTCCAATTTGTTCAAACCACAGAAGCAGTGGTGGTTGTTATTCACACGTTAAATACCGAACTCTGAATACAGAAGAAGTTTGTTCAGTCTTTAAAATCTACAATGGATCTAATCTGTCTTTACACCGAACCACATGTGTGGTTACAATCAGCTTCAATGGAAGGAACCTGAAAGAAACAACCTCTTTTACCTACCAACCTGGAAGCATCGTTTCAACTACAGGCGAACGGAACTGACGAAGATATCAAAGCAAGGATCGGGAAAGCAAGGCAAGCTTTCATTACTCTCAAGTCTGTGTGGAGGTCAACATCGTTCAGCGTCAAAAATAAGATCCGGATTTTCAACTCCAATGTGGAGTCAGTGCTACTTCCTATACGGATCAGAGACTTGGCGAGTGCGTCATAAAGAGCATCTCAAACTAACTACAGACCTTCAATAACAGTTGTCTTCGCTCAATACTCAAGATCAGATGGCCAGCCGGCTAGAAAAGATCAGCACCATGGATCTCTGAGAGCGAACCAACCAGGAATTGATTGTGCAACAAATAAGCAGGAGGAAATGGAGGTAGATTGGCCATACTCTGAGAAAACAAGCCATCAAGTAACTTCACACGACAGGCCATTGTTCGAGTGGAACCCGAAAGGGAAACGGCGAGTTGGTCGTCAGTGCAAGGGTGACTTGGAAGAGGTCATGTGAAGAGGAGATGAAAGCGTGTTGGTAGACTTGTAGCCAGGTGAAGACTCTAGCAGAGAACCGAACGCAATGGAGACGCACGGCTGAAGCCCTATGTTCCTCTAGGAATTAAAGGAAACAATAATAATGATAATATGTGTGGTTGCTAAGCATTCTACTACTGTACCACCGACGCTAACCTTCATTAACTTGGGTCCAAATGATGCATATTGACTATATACAAAAATACATCAGATAAATTCAGCACAGCCATAAGTAGACAATATTTGCAGGATATTTTACATTCCATTTGGTTAATAGAATATTAGTAACTCTAAGCGATGCCTTTTTGAGTGAACACGATATAATTGTAAGATCCACTAACACATAATGATAACATCTTAAAACTAATTGTGAATGACTTTCGTAAAAGACATTGACTTACGTGCTGGTTTCATCGTCTGTGGTGTTGTACGCTTTACATTTCGTACTGAACTGGAATTGTTGTTAACTGAAGCTCGATTATCATTTTCAGTGGTTGTAGTATGTGGTCCTGGAATACGTCGTGAACCAGAAGGATTTGTAGTGGTTTGATTTTGAGGAACATCACTTTTTGCTGCAAGCTTTGATTAAAATATTTTTCAAAAGAAAACAAGTTAATTAACTATTTTGTACAAAATGAAATTCTATCAAACGTGTTAGTTTGTTTATAAGATGTATCACACAGTGAAACAGTATTATTTACTGCATGACGAGGTTTCGAACAAAATTTATTACTGTCCATAATCATATCAATTGTAATCACACGACTTTGAAAATTGAGTTTTATAGTTTTCTTTGTTCTCTCCTATTTGTCGTGAGGGTAGTAGAATTTTCCAGATATCGGGGACAGGTGATGAATCATTCCTATAGTATGTATTTGCAGTTGTTTCGATAAACAAAGCTTCTTTTATCAATCTCTCCCTCCACCCAGCTGTGACATTAGATTTTAAAACTGCCATCCTATCCCATCCTATTGTATGGTTGTGTGTAACTGCATGTAGTGCTATAGCTGAACTATTCTCTAGATTTCTTATCTTATTTGGATCAACCAATCTAGATTTTGCTAAGTTTTTATGTTCAGCTAGTTTGACTGCCCCTGTTCTACTAGTTTGACCTATGTATTTGACCTGACAATCATTGAAGGCAGGGTATTAGATAAACTAAACTGTTTTGTTTTAAAGGTTCCACAGGATTGATCCTTTAACCGACAAAGCTTGTTTCTAATTGAGTTTGTGGGCGGTTTGAATGCCATTTTTATTCCTGCCTTGTTAAGAATTCTGCATAAGGCTCACGAGGTTCCTTCCTTGTATGGAATTACTACTGATGATTTAGATTCCTTATTGTTGGTGTGGTCATTAATATTATTATTATTATCATTATTATTGTTATCATCACTATCGGTACTATCATTATTTATTTTATTTTTACATTTCATTACATATTTCCTGATTAATTTGCTGTCACAGTGCCCAAGTTTTACACATATATGAGAAGAAATCACTTGATATAACACAGTTTTTAAGCACGTGCATTTATCTAAGACATTATGCATAAGTAAAATACTGACTTATCAACAAGACCCAACTCAGCTTTTATTGTTTAATTAGATCACGTCATCTTTCTGCCCTGTCGAAGTGGGCTTTCTGTAGATAGACCGTCTTATTGAGCCATCGTCTCTTCGACTCAGAAGTATGTCTAAAAATGCGAGCTGGTTGCGACTTTCTTCCTCGCATGTAAGACTAATATGATTCTGTACTTTGTTTAATTTAACTTTTCCATATATACATATCGACTTGACAAGTAAATGTGTGATCAGATTGTTCGAAATGTATAGCGCAGATGCATCACATTTTTCAGATAATCTCCGTCTTCTAATAATGCTATCAAAATTTATAAAAGGGACTAACTGTTTTAAATTAATTTACTCTGTGATGGAATTATACTCTATCATGGTGCCCAGCTGTGGTTGTTATATCAGTGAAAACAGGAACTTAAGAGCCAAGTGTTTTAAGATAAATAGTTCGTAAAACATATCTAAAGCAACTGGACGTAAGAAGAAGGCTTTGAAGTGATATAATTGAACACGAAATCACGGAAACATATCATACACGTATTTCTCCACATTGGCAAACTTTTTAACTGAAACAAACATACTACTTAAAAGTAGCTAAACATATATGTTGAAATTCAGATCGTAGGAATGGTGCGGATTTTGGATTTAATAGAAACTATTGGATTTTCACCATGAACCAACATCAGTTATAGAGATCATGATGTTTCATCCTATTCTAGAAGTCTTCGTCATCTCACACCGAAGACCTCGACAACGATCGAAGTCGGGACCTTGGCGGGGGCCAGAGTTTGAAATTTTGAATCTTCCGTTGTCTACTTTAATTAGACTGAACGATCAGTTTCCGAAGACATATCAGCTTCCAGGCTGGGTGCTCTAATAATGACTTTGATTTTCACCCTGACATTACTTGATAGACTGTGGGTAGGTTCAAGCAACTGGAAAGTGTTTTCGCTGCATTCTTATCATCCATACGTTCCAGAAAACATGAAGATAAAATCTGCAGTTCTTTTTTACTGGTGTATATCTAGTATATGTAAATCCTAAGTTCGAAGTGGAATACCACAGTATTATGATTAGCTCTTTGCTAGTAATGAGCATTTCAGCATGAAGCAAGATGAGATCGTTTGGACTGTGTTAGTATAGAGGATACTTAAAGCAGGATACCTATTACAAGTCAATGCAATCATACGGCACGTTTTTTTAGTAATCTATAGATAGGTGGTGAGAAATATGATCTCTACACAGTATTATGATTAAGTTTTTCAGAAGTTTACTGAATTATTTGCAGTAGGTGGGCTTCTAATTCTCATTATTACTGGTTATTATCAGCGATTCTCAACTACCATAATCAGAAAAATGCATACTACAAAAATCTAAACTTTTCAGTTAATTAACAGTATAGGTGGAATAAGTTAAGTGACGTTTTATTACTGTATAACATTTGGATTTCAAAAAGCACCATCCTAAGTCTTCGCAGCTGGGTAAAGTGACTGACTGACTGACTAACTGGTTTCAACATAGAACTTTGCACCGATGTGTAGCAGTTCGAGTCGTCACACTCCATGTAGCACATAAAGCAACAGACGAAAGTAAAAGGGAAATCCAAAATAGAGACAATGAACAGAGATATAAGGCAAAAAGAATAGTAATATCGAAGAACCATATAGTTTTATCGGATATTATCAGTCACAAGGAGTGGATGAATCTGCGCCAGCCATTGAAAACGATTTTGAGTCATATCATTAATTGTCTCCAACCTTCAGTGGTTTTTACCGTCACGAGGACCTTGACGAGGAAGTCTACACCTTCCTAAATGAATGGCACCAACTAACTGTTGTGGATTTCATTGACTGATGAAGCTATGTTTTGGTTTGACCACCGCTGGCTCTTTTCCACCCTGATCAATCTTGTGTCAGCTAACATCGTCCATCGGTCGAGGAAGGCGATGACTAGGCATACGTAACACATGTCCTAACCATCTCAATCGATGTAACTTCATAGCCTCGTGGTAAAGTGAACTATGCCATCAGTATTTCCATTATGGCAGACTGAGAACGTTCGAGTAAACTTTAATCATAAAACAAACTGCTCAGACAAGTTTTAATTAACTTTAATAAACAAATTAATCAGAATGAATGAGAAAAAGGTGAGACATACTGATGTACGTGTGGCAACGCGGCCACGACCAATTCCAGTATTTACACTAGATGTCGTATTATTGTTAACTGGCAAGCGTGAATGTTTATCACGACAAAATTTGATATGGCGTTCAGCAGCTTTTTCATTAAATCTTCTTAAACAATATTCACATTGAATAAAATCTTTAGAAGAAAAAAAACACAACAAATATGAGAAGAATTCTGTAGTTGTATTCTATGAAATTTAAATATAATTTACATAAGTATCAAAGGTAAATTGATAGAAATAGAAGGATGGTAATTGAACTAGTCAAGTTTGATCACTGAATAATGTCAGTTAGAGAATCACTGAAAGCCAGAGAGTACTCGCCATCTGTTTCGTCGGCAAATGCACCCACCAAGTTTCGAACTCAGGACCTCGCCGCTACAAGACAAGCCAGTAGATCATCCATCCACTGGGATCTATCCGATGGCCCATGAACCTCAACTTCAATCAAATCATTATCTTCTAGAGCCGAATGGTCTACGGGCTCGTCTTGTGACCGGAAGGTTTTGAGTTCGAACCCCGGTAGGTGCATACTGATGAGGAGTTAGAAACTAGGACGAAACATTTGTCCAGTACTCCCTGGTTTTCAATGGTTCTCTCATCAAGATTAATCCGTGAGTCAACTTGGAGCAAATCAAATCCCCACAAATCAATGCCTCATAACTCTTGAACTAGTCTAGACAGGATGAGTGTCCCTAAATTAACTGTTAAATTGGTGGAAATATATGGTGTTATCATTATAAGTCTAATACTGTTCCTTTTTATTGCCACTTCTCAAAAAAATAGATCTTGTTCTGCTTGGATTATTCTATATTCATCTTTATGTAATCTGAGAAGTAAGTGTGAATAATTTACTGAGAAATTCATGGTATAACTTGCTGGGTCGAGTTGCTGAAGATAACCTCCTGAAGGTACTCAGGTAGGTAACGACCAAAAATTAAATACAATGGCTGAATACATATGTATTCATCGTAATTCACTTAAAAATGGCTTTCTCTGATTTTCTGTCAATAATGGGAGAATTAACACCCCATGTTCATACTAAACAGAGAAGAAAGAGTATATATGCATATTTGTAAAATTAATGTATTTCACTTCAAACAGAATTAAAATAAGTGAATTACGGAGGTACAAGCAAGATGTTTAGTGATTTCATATATGTTATTTTTTGGAACACTTTGGAATCAAGTGGTGGGTATTAGAATAAAGTTAACTAGAAATCTTTACATATGTAAGAGTGAAAATATTTACTGTGTATGAACGCCCTGACTACTGATCTAGTAGTGTAGTTTACTTATTTAGGATTCACGAAATACAAAAGATGAATAACTTAGAGTTTGAAACATAACGTCAACTACAGTTTGGGGTATCTAATTTTTATCTTTTACTAACTCTTCGTAAATTTTAACGCTAACTATTACATTTCTCCACGAACCAATATCAGTTAGAGAGATCATTGAAGGCAAAAAAGGGAATTGGATAGCTATTCCGTCCCTTTTCGGGACGCTCTTCAGTAGTGCACACTATCGACCCTACCAGAGACTGAGTCCGAAGTGTTCAGGTTATGAGGCCAAGATCTCTGACCATTCAGCCACTTGGGCTAGAATTCATTGACCTGTGAATTTTAATTCTTTGTTATAACACTACCTTCAGCTAAATGCCTTTGATGAGTATCCAATTTACCTTGAAATGGTGGAGCGCACTGGTAACGACTTCTCAGTGCAGCTACAGGACATCCATCTAGTAGTCGGAGAGTGATTTAATTTAATTTTTGATTACAGCTTGATGCCACACCGTATTTTCAGTACAAGTATGGCATTTTCAGCATGGATATCGGTAGCCCAAATTTTGCAGGCCGACCATAGATATCGGGTGTGCGTCGGCAGGGGATCGAACCCCGGACCATGTGCATGGTCAGCGAGAGTCCCAACCACTGTGCCACCGACTGTTGGGTTTCTTTTGTAGGAGTATGGAATAATTTTAATAGCAATTTTTGGATTTCACGGGTCACCGAATGCCAATGTAAGCGCCTGAATGCTCAAAGAACATGATCTCGTAATGTGAAGGTTTCAGGTTCGATCCCTTGTGGCTTTATGAGTGCGCACTGCTTAAGAGTCCCAAAAGAGGATGAAACAGCCTTCCAGTACTCTCTGGTTTTCACTGATCCCTCTAAGTGATATCGCTTCGTGACGAAATTTAACAACTGAAACTTCAGCTAACCATACCCTTCTCGCCGAATCCCACAATCTAATTTTTTGTAAATTTGTTGTTTTCCTGTTATTTCCTCTTTTCCAGTAATAATCTGCCTTAATTTTGTACCTATCTACTTTTAATTTATCCTATCTACCATGAAGTATGGTGTCCTGGATCACTTTATCTTGATATAGAGTTCTATATTGGTAAGCATTGTCTTTATACGTGTTGCAACACTTGTAACTGTGAATAAATTAGTTGTGCTTGTTTAGAAGAATGAATCAGTTCTCTTAAATTTTCTTTTTTTTAGTGGACTTCAATAAGGCATAACGAGGAGATGCCAATTAGGATAATTCGTTTAGCTATTGTCCCTTTTCCAAAGTTTTACATTTATTCAAGTGTTGGTTAAGCATGGATTTGATTGGTTTCATGGTGAACTGATATCGGTTAGAGGACCATTGGAAAACCTGGGAGTACTGAACAGTCAGCTGTTTGGCCCTAGTCTGGGACTCTTCGGAAGTGCGCACCCACTGAGGCTCGAACGCAGGACCTTCTGGTTACAAGACGAGCTCGTGAACCATTGATCTACTGGGACCTGATCAAACGGTCCATGAATTTAAAATTTCGTCTCAACAATAACATGTTTTCGATACAGATTTCTTCACGAATCAACATCATTCAGAGAATAATTGAAAGCCAGGGAATACTTGACAGCTGTTTCTTCTCAGACTGCGGCTAATCAGTAATATACACTCATTGGTTCAATCATTTGTGGGATCTTGTATACGCACTGATGAAGAGTCCTGAGCTAAGACGAAACAGCTTTCCAGTGTTCCGTGGTTTTTATTGGATCTTCAACTGATGCTACTTCATGACTAAATGTAAAATGAAGTTAATCCGTATTCCTACAAAATTCAAGATCTGAATAACACATTTTTTTAATCTGTCGTGGGTTATAATTTAGACAGAAAAATAGGGGATGTTTATCCACAGTAATATCGATGGAAATAATTCATGAATAACTAATGCAATATTAATTTAAACATTGAAGGGATTAAAGTTCATAAGAATATGAAGTGTGAACATATGAATTAGTAATTAAATAAAAATGTTGTATTTTTATTGGGAGATGACGTAATTAACTGTTTCGCATTTATTTCGACAAGGTTGACTGTAAAGTAATTTAGAAACTGTTTCAACACTACGGGATAGCCCAAACCTTTATCAGCCTCATTCAGTAGCTATATAACGCTGCCACATGTCGAATTACTCCCAACCGACAATTCAACGAGGCCTCTGAAGTGAAGACAGGAGTACAACAAAGCTGCCTACTATCACCGATGATATTCCTAAATGTAGTGGAATGGATCATGCAAAACTCCACGGAAAACAAGAAGACGGGAATACACTGGACCGATAAGAAGACTATAGAACATGTGGACTCCGTGAACGACTTGTGTTTGGTGTCACACAAACCCAAAAATCTACAAGAGAAAACTGATGAACTGTTGGAAGAAGCAGTATAGATAGTAAGCGGACATAGAGAAGACGGACATGTTGAAGGTAACGAACCAACCAACAACAAGCACTAATCTCCTTCAAGGGGAAAAACTAGAAAAAGGCCACTTCCTTCACTTGTCTAAGAAGTGTTGTTTCAACTACAGGCGACGCCACGAATAAGGATGTTAAATCTAGGATTGGAAAGGAAAGGCAGATATTTGTTACTTTGAAACCAGTTTGGAAATCGTCTATATTTCGCAAATAAACATCAGATTTTTAACACCACTTTTAAGTCAGTGTTTCTATATGGGCCAAACACTTGGTGCTTCACCAAAAGATATTCCAACAGCCACCCGCAGACTATCATCAACAGCTGCCTTTGCTCATTATTGAAGATCGAATGACTAGAAGTAATTAGCAACAAGAAACTCTATGAAAGAACGAACCAAGCGGCCAACTGCCCCAAAAAATATGACGAAGAGAATGCAGATGGATCGAACACATACTGGGAAGACCGTCGAACGGCATCGCACGCCAAGCCATCGATCAAGTGGAACCCGAATGAAACACAATGAGTTGGGCTTTGATTCAAGGGTGATATGGAGGAGCTGAGAATCAGTAGGCAGTCATGGAGGCAATCAAATAGGATTGTAGAGGACAGGATGAAATAGAATTATGCTTTTGAAGCCGTATGTTCCACTCGGAACCCACTGGAATAATAAGAAAATAATATAATGCAATAAAGTTTGAAAATTCCAAGACAATAGAAATAAAGGTTTTGTTATAACTTCAATCCTTAATTCTATATGAAACTGTTCATAATTTATGGTTATTCTGTCCTCTGTGTATGTGTGTGTGTATAACTGCATGAATGAATATCCACTCAAAAGTCATATTCATCATGGTTATATAACGTATTTATTTAAGATAGAAAGAAACTATCAAATATCTGCGACACAGATCATAAGTCTTTAAAACTGATCATATTTCTTAGCTATGTTTAATAAATAATATTAAAGGGTAACAATAGCCTTTAAAATGAAATTTCTAATCTCAGTCAAAACAATAGTCATAATCGCAGTACCTGGTCTACAGATTGTTTTCTGTGTTATTGTTATGTAAAGCTTAATAAGTAATTGATTAGATGCTATTGATGTAAAGCCTTTCTTTCCAGAATAATAATTATTATTGTTCCCTTGGGTTCCTAGTGGAACATAGGGATTCAGCTGCACGCCTCCACTTGCTTCTGTCTTCTGCTGTACTTTCCACTTGCATCCATGTTAGTCCATACTGTTTCACCTCTTCTTCACACGATCTCCTCCATGTCACCCTTGCACTGACGTCCCACTCGCCGCTTCCCTTTCGGGTTCCACTCCAGCTATGGCCTGATGCGCGATGTCACCCAGCGGCCTCCTCAGCGAGTGAGTGTCCAATCCATTTCCAC